AATCCGCCTCTGGCGGGTCTTCGCCACGCCGTGGCGTCGCGGGCCTGGGCAGGGCGCCGCTGGCCTCCATCTCCCTCAGCTGGCCGAGGCCCGTGTAGGCGAAGCGCCGAAGGTGTGGTGGCACCGCCGTCTCCTCGGCTGACGCGCCGGCCCTCTCCATCTGGCGTTTGTACTCGAAGTACGCCGGAGAGATGTGGCCCACCTCCTCCGCCGTCCACGGGGTGCTGCCCCACCGCCGCGGATCGTATGCCTCATACTGGCGTCGCTCATGGGCCGATGCCTCCCTGCGCCGCCTCTCTGCCCGCGTAGCCTGCGTCGGTACTCAGGTAGGGGAAGTCCTCATTGCCCGCCGCCGCCGCAATCCTGGCCATGGCCTGAGCGTCGAGAGGATTCTCCCAGGGGACGTCGCCCCAGTCGGCCTGGGCAGGGGCCGCACCCATAGCGGGGGCCACGCCCGCCGAAGCCGAGGCCTCATTGATCCATGAGCTCGCCGAGGACGATGCCGCCTCTGGGCCCTGCCTGGTCATCGTCGAGGTCTGTGGGAGGGGCCTGTCCGCCGCAGAGGCTGCGGCCGTCGAGTGGCTCGCCGAGGTGCTCATGGGCGGCTCCGTCGTCTCCAGGTTGCCCGCCGACACGGTGAGTCGCTGCGATCCCCAGTCCCGGGTGTATGGGCGCCGCCGCGGCGCCGCCGCCCCTGTTGGGATCAATGACCAACGCCGTGGGAGGCACCAGCGGCGTCGGTGGGCCTTTGTGGCGGGCGCTGCCTGTTGGAGACGCCGCTCCGGAGGCCGCCGCCGAAGCCTCTTCCATGGCGTCGAGGCCAGTAAAGAAGGGACGTCGCCCGGCTGACGTCGAAGAGGAATCAGGGCGAGCTTGCGTCGCCTGAACATTCAACGCCGCGACAATCTCCCTGGCGTTGGGCGGTCCTCGCCGCCCCGAGTGTGCGGGTGTCGTCGTCCCAGAGGAGGGCATCGAAGTCAGCGCCGCAACCTGCCAGGTGTCAGCCCGGGATGCCAGCAGAGACGCCGCCTTGGCCTTGGTGGCGACGTCGATGAAGTAGTCCTGTGGCGCTGGGGTCGCCGTGCCCGAGGCTGGTGCCGAGGGTGGCGCCGAAGGCAGCGGGGCCAGCTCTGCAGGGGGCGTCGCCTTCACAGTGATCGGCGTCGATCGGCCCGAGGGCGTCGGAGCTGTAGCCATAGGCGTGGGAACTCCCGCCGCGGGAGACCCAGCGGGCGGTGACCCAATCGTCGTCGAACCAATCACCATGGGATGCTCCATCACCACGACGTCGTCCGACTCTTCGTCGCCTTCTGGGATGGGCGTCGGTACAAACGGCATGCTGCCTGTACCGCCGGTGCCCCCCGCTCCGCCCGCCGATGATGTCGGCAGCTCTTCCGTCGTAGGTCCGTAAACCATGCCTTCAAGGACCTGGCTCGCCGCATGGGCGGCGTCGTTCAGGTCCGCGATCTGGTCCGCCGTGAGGAGGCCGACCACATGGGACGTATCCTCTGCGTCGGGCCGCCGTCACGGCCTCAACAAGCTGCGCCGCGATCGAAGAGGCGTCGCTGAGAGAGGATGCCATGACCGCCGAAGGCACACAGGATCTACACAGAAAAGCTTAGGCGAAAGTCGCGTCGAGCCAGAGTGCTGAAGGCAGCTATACCGTTCACGGTTGTTACTGCGCACACAAGTGTGCTACACAAAAACAAACGGCAGTGGGAGCTGTCCGCGCCGGGTTTCGACGACATCTTCGGATGTAGAAATGATGTCCAAGACCCCAAGGCCTCCCAGAACCTCCTGTAGTTTGCCAGTGTCAGCAGACTCAAACTGTCCCAAGACACACCTTTCGAACACGACCTTCTTGTCCAAACGTTCTGTCTGTATGTGCGTCTGGGCGTCTGTTATGCCAACGTCATGTGGCTTCCCGGGCCACCAAGGCCCAACTGTTTGCTGGGCCATACACGAGAGAGCTAGAACACATAACATCAACAATTGTCTGAGCTGCTTGAGGCATGGGGAACTTGTCAAGATTGGAGCGACTTGCTTGCAGCCTGGATTCAACAATGGCATCAGTTTCAGGTGAAATGTCAATGAGAGAGAGAACAAAAAATGGCTGTTTGAATGGAGACCGGCTTCAACACTAAATCATTGTGTGCAAGATCTTGCAACAGGTTGGATCTGGCTGGCGACTTTTAATTGGGTTTGGAGTTTGGAGTTAATCTTCCTGTTGGTGAACAACTGGGGCGGCTCCGAGTATATCAAAGCCTCCGGGAGTCTTAGCTTCGCATGCATTCTTCCCTACCGGAAAGGCTGTGCAGCGGCTCAGCATCCTATAAACGAGAACAGCGAATTCTCGAATTATGAAACTTTGCCGACCTGCCCCCCCCCCCCCCTCCCACACACACGCACACAACTTTACAACAGCATGCATGTGTTTAGCTGCCTTGACTGTTCCTAACTATAGCAGCTGTCTAACTGTTCGTGCTGCTTGTCCCGTTCCCTGCCTCGTTCAGTGTTGTACTGGCTTTGATCGCGGCACATTACAATCAGGGCTAAGCCGCAATACAACCTTGTGCAGTCTTGCTAAAATGAGGGAGGTATTGGAACTCGGAATGCAAACTGATCCAACAAGCGACTGCAAGTCAATCATTCCATCTCCGAAGACTGAGCTCCCACCTCTTCGTAGAGCGCGCTGGGACGAGCCTCCTGCTTGAGCAAAGTAATGTCCAGCTCAGCCGCTCCCTGATCGGGACATGACACGTGGCACAGGTGTGCGTCTTGGAGTGTTCAGGGTGGCAGAACGGGGCTGCAGTGTAGTCTTTCATACTGGGATCTCTGAAGAGAGACACAGATGCCTGCAACTACCTTGCACACGCCGAAATCTGAAAGCCGCGATGCGCCTCAGGGAGCAGCCCGGCCAAACTGCGAAAGTCTTGGTTCGCATCCTGAAGTGAAGGCATCCTAGGACACGTTGCACCGTTGCACCGAATCCACCATCAGCTTTGAGAGTCTCATTCCGGAGCGGGGGCCCGGAAGAGTTCTCGCATGCTCTCGCGGCGACACGAGTATGCGAAGATGTCTAAGCCTCTCGGCATATGGGCTTGTCTTGATGGCGTCAGACTGCGGTGCAAAATCACTTGGGACGGACGAACGAAACATTTTCTGCAACATCTTTACAGCTCTGCTTATCGTTCGTCGTGCCGCCACGATTTTGTGCCCTAGTTGAATTTCGCATCGCGTCTTGGCGAACCGTGGTTCGCACAGCAGTGCGGCACCCGTATTCACAATGTGGTGAGATGTGGTGAGTTGTCGTGTTGGCAGTCAGGCTGTTCGAGTGATTTGTGTTGCGTAGAGCTCATGTCCAAGCTGCTGCAGAAAAACTGACCGACACATGCTTCAGTCTTGACCAGCAGTGACATCCTAAGGAGCTAGTCCACAGCGAAGTGGCACGTTCCAGGCGATGCAGTCTCAAAAAAGATTGGTTGTTCTTCCATCCTTCTTGCGATTGCATTTCCGCACTGACGAGGCGAAACTGAAGCCATCGGTGAACATCGGCGCAATAAGCAACCGAAGTTAGGAGCTGCTTCAGAAGATCATCCGAGTTCCGGATGTGATGTCTAATTAACAAAATGAGAACAACACCAGGAGGCTGGTAGAACAACTAAAATCCAAGCGCTGCACCGCTGCTCTGTTTGGCTGCTTCCGCAGTTGAAACACTGCCAAACTGGCCATCAAAGCGACCAGCTGTGCACGACAAAAGTGACGACAAGGTGCAGTTACGACAAATACTCCACACGAACGGCATCAGTGCCTGGCGTCAAGTGCTGCATACGAAAGCTTCTACAACAGCAATGCAACACTCTTCACGCAAAGGTTGCAAAACACTTAATGCCGAACACCTAGCACGAAGGAAACCTCTGACACTCGCTAGAGCCCTTTTGACCACCTAAACGCCTAAACCGACTGAACTTCCTTTTACTTGGTCCTGTCGTGCTCAAGTGCTCTGTCCGTCAGATGGGCAAGCCTATCGGACTTGAGGTTGGCGAGATGCAGCGTCGGTACTGCTGGGCACGTGATCAATATCCTCGTGGAAACCTCCGGGCACAGCCCGATCGTTGCTTTAATTCTGTGTTGTAGCCTATTGCCAGAGACAGTTTCCCGCAGATCGAGAACTGGTATCTATGCACCACGCCTCCTGCAAGCGAGTGCAATCAAAGCCTGTCGTCTCCTGATAGCCTTCACTGAAACTACGTCCGCCTTCTCCAGATCCTCGTGCTGTAGTAGGAGGCGTTGCGTGCATCTTGGGCGCCGCAGCGCCGCCTCCACCAGCTCCTTACGCAACTGGCACAAACACAGGGACAAGCGGATGCTCTGCACAGCAAAAGCAACTTAAGACATGGACCTTCAACCTCATCACTGTCCAGCAGCGATCGGCTCGCGGGAGGGTGAGCCTTGATGCAGAGCGAATTTGGAGACAGGTGGAAGCATTTCGTGACTCGCCAAATGCTGTCAAATCACAATGTTTCGCCGGATATCGAAAGCACTCGCACACGTATGGTGCGTGCTGGCACCTGCGGGACTCAGGACTTCTCTACTTCGCTGTCGTTCTGTCTCGGCGCCGACCTGCTCTTGAACCGCGGGCCCCGCGGGCTGCGCAGCTTCGGCGTCTTCTTGGCGGCGCTTCTTAGGCACCGGCGACGTGTCTTCCGGCTCGGAGCTGAGATCTTCTCGGCTCATGGAGACCCGGAGACCATAGGACGCCCCCAGATTTAAGGACACAGTGCAGGCTACTCTGCCTACACGAGATGCCAGGCTGACTTCGTACGACTTAGGCTTTGCCAAGTGGAAGTGTTGAGTGCTGCTGTCAAACGTGGGACAACGGGCACGGCACTGCTGCCGAGCCAAAGCGACAACTACAATGTGCGAGTCCCTGTTTCGTTCTTTGTGGGAACCTTGCACACTCGCAGCACTCTCATCGGACGTCCCTTTGCTGCTCGTGCCTATTCGCTTCTCCAATGCCAGCTGTTCTTCACGATTCTTCTGGACAGGTCGTAGCAACCTGATGATGGAATGGCTCCAAATTGCTGGCATGCGGGAGTCATGTTACGCGCTTCTATGACAAGTAGATCGACAGGGGCGCAAGCTGCGTCGGCACATCCTCGGTTGGGCAAGCCGAAACCCCAAATATCCGGGCAATGCGAGAGTGAAGAATTCCCACTCGCCGGCTGATCGTTTGCGGCGCCTTCTGCCACACTTGCCACCATCCGCTGACTTCGCGAAAAAGCCTCGAGAACAAACACAGCAAGCTCGAACAAATGGTAGCTTCTTCTGAGAGATGGAAATTTGATGAGTATGCTACTGTTACTGCCGCATGACTCAACGTTCCTGGCACGAGAACACGGTCTACAAGCTCCCTGATCTAACGTGCTGCCAGAGGTACTCTGCGACAGTCTGCTGCCTCTCCTGTGTCAGTTTCAGCCCACACACAGCCCCAAGCTTTCGACCAAACCCCCGTGCAAGTGTCGTTGTTCTCTAAAGCTGCCACTACCATCGCGAGCAGTCCGACGAGCTACACGGCCCTTTACCTCGGCCCTGTCTTCCGGCAAAGCACCTGCAGATCTTTGCCAAGCTGGCCCAGGCCGCTTCGCAGCTTCACGGAGCCGTACTCCAGCTTCCTTAAGCATTGAGTCTAGGGTTCCACATGGCTCCGCAAAGGGCTGTAGAGTACTCAAATCTGAGGAATGCACTGCAGCTTCTCGCTCAGGCGCTGTTGCACCTTTCAGCCCGCTAGCATGGTGCCAAAGCCGAGGTGGAGGACTCATGTGCTTGCAGTGGAACGCCGTAACACAGCATCCCTTGTGCGTCTAAACTCGACCGAATTCTTCGTGACCGGCATTGACCGGCACAGCTCACCGCCCCCCCAGCCCGACACCGCCTGCCATTGACGCTCAGTGCTGCTGTCCCGGATTGACACGACCTGGCTCGGCATTCCCACGACTACACGATGACAGAACGCTTAGATACGTGGTGCCGTGAGCATTGCGGCCTGTTGCTGCAGATTTTGACGGGCCGTCTCACGCTGGGCCTCATGCCTTTCCAGCAAGCAAAGCAAGCACACACCCATACACACCCCCAAGTCCCCAAGCGCCGCCCCGCCGAGTCGCCTCCTGGCAGCTGCCTCGAGGCGCTCCTCGAAGACTTCATCTAAGGTTCGCTGCTCGTCTACATTGCATTCACAATGAAAGTCGTGCAGGCAAGTCCTCATCTGCAACTCGTTGCTGCATCATGTGTGCAATTTCTGCAGATTGCCCACCTTGCACAGGACGAGTGCAAAGCATTTGCTGGCCTAACTGTGGGCCCTTGCTTGGTCTGCCAAGGGGCGGATCTGCTCCAACAAGCGCTTGTTCGCTGCCTGTCTGCTGAATATCCCTCATGAGCATACGATACACACACACACACACACAGCGCGTCGGTGCTCGTGCCGCGGCCTTGACCCCACCCATGGACTCAACGAGCTTCTCATTGGACTCTGCCTGCTGGACCTGAAAAGTTGAGTGACACAGAGTCTTCGCAGAGCTCCAACGGAGCCGTAGACTTGGTGACAACTTTTGCAACTCCGCGTGAGCCTGAGCCTCGACCGCTCGATGCAAGTGAAAGACATCTGCACCAACGTGACTGAAACAACTAAAGGACCAAGGATCTTGAAAACCGTGCATGGCTGGAAGGCTCGAGCACCCGTGCTTTCGAGACTCTGTTCGTGGATCGCCATTGGGCTCCCACACCCCAGCCAAAACAAGGATCTTATCAAACCACGTATGCGACACTGTACAAGTTGGCTTGCATTCTCGCGGTCAGAACTCGACAGCCTGACACGTCTAGACATCTTACACGGCCTTCAGTAGCGCTCATGTGAGCTGCCGACTGAACCAGAGCTGGCCTGAATGTTTCAACTCCGAGCCCGGGCCAGGAATGCAGTGTAGGATCATGCTCACATGTAACTCTGAGGACATGGCTGGCTGCGCGCGGATCCGCTGCATCTGTGCAGTCTGTGCAGTCTGCATCTGTGCAGTCGTGGCAGCTCGCCCCACGAGCCCTGGGGGCTCCAAGCACAAAGCTTGGATAGCGAGAAAATGTCTGCGCTGTGCTTCTTGAGCATCCTGTGGAAGCTGTGTTTGTTGAAAGCGGCCGCGAAGCATGGTGTCCTCAGGGAAATGCCAAAACGTCAACGTCATCAGAGCTACTTGAAGGCGATGGCTCTATAAGAAATATCGGATGTTAACAGTCTCACGAAGAACGGAACCAGTTTGCACTTGCGAGTTGTTCACATAGCATCTTTGCCGACCTCGTGATTCCTCACCACGATAAGCTTATGAGCTGTTTTACAAGCGTATCCGCAGCACTTTGTGCACATCAGGCCTGATTGCTGACGGTTCCCATTGCGAACGAGCTGGCTGTTGGCCAAATTGCGTCCCAGTCCAGAGTATCTTTTCTACCCTGAATTGCTGGAAGGATCTGCGAAACGTATAGACTGCATGCCATGCCATTGCTGCCATGCCCACGGGCCAGGCGGCCAGTCCCTCTGCCTCGCCCATCGACCGCCCTTGCGTGATATTCTGCGGGCAACTGGGAGTGGCACCATCTCACGGTTGAGACTGTCGCACTGCCGCTGCGTCTCCTTCAGAGACTGCGAAAGCACCTGAAGGCGCCCAGCAACTGAGCAAAAGCGTGTGCTGCAAAGAGCAGTTTTCAGCTGATTTCAGGCTAGACACCGCATGGTTGCTGCGCATGGAAGCAGGCAAAAGAGCTCCCCCCTGCGGGCAAAATACGTCCGATCCCAGTCCGCCCTTGGGTTGTACAGCCGTGCCTGCGAGATGTCTGCTAAGTCAATCGTGGATGCCTGGACTGGTCTGCTTCCGAACGAGACATGCATTGATGTCTCTAGGTATCTCCAGGTAGTGCGGGTTCGCTGACACTTAGAAACTGTGCCTGCTGCTGCAGCATCTGCTGCTGATGGCACAAACTTACAGCCATAGCGGCAAAGCATAGGCATCACGGCTGTCACAGCAATCATTGTCGGTGATGTGGCGATGACTGTCAGCAATAGTGGTAATTAAAGTAGAGGCCGCAGAAAGATGCCTGGAAACAGCAGTGGGAACGACAGTGCCGAAGCATTCATTGAAGATACAGTGAGCTCCTGTGGAGCGCAGGGCTCTAGAAAGGAACAATGTGGCGGGTCTAGTAGTAGCAAATCTTGTAGTAGTCGCAAAGCAAAGACGAATAGGGATAACAACGCTCTTAACCGTTTGGCAACTCATGCCAAACGGTCAGTAACTCCATCGCAGTCATAAGAGCCATCATCGAGACCATCATCAATATCATTATCATCATCATCATCATTGTCATCCTTGTCCAAACCTTCCTAACCCGATGTTGTGCCTCGGCTTCCAGATCTCGAACCACCTCTTTGGCGCGGCTGATTGCCACTTCTCCTGTCCAGGGCATGAGTCCGCGCACAGTCGAGTCTGCGGACAGTCTATGCAAGCACTCGCATAACCTGCTAAAGTCAAGCTGTCGTCAGCAGCAAATCCTGGTTCCTAGTACTGTTTGCACTGCTGACGAGCTTTAGCATTTCAGCAGCAAGGGGCAAGCAGTTGGATTCACGGCATTCTCCGTTTCGGCCTGACATCTGCTTCCTCAGCTGGGCAGGAAAATAAATCCGCATCGCCATTCCGCACACAAATGATAGCCGGCCGGCGGTCGGCGGAAAACCAGATAACCAGAACAACACTGAATCGGTAACCAGAACGGCTGTAACGGCTGAATCAGAAACCAGCCATGATTCAGAAACCCGCCATGATGCAGAAACTGATTCGGAAACCACGAGGCTGCTTCAGAAACCAGGCCGATTGATCGGAAACCACACCATGATTCGGAAACCAGAACGGCTGATTCGGAAACCACAGCGGCTGATTCAGAAGAAGCCAGAAGCCGTGGTTAGGGAACGGTTGCCAGGAACATGGTGGGCCCAAGGGCCGGGCAGGGCTAAAATCTCAGCGCTTCATGAGATTGTACGATCTTAAGTAAATGTAAAGCAACAGTCGATTGTGGTTCGGCCTTACGAAACGAGGGTGCGCTCATTGCCAAACGGAGCAAGCCGCCAACCTACCCCTCTCCAACATTATCGAACCGCGCAATTTCCTGGGCACCTCTTTGTGCATTAGACCATCGACGTCATCATGCCCCACCCCGGACCCCCCCTGGAGTCAGAATGCATCAAACTATGGACGTTACCATGGTCAGGCCATGGATGCTCTGGGCTCAGAATGCATTAGACCATGGACATCATCCTGCTTGGCTCTGGTCAGAACGCGTTAGACCATGCCGTTATCACGGTTGGGTCATGGATGCGCTCTTCTCACCACCCCAACATGGCTTCCAAGCTCCCGCGCCAGTTTCCAAACTTCAGTTCTGCTGCGCATCTCGTTTCTGATGCGCAGTTTCTGATTCAAGGCCCAGTGTCTGAGTTTGCAATAGCAGCAGTAAACCGTTCTGCTTCGGTGGGTTTTCCGGCCTGTCTGTGAGAACGGACAGGTTCTCTTGCATATTCGCAGGAAACAATCTCAGTCAGCGGAGTTGCTCTATCGCGGAGTCTGGGCTCTCATGACAATTGATTTACAGTGTCCGGCCCGGAACCTTAAACGATCCTTTTAAGAAGCCCATACAGCACTGTGCCAGCTGCAGCTCCCAGCCTCCGCCCGGAGGTCGAGCAAGCAGCAACACAAGGCGCTGGCGGTGAACCTCCACCTTGGCGTCAGCTTCAACGATCAGCTTCCGTTCACAAAGGATCTTTTGTGACACTGGCACTGGCTCTAAGGGCTGCGACCGTTGCGTGCAGGCGTTGGAGGACTGTTCTCGCTGCATCACGTTCTGCATCCTCCTGTTGGCATGGATAGGTGTTTCGAAATACCTGTCAAAGTGTCTGGGATGAAACGTGATCCCAATGCCTGCGAAAGCCATCTTTGTAGCTGGTGAGTCGCCTGGGTTGCTAGCTTACGGCTGACACACCATCGCAAAGGTAGCTTAGCAGTGACCTTGGTTGCCCGTCGAGTTCCTCTCTCGGCTTTCATGAGTCGCAAGTAGTGCATGTCTTCTGTTTCAGGATCATGTTCGGTTTCCTGGACCCAATCGAAACGGAAATGGGTGCCGAAACTGCAGCTGGCCATGCCACACCCACGATGGCAACGAGCTTAAGAAGGCAGTTTGTCTTGGGACGTCACGGCCTCCTCCGAATGTGCCTGGCTCAAAGTGCAAACCAGCAGCCCTCGACGCACTGATCAAGCACCGAATCTTCGCCAAAAAGAGCTGCTGCCTGGCCAAGGATGCCTGAGCTTTTGCCGGCCATCAATCACAGCCTGAAAGCAAGATTTGGTGGTCTGTTGGAAAGCAGAAGCGACTGTCACCCACCTCTGCAGCCCCAAGCTGGCCATTCTGGGGAGCACCCCCAAAACGTCCCTTATTACAGGGGACTTCAGAGACTGCTGCAGGCTGGTGGTGCCACTGTGCTTTCGCAATAGCCTGTGGGTGGTCTTAGCATGTCAAGTGTGGTTGTGTGTTGAAGCTAACTTTGAGCCTCAAGGGCCATGCGAGTGTTGCAGATCAGCCACTCCATTCATTCATGATTCACCCCGTACAACCTGTGGTAAGCAGTTGCGGCGAAGCTGGCACTTTGCGATGCGGCCACACTGCCAAATCCATGCTGGCGCTGTCTCAAAACGGATGCGCTCGCAGGCGTACGGTGGGGTAAACTTACCATCACAAAGCCCACACACCGACAGTGGAACACGGCTGGAACCGTTCGCCCGCTTCCTAATCTACACACCCTTTCTAGAGCTAATGCTTTCATCGCCTTGTTTCGGGATTCTTCCCAACACAGGCGGGCCAAGCCACAAAAAGTTGGAGAGAGAGAGAGAGAGAGTGAAAGACAAAAGATTTTCGTCGATCTAGCCATCCACTTACCCCGAAGTATTGTCTTCCCAGGAGCATGCGCATGCAACACGAGTGATCGGTCGCTTGTTCGCTTCTGCTGGTCCCTGTTTGCATATTTGCTGTTGCTGTGTTCAAAGTTTCCGCCAACAGATTTCGTCGACGAGGCTCATGAGGCACTGACCTGTCTTCGGTCCGCAGAGTCGACATGCCAACACAGCTCCGACTCCGCAGGCCTCGACGCAGCTTACTCTTCTCCTCAGAGAGATTTTGCAAAGATCTCGCGGACTCAGGCAAAGCGGGCGCAAAGCGCTCCCCGCAGGCCTCGGCCGCCGAGGCCTCGCTGCCCGGCAAAACCGGCGAAGGCCGAGCGGCCGGGCCGAGGCCTCGGAGAGCCCCCAGAGATGCCCAGGAGAGCTTCGCAGAGCTTCGCAGCTTCTCTGTCGCTCTTCGGCTCTTCTCCCTGGCACCGACACAGAGGTCGCTGCTGGTTCGAGGCAGCTGCCTGGGCTGTGACTCGAGCTCGAGGCGTGAAGCTTCGGATGTGAAGCCTGAGCTGAGTCCGCGACCCCGCCAAAACCACCAGCCTGCACACCTGGTCTTCCCGCTGCCGGTACACCTTGATTTGCGCCAAAACCACCTGCTGGCACTCCGGACTTGCCGAAGCCACCGGCAGGGACACCTCTGGCGCCTCCATATCCAGAGTTGTTACCTCCCATGCCGCTATAGCGTGATCCGCTGGACTCACCATAACCAGACGATCGCCCACCGAAGCCGGCACTTCTGCCGCCACTGCTGGCACTTGGTGCCGAGTGGCCTCCAATGCCGTTGCTCGTCGCAGCGTAGCTACTGCTGTTGCTGCTGTAATTCGAGGTGCCGTTTGGTGTCCTCGCCCTGTCAACCGCATCCGTCGCACCCGTGGCACTGGAGCCGCTTTGACTTTTGCTGAAGGCGCCACGAAGCCCATCGGAGAAGCCTTTGGCCATCTTCTCGCTGGCGCTTCCGCTTCGCGTGGATGCTTGGGCTTGGCTTTGGCTGACCTGTGTAGACTCACTGCTGCCAAAACCACCTGCCGGGACTCCGCGGAAGCCACCCGATGGAACTCCTGGACAAAACAAGATCTGCGGAGTGCCAGGGACCAGGGATCTACCACAAACGCTCTAACTCTAAGCTTGCTGCCGTCTTGCTGGGCACGGGATGACTGCCTCCTCAGAGCGCAAGGCCCGTCTCAACCGCTCTGCTCCGTCTGACAGGTTCTGCTGCCGAGGAACTCCGGCAGCAAAGAGTTGTAGCCTTGTCCAGCCTCGGAAAGGACGAACGGGTGGGAAATCTTGGAATGCGAAAGCTCGCGCCGCAGGAAGCTTCTCCTTTCCGGGAGCCCGCTCCCCTTGGGCTGCGTTTGCTCGGCCCATGGGTTGCGATGGGCGCCTGGTGTCAGCTCTGTGCAGGTCTGCATGTCCACTTTGGAGTCGCACCTGTCTCGTTCCATCTCCTGCTTCATCTCCCGCATGATCTGCGCACATGAGCAAGGCAACTCCACTTGACAACCTCGTCTTAACGCTGGAAAAGCCAGCAGCACGCACCTGATCACACACTTCGATGTTTTCGTGCATGCGGGACTTCTCAAAGATTGTTCGAGCTTCCTGACACGCCACGTAGCGACGAAACCGGAACTAAACAACAGCGGCTCGGCACATGGTACTGCATCAATGACTGAGGTTGGAACCAAGTTTGCCCTCTCTGCTTCATCCCAATTTCGGCAAAGAAAATGGCCCTGCCGTTGCGATTCATTTTGCCCGCGAGCTGCAAACATGATGCAAGCATGCATCCACTTGCAGTCTTTTGTGTTACACGGTGCTCTGCGACGCGTGTCCCGAACCCCCCGATGGCCTGGCACAAGGACACCAGTGCACTGCCCAGGTTTTCCTTATGCTCGGTTGCCTGCGCAAGCTCCTTGCAAATGCGTCTCCCATTGAGGTCATCTCATGCTGCCGCAAAACATCGCAAAACAACGAAAAGAGGTCCATGTACTCTCGCGCATATCGAAGCGAGTTCGGCCCATCTTGGCCTCAGCACGTCATTGCAGACCACTTTGCCACGTGTTGGATAAGGATCCAGATGTCAAAACATAGCATCAATCGTGTCTGCAACAGCGAAAGCAGCGAAAGCCTGTCCAAGTCTGGGCCGCACGCTGAGGAGGTGAGCATGGAAAATGCGCTGGATGCCAGTGATCTTGCGAAGCACAAGCAAAAACAGGCCAGAGCTAGATGGTGAGATTCCATGCTTCAATGATTATGCTGCTTGCCTCGCCGTTTCGGTCGCCAAGTTTCCGATGCAAAGCCAGTGCTTCCTCTGCAGCCTGCAGTATGCTGTGGCTGGCTGCCTTTCTCTGCCGCCCTGCCCCCCCCCACCACCGCTCACCCATCAAGCACGACCTGAAGCTGAACTTCAGCACAAAACGACAGCTCTAGTGCCACCGAGTCTCCTTCATGGCTTCCTTTAACCCTCGCGGTCGACTCCGCGCTCCAGGGTTGTTCACCTGGGCAGGCAGGGCCGCAGCAACTCGGCTATGTTGCCGGCTAAGGGTCGCCAAATCAACCTCGGGCTGTCGCATCATAGTGGGCGACTTGCAGCTGCACATTTGCCATGCCTGAGGCTACTTGTAGCTGGGTTCGTGCGGTCTGATGCTCAAGGGACGTAGGGACCCTGAGTGTGAGGGCAAGCTAGAGCGGCTGCACGAGCCGCATCTTCCTTTACCGGAGCCTTCGGTTCAGTGCAAGGCCGTGGCCACGCAGAGCAGGATTGCAAAAGCCTCGTGCCTTCTCGACCATCTGTAGAGCCTCCTTGGCGGCATCGATGCCCTCATTGAACCTGAAGAAACAAGGATGACGGGAAAGCGCGCTTGATGCGCTTGATGACGTGCAGCATCTGGTCGAGCCTGTCGGCAGAGGAGTAGGCCTCGCCCACTGCCTCTGCTGCGCCCAATGCAAGGGATCTCAGACGAACCTGAACCTGCGCTTGAATTTCACATCCCAGCCCCTTCCAGGTCCTGCAACGCAGAGATGAGGACCTTTTCATCCCCAGACTTCCTGGCCAGCTCCTGCACCAGCTAACGCGACTTCATGAGCATCAGCTTGTTGAAGCACAGTGGCCTCAGCTTGCTTCGCCGCCTGCATGGCGTTTGTGTTGGCTTTGAGCCCCAGGTGCCTGTGCCCAGTACGACAACGCTCTGCAGCATGCGTTTGACTTATGATCTCGTGCGATCAGCAAGTGCTTATGTTACTGTGAAAATGCAAAAGCCACTCCACGATGGGCTCTCGAAGAGTGTGACAAGGCGGACTGCCGCTTGTAACAGTGATGGCAAGGGTGCTCGGATCGTGGCATCTGCGCCACTTGCGCAAGAGCACGTGCTTGTCCAGCAAGATCACCCGCAGTCTGAGCATGCACCACAGTAGTTGGTGAACTTGGCTGACATGTGCCGCACAATGTCAAACTGCGGGGCAACTGCTTGGTGCCCTGCACTGAACATAGAGGCCTCAGTTGTTGCTAGGAGCCGTAATTCCAGATGGTGCACATGGCACAAACCGTAGGCGGCCGGCTGCATCTTTAGCAAGACGCAAGGCATCTCGTGGTCCCATGGTCTGCTGCGTCCTTGTGTGGATGACGTCGATTCCAAATCACGTGACTGCGTCAGCTGACCTATAGCAGACGAGTACAAATAACACTTGAGGGGCGGGGCCAGGGGAACGAAAGCTAGCCGAGGCTGGCGGGATGGCACGCGACACAGAGCTGGCGAGGCGGGCTCCAAGCATCCTCACGTGCCACCGGAACCGCATCAGGAGGGAAACACAGATCGCATCATCACCTCCAGCACATCCAACCACATCAATAACTCAGGAACAGAAAGGCGGGGGAGGCCTGTTTTGATCGATACATCAATTCTTTTGCGTCTGGGCCGGCGGTCCCGGCCCACTGCTTACGTAGATAGAAACGCAAGCCTCGCTACGCTAGCTTTCATCATTAACAGCATTTTCGGCGGATGGTTGCCGTAAGGGTTGAAACGGATGATGGCAACGAGAGGTCTCATGCATTAGTTCTGCGCCACAGACCCCTGAGGCTCCCAAGACGGTGTCCAACATGAGCAGGATTCTCATCCGGAACACGCGTCGCGCCGTGGCAGGAACGCATGCGCACCGCAAAAGGCGCTCGGGACTGGGCTCTTGCGCTTGCCCTGGCAGGGCTATGCGAGCTGTGCGTTTTGACAATTTCAGGGCCAGCGCAGCTGCGGGAGTGGCCCCCGCCCTCTGCCTTACCCTTCGAGCTCCGCACATCTCCGCGAGACCCAGGGTTGCTGAGGCCTCTCCGATTCAGCTCCGGGACTATGCAACAGCAGCAGCATGCAGCAGCAGTGCTCTGCCGGCCTCCTCTTCCTTGAATCCTGCCTCCCTGAAGAGCTTGACCTGGTCACGGGCCTCAGTGTGTTAATCAACAGTTCGGATTGAGACAAGGCTGGGAGCTGAATCTTGACCTTGTGTGTGTGTGTGGAACACCTGTTTGCCAAGGTGCTAATGATTCATTCGTATACTTTCATGCAGGGGGCGCGGGGTCCTCTGACACAGCTCGCGCCAACGAAGCTCTGTGTCAGATGGACAGGAAAACGTACCTGCAGGTCAGTTCCTGGGTGCTGGAGGCACAGCTGGATTGGCCATTGGAAAATAAAGTGATCGACTGAAGATGAGCCCCTTGAAAGCTTCATGCTTTCGTGATACATCAAGCGGTGCTTGATAACCAAATTGATGAGTGGCTGCGCGATGGATATCTAAGTGTGTCCCAGGTAGTTACAAGCTGGTCTTGTATTCGTTTACCGCGCTACCTGCGGCGGGGTTAGCCCGTGCGAGTACCTGCCAGGGTGGATCTGATAAAGGCAGGGATACATTGTTTTGGGCCCGTCGTGGTCCTCACAGGTCCGACTGAATTTGCTGCTCCGATGGTGCAGACATCTGATTACTTCAGTCGTGATGTTTTCTCCGCTCCTGACTTAATGTCAGGTTTGATGCCAGGTTTCATTGCAGGTCCTGAATTTTTGCAGATCCGATGGAACCAACGGCTTTTCTATCCGCAGACCACGATTTCAGCTCCGAGACAAAAGCTTTACTCCGTGAAATCGAGACAGGTAAACGTACCTGTAGTGGTCGGCATGGGCACTTGAGTGCAGCTTGTGGCCACAAATCGATTTGTTTGACAACATGAGTGTAATGCAGCTTTTCGAAAGACTGCAGGGGGCAGAGGGTCTCATTTCACGGCCCCTGCCAACTCTGACAACTGTCAAAAACTGTGCCACAACAGGAACATTGGGGAGGTGCTGCTTTCTTAAACGCCCTGGCTGTCTCAGCTGTCGGTCGGCAAGCACCGCGGGGCTGCGGCATTTCAGTAAGACCTGCGAACTGTGGATGCTTGACCGTGTTAATAGGACATGCACTGCAGGGCTGCGGCATTCTGTAAGACCTGCGAACTGCAAGTGCAGTCCTCTACCGGGATTTGCAGGGCCTCATGTGGCCACCCTTTACCGTCCCTTTTCCTTTTTCCGCATGTGTCGTTTCGTAGTCATAGTTTTATCTTTTTCAATGCTCACAGCCAGGGAGGCTTTTTCCAGCCTGAAAGGCTGCCTCCAGCTGCAGCTCCTTTACCTTCACTGCTATTATGTTTTAAGGCTACACAGCTAACCGCCCGCCCTCCTGCAGAGCTTTTGTCGGTTCCTTTTTCAGTTTCCGCTTCCCCATTGCAAACTAGGGGCCAAGCAAAGAAGCCTGTTGGCTACCCCGCAAAGCGGGGTGTGTGTGTGGAACACCTGTTTGCCAAGGTGCTAATGATTCATTCGTATACTTTCATGCAGGGGGCGCGGGGTCCTCTGACACAGCTCGCGCCAACGAAGCTCTGTGTCAGATGGACAGGAAAACGTACCTGCAGGTCAGTTCCTGGGTGCTGGAGGCACAGCTGGATTGGCCATTGGAAAATAAAGTGATCGACTGAAGATGAGCCTTGAGGCCAGATTGGTACCGGACCCCCTTGAAAGCTTCATGCTTTCGTGATACATCAAGCGGTGCTTGATAACCAAATTGATGAGTGGCTGCGCGATGGATATCTAAGTGTGTGTTTTTCTCAACAGTCCGGAAAGAGCCTGACTGAGCGAGCTAAACCAACACGGCAAATCACGCACATCAACCCCCCGTCCTACTCCCAGCATTCTGAGTGTCAGTTACCGTCCTTCAAGGCCTGAGCGCCAAGCTGCCTGAATCGCAGCATGAGGGTCCCCTGCCTGCAGCGTTCTCTTTACGGGTTTGGTGTAGAGTCTAGAGGTCTTCGTGGACGGCACTCTGCCTCGAGATGAAGGCTGGTGAGGATCTGCAGGACGCCGACGCATCCCTGACAAGTGCAGAACCGCAGCGCCAAGCCTCTTCTGAGAAGAATGCTCGTGCAAGCCGGCCTTCATGTCGCCAGCTTCCTTGAAGAGACGCTGTGCCTTGGCATACCCAGATAATCTGCGTGGAAAGTTCAGTCGTCTGCTTACTAGAGTTGCCAATGCCAAGCGCTCCGGAGTCACGAGCGAGAAGACCAGCGGCACCAAAGTTGAGGTTTGCCCATCCAAGCACCGTCTTCGGGTCTGCGCCCCCTGCTTAATACTATATATACCTTCATGAGGGATCCTCGGGGAAGACAATTTTCCTCTGTGAAGGACGTGCCGCTCTTCCTGCCAAGCTCAAGCTCGAGTGCTCGAGTGTGGAGAGTTGGGAGCCGGAGGGATCAGCTGGGGTATTAAGGCCCTATTAGGCCGCCTGTGTGAGTTCCCCGGGGGCCGAATTGGGGCTCTCTGCCCACTGCCTGTGCCGAGATGCCTCTTTCGCCGTCCGCGATGCCTCCATTGAACGTCTGGCCTGCGAGCAGGTCGGAGCAGCGTGCTGCTGCATGGCCGGAATGCAGAACAGCCCTAAAGGGCACGCCGAGCACGTCCAGATTCCAAGCCGTTAAACCTACCTCACGAGCAGACTTTTTTCCCGCCTGGCACTGAATCTCGACGAGAAGCTGTGTAGCCTGCAGCTCGCTTTGCGGCTTAGCACTTGAGACGTGACTCCGCGACTCTGACATGAAAAGCCTTTGCAGGACCGGCCTTCGCTTCACCCTTCAGGTCGCCCATCTGTTCAAGGCGGCAACGTGGGCAATTGGCACCGGTCGGGTCGTACGCTGAAAGAGACAAGAGACTTGCAAAGTGCAGGTGGCCTCCTTCAACCTCTCGGCAGCTTCGGTAGCTCTCCGGAGGGCGTCCCGAGGCCGATCCTCTCTTCCAGGTCTCTGCAGCTTCGCCCATGCCCTTGCACTCTGGGGCGACCGCCTGAGCGATCATGGCCTGCGCCATCTTCAGCTGCGCATACGCCTCAGGCGGTTGCCAAAATGCACGACCGGGCTTCGACCCGGTCCTACAGACCGCTGGGCAGGCCTCACGGCGTCGGTCTCCAACTTTCTTCGCCATCATCAGCTCCTGGCCACTAATACAGCACCTTGTTTCACCGACGGCAGACTGGCTCGAAGCAGTGCTGGACCTCCTCCGCAATGGAAGCAGCTTTCTCCTGAAGCGAGCACTGCAGTGCTGCACTTCTGGGCTTCATGGCTTCACTGATGGAGGCCCCAAGTCCTCCTCGCCGTTGGCCTGCATCAAAGCCTCTGGAAGCGAAGCGGCTCAAACAACACAGATAACGTGGTGCACGCAGTATTGAGCCAGAGCCTGAAGGGCAGTACCAATGACCTCCACATCCCTGACCTCCCGCGCCAGAGTCAACGCTTGCCTCCCAGCCTTGCAGGCAGTGGCTGATTGATCACTTGGCAATCACCGCCTACTGACATCTCCCAACGACACAGGGATCCCAAATTCAGCATCAGGCTCTGCATGAGGCATTCTGATAGGAACAATCCCGTCACGACCTGAACAAGCCGGTACTTGCGTTGCCATCGCCTTGATGGCGTCAAGCTTCTGCCCTGCTGCAGCGTGAGCCTCATGCTCGTGAGGCGCGGGGCACGCACACGCACACGCATACACGCACCCCGCGCACAGACACACACACACACACACACACACACAGACACACACACACAGACACACACACACACACACAGAAACACACCGGCGTATGTAGCAGGTAGTAGGTAGTAGGAGGTAGTAGGTGGTGGTAGTAGCAGTAATTGGCGGTAGTAGTAGTAGTAGTAGTAGTCGTCGTCGTCGTCGTCGTCGTAGTAGTAGCAGCAGCAGTAGTAGCAGGAGTAGGAGGAGGAGGAGGAGGAGGAGCAGGAGTAGTAGGAGAGACGGACGCCCGCAGACACATGTGCCATCACGGCCCCCGGCCAAACAGGCACAATGCCAGGCGAGAGCCTCTCAAGACAGAAATTGTCTTCGTAGTTTCAAACTGCAAGAAGCCCTGCAGGACTGCCTCCGTCTTGCTGTCACAAGCTTCCTTCGCCAACGCCACGGCATTGAGTGCTGCCTTTCGGGTTGCCGCCTGCAGACTACGACGAAAGTGCGAGCTCGAGTGCTCCAAATCGCAAGAGAACAAGAATGACGCTGCTGCACCTGGGCTTTCACACTGTGATAGGCCTTGGCCTCTTCACCTCAAGTTCCAGAAAAGAAATCTGCACAAATCCGACAAGCTCTCACAAACGAGCCCCGCGAGTTTTGGGGAGCCAGGCAGGCAGCAAGGGCCGCTCCCTTGGGATCGCCCATTCGTTCCCGCAGCTTACATGCCTGCACAGGGGTTTACACTCTGACACTGCCGCTGCCTTCAAGCTCGTTTGCATCCAGGCCTCTTGTGCTGGCTGAACAGCTTGTGCACCCTGGCAGGCAAGGCCACATGGACATTTGGTGAGATTTTGCTATGAGCCCCATGATCAGGACAGTTTTTCACCAATGCGACGTTCGAATTTGCTTTCCCCCATCCACCGACCCAGGAGGTCGATGCGCAAGGCTGGGGCACGATCTCGCCTCCGTCGCAGCATTGCGAGCCTGGCCGAAACGGAAATAACCAGAGCTTTCGCCCCCGTCACCTCTTGGGTATTTCATCGGGCCTTCGCGCAAGCCAGAAGGGCAGCGGAAAGCTCGCGAGCCTAGGCTAGGTGATTAATTACCCGGTTCAACCGCTCAGACTACAGCGCAATGGGCGCAGCGGTTCTGCTCTGAACGATGACAAGTGTTTCTGCAGTGTCCCACAGTCGAATGGTTCCACCTAGACATTTTTCCGCGCACGCTCGCTGTCAGCATGATAGCCGTCAGCTCAGGAATCGACGGCCTCGGCAGAAAGAGGGGGTTTCAAGTTATATAGTGCAACGATGCACACATTTCCAAGCGCGCTTCGACGAAGCTCAACTGCGAGATCGCTAGCACTCGCGTCGGATCATCATGCAGCCCAAGGCACCAGACTACTCCGAAAGCCCGACTGGACCTGGCAGAAAGAGCGTTCTCAACAGCGCCGAGAGGACCCTTGATCAACCTTCGCGTGTGAAACGACGACAAACTGACAGTTCTCCGAGTTTGGTGGACCTTGGTCACACTACTGGTTCGGAACCCGCCTTTTGCCGCGCCGCCAAGCGCTGCCCCAGGGTGGGTTGGCTTCGGCGCAGGCTCCTTTCGCCAAATGGTACCGTGGATAGCTGGTGGATGATTGTGTACTCATTTGTGATCCACACGAAATTTTCGCCTATTCCGGATCTGGTCCAGGAGGACGTCCCGAAAAGGCCTTACGACACAGTTTCAAAGGCGAGAAGTTGCCCTGTCACAATCGGAGACGCCGAATCACTGGTGCCTCAACATGCTGAGGAAAAGGCGATGGTGATGACCAGCGGCCAACCCGAGAGAACATGTCAGGGCCCACAAAAGGCCAATCCGTGTGCCGGAGGCTTGCAGATCGCGCAAGACCAACAGAGAGCCAGGTTGCCACCACCACAGAAGCAAGAATCCCATAAGCCGTCTGCAGATGCGTTCGGCTAAGTCCGGCAGACATGTCCGCTTTTTTGAAGTCGGGCGACTCTAAAAGGAACACATCCTCACAGGAGGAACGGCGAGGTGGCTCCGTTCCACCCCTGTTGAACAGAGTCGCAGGGAAGTCAAGCACAAAGAGCCTGACAGCCAAAGCATCTATTCAAGCTATCCCGGCCATGTCCAAATGAAGAAAAGACCTGATAGTACGTCAGCCGGGCAGCAGCATCCAGATCCAAGTGAGGAAGCGGTCTCCGTTAAGTGTGATCAAGAACAAGTTTCCCAGGTGAAAGCTCACCGCCGTACAAATCATTAGCGTTCGAAGTGACCTCGCGACAATCGTCTGGCATGGGCTTGTGGAACCGAGTGTCCAAGCACAGCTGCCAAGCCACGGGTGGAACAGCGCAAGAGGGCAAGTGAGTTCAAAAAGGAGGCCGCAAGTGCAAAGCACCTCACATTTCCGTTTCAAGCAGCCCCATGATTGTCGCAATGCGAGCAACGAGTCACCGTGCAGCCGCAAGAGCTAAAGTAATCGAGCCACCGGCCATGCATGGACTCGACACAGCACCTTACGAGAGACACACCAGTCAGATCGCCGGTCCAGAGTCTAGACGTCTTTTTGCAGCAGGGTGCGGAGAAGAGCTGCCTGCTCCACGCTTGCTCCTCTGCTGGGCACAGACAAAGACGAGCTGCGGGAGCGGATCTTTGCAGACACGAGGCACTCATGTAAAGACTCCTTGGTGGCGCTCTCAAGACGGAGGCGGGGGCACAGGACCCTCGACCCTCGTCTTAGTCTTGCTACTTTAGACCGAGTGTCGCATAAAACTCCAAGACACTCCCGTCCATCCAACTGAACCCGGCAGCGCTCAACTTGTAGCACCCACCCAGGAAGTATGATAAGCAGAGCCTGGCCATTTGGTCATGTCACTGTGCAACCTTTTGACGGCATGTTAACGATCCGCCTATGCATGTTTCGGCATCAGCAAGGCAGATTCCAACAAGCTGAATGGGATCGGTGACGTGGCAGCAAGGGTAGCCCCATGCACGCAGCATCCGTAGAGGACTGTAGTAGGCACGCGGCCGGGCCAAGCCCAATGCCTGGACATGCCTCGTATGGAATTCCTGGCGACATGCCGAGACAGGCCTCCTGTCGTCTTCACCGCATTCCGCTCGCTAATCCCTGGATATCAGACTCCAACCCCTTTGAACCAAGAGCCCTTCTGCTGTTCTTCCGGGATGATGCCCGCTCCAAGATTACCGCCGTTTATTACCTCTCCAAGTATGCAGCTCGGGCACACTGCCAGCAACAGCTTCTTGCTCCAACGACCAGCCCAGTTGGAGCCCTCGGAGGCACGGCCCCCATCTGCCAGCTGCGCGAATGCGATGACCAGCATGGCCTTGTCAACTCACGCGGGCGTGCGAACAACCAACTAAAAAAAGAACGACTCACTGCGCGACAAGGCGCCCAAGCAGACACGAGCGGATCCGTCAAGCGGGCGGAAAAGCCCTGGAAGTAGAAGTTGAGGATTGCTGCTTTCAGGGTAGAAACCTGGCATCACATCGATCCCACAAACCCGAATGGCGCCTTTGCCTCCCTTTGTTGAATGCTGCGATCTCAGGAGCAGATGCCATGACTCGAAGTGGGCGGCTTGCTTGCTCTCCGCGAACATGTACACAAAGTAGAAGTATGATGGCTATCAGCCAGGACAGCAGCAGAAAAGTCTGCATCCGTCTCAACCAGTGCAGGATTGATGCCTCGTCACCAGATATTGTTTTGCAAGGACTTTCAAGCATGGGCTCATCCACGGTTTAGGAGTACCTTCCAAATTGTTGGTGTATGTGGTTCTGATATGCTATCGGAATGTTGTCGAACGTTTGCTCAGCAGCGTGTCACTCCAGATGAAGTTTCGAGACATTGGGGCAAAGCCAAGCCTCCAAAATTGCGTTCCAGCTGAGCTGCGGTAGCTTCAGGCATGCTGTTGGGCTCACCCGACATGTTGAAAGAGAGCAGGAACGGCATCAAGACTGCTGGATGCACGTTGGCCTCGCGTGACCTGCGCTCGATCTTGACGCACTAGCAAAAGTATGTTCATGCACGAGTGGGTGGTGGCAGCCACTTAGCACTGGGCATTCTCGACGCAAGGTGCTCCGGAAACTCGTGCAGGCCACCCTCCTTGTCTTCCAAGGCCACTTCCGCGGCGCTTCCGGTCAGATCGTGCCAGAAAGCACTTAGGCCTGTGACATCAGCCAGTGTCAGACATCATGCTTGCTTCAGCGGCCAAGCGAGAGCAATTTTCTAAGTCTTCATGCCACCCGACATGCAACAAATATGCCGAAACGTTACGGATTCTGTCTGCTGCCATAGCAACCTGCAACCTTTTCTTCTAGGCCACGGTCTATGCCACCTCCTTACGCTTAAGTAAACACGTGGGTGCACTTCGCCGGCTGTGTTTCGAAACTTCCGGGGCGAGGAAGTTTAGAACTACTGCAACACAGTTGACCACCGGAAGCCAAAGAGCGGCTAGCCAGTCGCCCTTGCAAGAAAGTGCGAAGTGGCATGAACCATGTCAACATGTGAAGTGCCGAGCTCTCAATAGTAGTAGATCGGACTGTGTCCGAAGGCAGCTCTGACCGGTACCAGAATACATCCCGCTGCAGCAGCCTGTTGAAGAACGGGTTGTCCTCACTTCCTAACTATCTCTCGTCTGACCGTCCTGGGCTAAGTAAGCCAGAAAGGGAGGATCTCTAGCTTGGCAGCGCAGACTTTGCGGACCAGCCTCCTTGCCACAGATAGGCATGAACCAGGAAGGCAAGCAGCAGCAACGCCCGGCTCCTTATATAGAGATTCGTGTCAGATGGTGCTCATGGCATCGAATCAACAACTGAAACGAGTCCAAGCAAGCATCAATGCAGGCTGCGGCTGTGGAGGTAAATCGCACCACCACTCAGCGATGTGGCGCAGAAGTTGTGATGGCAAAGAGAGAAGTCTCCTCACAGCGCCGTCGCACAGGCGGAGGCTTTTCGTGCAACGAGCACTGGGAGCACGGCTTGCCCCATGCATCTGAAGTGGTAGACATGAAAACAGCCACCAGTGGCTGTGGAGGGGCCTGGTACTAGCTTGAGCCAGCCAGCAGAACGTGCACATGCTCGAGCCGCGAAGTCTGTTTGCTTCTATGTTCTTGTGTTCGCTGGGATGTGCCAGTCGGCCAGCCCCTGCCCCGGCACTGGATCATTGAGCCGGCAGCTTCAGCCATGTCGGCTGGCGTCGGGGTCGAAAAAGCCCTGGCTTCACGTGCCATCGCCGCGACCTTCGCAGAACAAGGGCAAGGCAAGAACCGGCCTGGAAGCCACTTTCTCGAAAGGCGCTGCTTCAGGCCGGTACCAGACTGAAGCGACCCTGGGCAAAGTAGACATCCTTAGTAGCGCTGCCGTGCATCATCTGCTATTGCAGCCCACCCATGCTGAGGTTGTTGACAGTGACAATCAGCACTACTCAGTCCCCACTCATTGGTCGACCAGCAGCTAAGCATTCGACTGAGCTCTGGAAAGAGCTCCAATTGCAGTTGAGGTGCCGCCAGTGACCGGTAAGCCATGACCATTCGTACGTTCGAGGCATCCGCCTGATCCGGACAGTGATTGGATCTCAAGGACGGGAGCAGCTGCCCTAGCCACAACATGGATCCGCTCAGCCTAGCCTGCTGCATCATGGACCTGATGAGGCAGGATCGAGCTGCAGAACCACATGCCCTCCTTTGCTGTGCCTGGAAAACGAAAGCTTTGTATGGTTAGGGTTAACGACGATGACTTCTAACATCATCGCCCGTTCCATAAAGCACAAATAATTTGGTGGCTCCTCGATTTTTTCGACTTATACCTACGACTTACCTACTGCAAGTACTTACTACGATACCACGACGATGACCACTAGGCCTGCTGCAGCTGCTCTGTCCTACAGCTACAGCTAATTACAGCTCCTCCTCCTACGACTACAGTAGTGTGCAGGGATTCGTGAACCGCTACTTGATTTCTGCCACGTGCCCTTTGGTCCACTTCTTCTCGACTAGTGACACCGCGTAATACTCCACTTGACTCACTTAAAACAGTTGTACCACGGGAACTCGCCGTTTTATGCCACTTGTACACTTGCGTCACTTGTACCACTTGTCTCAATGCCACCACTTCCGTATTTCCTAAGCCCCAAAAAGTCCCTGAATCCTAACCTTGCAGCGCTGAATAATTAGCCCTTACCCCTAGATCCTTACACCCCAATAACGAAAACCCTAACCGCCAAACCTAAATCAGGGCAGGTGGCACAAGTGGCTGAAGTGGTTCAAGCGGCCCAATTGCCCCCCTCCCCCCTCCCCGTATCAACGGGTACGATTGAAGTAACGGTTCCCGAATACCAGGGCAATCTACTACTGCTGCTGCTGCTACTACTACTACTACTACTCCTACTACTCCCATCACTACTGCTACTACTACTACCACCACCACTACTACTACTACTGCTGCTGCTACTACTACCACTACTATTACTGCTGCTCCTACTGCTACTGCTACTGCTCCGGCTACTGCTACGGCTGCCGCTACTGCAACTACGACTACTGCTCCTCCTCCTCCTGCTACTCCTACTCCACCCCTACCCCAACTCCTACCACTAACTACTACTTACCACTGCAATTACTGCTGCTGCTACTCCTACTCCCACTCCCACTCCCACTCCCACTCCGACTCCTACTCCTACTCCTACTCCTACTCCTACTACTACTACTACTACTACTACTCCTACTACTACTACACTATGCTGACTTACGGCATTGCTGCCTTGCTGACCTGCTGACTTGAACCTGCTGACTTACTAATTCGTTACCTTTCCCGGTTTCTGTCTGGGTCATGCACAGGGCTTGCTGCGCAACCTGCAGCGCTTGCGCATGGCTGTCCTGCAGAGGCACACTGGTGCAATTCGCAGCTCGCGCTTCTGTATTATACATATGAGTAGCATACATACTCCACCGTCCAGCCCAAAAATGAAGTGAAACCTTCTACGACTCCAGGAGCTGCCCGCGATCCGCACACACACACACACACACACTTTCCCACACAACACTTCAGTGGGGATGCGACAGAATGCAGACCTGTCAGTCTTTCTTAATAAGCACAAGAGCGCATAGAGAGCCACACGCTTCGACACGCCGCTTGTTTTGCGGCGGATTTGCCCACCGAACAGCTGAACGCCACATGCTAGTGCCAATGAACAGCATTCGAACACATCTTTCCCGACTCTCTTCGGAAAAAGGCATGTTGAGGCCCTGATAGTGACCACATGGTTCTGGAGTCGCAGGATGAGACATCTACTTCACAAGAAACATGGCGGAGCAGTCCATTGCTAAATAGATCTCTGCCGAAGCCAGCTGCATGATGGCCTCACACACACAAAGAAGCGTGGCAACAATGCTGCCTTTAGTCGTGTGCATCCTTGGCACGCACCTTCGCCACGATTTCGCCATGCTTTTCAAAAGTGAAGATCTCGCTGTTGGCAGCCTTTTGAACCCATGTGACAGACTAGGTCGGGCTGCCTAGCAGGCCTAAGACGCTTCTGCAGCTCTGGAGCCTGCAGCGCCTGTTCGAGAACCTTGGTGTGAACTACGACGCCAAGTGTGGGCGTTCAATGCCTCACATATCCACAAGGCCTCGATGTCTGGCAATCCATCGAAGCCCTTTTCCTCCGCTGCTTTGATCCGTGCCTCCGTCACTGAGATTCCACAACAAGGCAAGACCACACGTAGCTCGCCAACATCGACCCGGCAACCCATCTGAATGAGCGCCCAAAGAAGCAGAGCTTTCTCACGTCCAAACAGCATTTCGCAGTTGAAGTCGGTTTAAGCGGAGAATCTCCAAGCAGGGTCGCAGGCCCAGCAGGGGCCCAAAAAGGACACAGAAAAGTCGTCTTACCGTCCTGACCTGGCCTTGGTGACCACCCGGAGAGCATCCGCTTCTCTTTCTGCCTTCCCGTCCTTTGCCTCGGCCACAGTGCCGACCGTGCCGACCATCCAGTAGCATACCAGAGAGAATTCATGGATGCAAGATCTTGTGAAAGTCTAAAGCGGTTCGAGGTGCTGCCTGCCGCTGAACCTGTCACAAAAAAGGAGTGCGGAGGGGAGCTGTGCCGCTAAAGCTGCTAGCTGCTCACCACTCGCCTCTCCAGCCAACAGCTCAGCCTCCTCAAAGTGGCCGTCCTGATGGCGATGCGTTGCACTCAAGGTTCCACTCTGGCCCTGATCCAAGGATCCGACTTCCAAGATGTCGAGAGCGTCGTCCAAGTCATCTTTGTTCCTGAAAGTTGTTTAATTGCAGTTTGCGCCTGTCGAAATTTGTGTTGTGCAGGGCCCTTCATGCCGAGTACCCTGCGCAATTCGATCACCTGACAGCTCTGCGGGCGCAGGGTCTGCCGGCGTCGATGCAGCGGCTTTGGGAGCGTCTACCTTCTCGGGGAGCAGCGGAATTGGGAGGTGATCCAATGGACGTGCCCAGAAAGATTTTGTTCACTTGCCGTAACCTTGGGCGCCGGAATGGAAGGCGCGCTACTTCCAAGTCCGGTCGGGCCTTCGCTCGTGTGCAACCGAGACTTGCGGCTTCTGATTCTGAGCCCTGGCCTCTGCCAGATGGACCTTGGCAACATCGGCCGCACTCACACCACAGAGAAGCCGAGCCAAGCATGTACAATCGAAGGGTCGCACTGGAGGGTGGCTTTTGACTAACCTCTTCCCTCGGCGCTCTCGCCACTTTGCAATCTGCAATCGTATCAGTGGTCTTCGCCGGCTTCGCTGCCGGCACCTGGCTCAACACTCGGCCGCTCTAAGGATTTGCGAGGCACGGTGCCCTTCAAGCCTCCCCTTGCCGAGGAGGAGGAGGAGGTTCCACCTTTTGCGACGGCGCTGCACTGCCTCTCAAGGAATTCAGAAACGGAGGCAGTCATCATGTCTGGCGTGCTGGTGTTATCCGTCTTTTTATGTCTTGGCTCTGGGCTGATCAAAGGCGGCAGCTCGTCATCATCGTCTTCGTCGTCCTCCTGCGCCTTCTGCGCTTCCTGGCTCCAAAGTACTCACAACCTTCCACTGCCGATGACAAGCAGCCATGGACAAACGGGACAGCCACAAGCCTGGCCTTGGAGAAGGACGGCGCTTTCTCCTGCACTCGGCCGCTTGAGACCAGAGGCAAGCAGCCATGACCAGGGTAAGGATGGTTTTTTTGCTGCGTCTGCGGGCCGCAAGCCAAACCCCTCAAAAGAGATATGTTGTTGGAGAAACCCAAAACCCTAAAGGAGATGTTGGTTGGGAAACCCAAAACGATCCCAAAACTCTGAACCATGATGCTGGTTGGTTGCTACACCCCAAAAACCCAAAGCCCTGAAAGGAGATCTTGCCAAACCCAGACCCCACAAGGAGATATGGGTTCAGAAACCGCAACCCCCAAGCGGAGTTGTTGATTGCAAAGCCCAAAACCCTGAAAGGATGTCGGCTGAGAAACCCTAAACCCTAAAAACATGAGAAACCCAGAGCCCTGAAAGGCTGTGCGAAGTCAGATTCTGCTGCTTGTGCATAGCTTGTCCCGCGGTCCTGCTTCGGCGGCGATGCAGTGTGCGATGCTGTCGTCGCCTGTGATCCTGAGATATGATCGCCGAGATGTGACAACATTGCTTATGCACTCGCAGTTGTAGGCTCTAGGCCACTGCCAACGAGCGGTGGCAGCTCGTCGTCACTCTCCACCTTTGAATCAAAGCTGGTCTTCGCGTGGCCTCTGTAAGGAAGCACGACCCACCTCCGTGATCACGGCCTGAGCGGCGCTGGTGCGCTGTGCAGGAAGGCTCGAGGTTGGACTGTGGCCCGAATAAGCTGAGTCTTGCACCATGGGAGTGTGCTAGAAACTCATAGCAGGGTTGGCCGCATCTTTCTAATTATTGAGCATGGCGAACCCGAGGCACAATCAAGCACAAGCTTTGACTGCCCATTCATTGCAACCTGCATGTGCACGCACGCCTACATGCTTGTGTGCATTATCTATGCAACCATACAGACAGACGGACAGACAGGTAGACAGATGGAAAGACGCAAAGACCCTACCGCCCTCGCGCCGCAGACATCTCGCATGGTCATTAGCAAGCAGCTTCTTTTCCCGCATTGCTTTGGCCCAGCCGTGCACACGCGAAACTCAAGCTCGTAACACTGACAAGTGCCGACCGTCTATGCCATCTAGCTAGGTCTTTATATAGAAAACGTACTTCTTGACTGTGCACGAAAGACTGTATGCTAGCTTTGCTGCTGAGATCACTGGACCTTCCCAGAAAGGTGGGAAGCATTTGCAAGGCCTAGCCAACGAGCACCTGGTCACATAATTCAATCGCCGCCCCTCTACCTTGCCAGTCAGATGGCATGTTGCGTCAGCGGCCTGGGAACAGCGAAGCAAGGCGGCCCTAGTACCACTCGCTTGGGCTCGCTGTTATATGTCAAAATTTAGCATTTTGGACCTTTACAGTGTGAAGCTGTGCCGTCTTGATGATGGCTCGCCTTTTCGAGAGGACCTGGTCACCTGGTACAAGTAGCCCAAGATTACGTACAATGCAGGGAGATTTGCAGATTGCACATCGGGATGGCACTTCAATCCGGTCACTGGGCTCTGGCCGACTGATCGTTGACTTTTTTCCAGCGCATGAGCCCGACTATTGACAGCTCTTGCGTCCCAAGGCTTGGGCGACCAGCGAAGGCTGGGATGGACACCAAACTGGATCTGTACATGGGTATCATGGGTTCCTGAAATTTCTGAAAGGAACAAACAGGTCTCTTCAAACAGTTCAAAAGAACAGAAATTGCAGCGCCCGAAAGACTCGTGCCGTGTTAGTGTCCATGGACATGGTCCAAACATTGGTGGGTATAGACCTCCCCTCGACAAATCCAGAACCTGATGTGATCCACAAGAGTGCTACCTGCTATGGCACCGGCACTCCCGATGAACATCCAAAGGGAGTATGCTGCTAGGTTGTGCTCCCTTGGAATGAACTTGTCGATGGACTTGGAAGCCACAGCATAGTTGAATCCTTGACCGAAGAAAGTCAGCGCAGCAGAGGCCCAGCTGACTGCTCCAATCCCAAGGATTGTGAGACACATGCCGAGTACACTGCATGTCACACCAAAGCACAAGGCAACAATGTTCTTGAATAAGGTATCCAAAGCAAAGCAGTACGCAAAGCGACGGCTCGCCATATCACTCAGCCCAACGAAAACGAAGAATACCACAAAGAAGCGGTGTTTATCCATGAGGTGGTCATCTGTCGGTCCGAAGAGTGGTACCTTGTCAGAGTTGAATGTGTTGAAATTGGCAGGAAGAGCACCTTCCATTACAAAGTCCGTGACGAAGTGCGCAAGGATGTATGGGCACAAGACTGGCACCCATGAATACCAATGCCGGACAGAATTCCACACTTTTGCCTGCTTGTTGCTCTTGAGCACATGCCCACTGGCCGCTGGTCCCGACTCCACAGATCCGTCACGGAGCTTAGGGACGATCCGCTTCGCAAAGATGATAAGCCCAATAGGCATGCACAGAACAATGTACCAAAACAGGACGGCGACAGGCATGCCGAAAGAGACAAGGGTGAATCCTATCACATTAATAATTGCAAACGATGCCGGGAAGCCAATGATCGCCCAGGACTTTGTCAAAGGTCCGAGTGGGGTGATCACGTTGAGGTAGGCAACTTCAAAGACCCCCAGCGACATTCCGACGAGGCCGAAGGACAGAAATGCCCATCCAATCCACAAGTGCCCGAGCGAGTATATGAAGACGGGTGGGATCAAGCAACCCAGCATCATACATACCATTGACAGATAGACACGCGCCTTGACAGAAAGACACTGTAACAAGAAGTTTTGCGCCAGTGTCATACTCCACTTGAACCACTGGACGAGCGCAGCAGCCTGGGTAAAGATGCGTCCATTGGGGCTGTCATCGCTGATGTGCAAAGACTGCTTGAACGCATGCTGCAGGGGGCCCACAAGTGTGTATCCCTGGATGACACAGATCATCACCACCAGCACGATGCGTTCCGGTGGCAAGGACTCTTCTTGCCCATGGTCTGCCGAGATGTCGCCGTTCTCCTCATCGTGAGAGTCCTCGCCCTCCGAACTCTGATCTCCAGGTGTCTGATCCTTCGAACCCTCCACCCCCACTTCTCCCATCTCGCTGGCTATAGTCGCAGCGAAATTGACTACATGCTGTTGCACCCTGTGCTTTGAGCGCGTCTGACACCCAAACCAACACTGCACCGAGTTTCTCGGACAGAAGATACTGAGACAGTGAAGGAGGCTTGCTCGTGGGGATGTCTGCCTGCAGACATCCCACCCGGTAAGACGAGGCAGACGAGGCAGGGTGGATAGATCGAGGGAAAGAAGGTGAGAGATTCCGTGGAGTTGGGGTGGCGTGCCTCATACAATTCCTTGTAGAGAGCGAGAGGGAAGGATCGAAAGAGAGAGTGAGAGAAAGAGAGAAAGACAGAAAGAGAAACAAAGAGAAAGAGACAAAGAGAGACGGAAAGAGAAAGATCGAACGAGAGAAAAAGAGAGTGATTCAAAGAGAGAAAGAAAAAGAGAGAAAGAGATAAAAAGAGAAAGAGACACAGAGAGAGAGAGAGAGAAATAAAGAGAGAAAGACACAAAAAGAGAGAGAAGAGAGAGCCAGCGAGCGCGAGAGAGAGAGAGAGATATATAGACATGTATATATATATATATATATATATAGAAATCGAAATAGAGAAAGATAAAGAGAGAGCGAGAGAGAGGGCGACAGCGAGAGCGATGGAAAGCCGGAAACAGCAAATTGAAATAAGTCGGAATCACCCATTCTGGAACTGAAAGCAATCTCAGCGGCGCGGCCCATGTCGCAGTGGAGTCGCGATTCTCCTGTCGTGGACAAAGAGAAGAAGAGATCGAACCTCGAAGACACATGTAGCCCTCCTGCGTGTTACATGCACGCAACCGACCTTTGGGAACTGATTCACGCTAGGAGAAAAGCCCAGCTGGCTCTGCCCCTTCGTACGGTAATCTCTATGCCATCTTTATGCCTCGCCGATCCGCCCTCTCCTCCGGACAGAGGGAGCCAGAGATGCGAACGCGAAAGCCAGGGTTCCAGAGCCAGAAGCTGAAGAAGCTGAAGTCAAGGAATTTGCAGGCACCAAACAGGCACTCCCTCTGAGAAAGCGGCGAGGTAGAATCCCAATCCTAATACACCAGAACCCCATGCTTGCTTGACGCAAGCACGCCTGTCCTCCTCCTGTTGGGTGCCCCCCTCCAGCGGGGTTCTAAAACGTCTTGTCGACATTGTCGACAGGTGCTTTGGAAGGCTTCACTAGCTTCCCTTCCCTTTCTCCACCCCTGGCCGAGTCAACCGCCAGGTCTAGAGTTACGTGTGCAAGATTTGGGACGGCCCCCTCATTGGCGAATGAGCCAAGCCTAAGAAGCGAAACGCACCGAAGCCGAGGTCAAGGCCCGGAACCAAAAGCCACTAAGCAGAAGCTAAAGCTCGGAAACCGAGAAGCCCAAAGCCTTAAAAAAGGAGACGAGAAGCCGAAAGACAAAACGGTAACGAACCTCCTTTACCGTGCCCCATTGGGTGCATTGAGACTACAAGTACCAGCCTAACAACCACATTGATTTGTCATCAAGGGCTCCAATACACAAACCCTCGGGAATCAGGACGCAGTGTCGTCCATTTCTTTGTCAAACCAAAAGCCAATGTCGTGACTGCATGATGTCCCGCTTTTCGCAACTCACGCCAGGAGTGGGCGCCTCAGCTTTGAAATCCAAGCAGCTTCTGCTGAAAGGCGGCCATGCAGCTTTGTGTCGCTGCGCAAAAATGCGGGAGCAGCCCTTTCGAGTGATTTCACAAGGCAACACTAGCCAACTAACCGCCAGATAGTAAATGAGGGACGCAAGTGAAGACTTCACTCAAAGGAACTGCTGGGCTGAGGGGCGAAGGCCATAAAACAAACCACCCTCGCAGACCCTTCAGACAAAGACAGTCGATGGAGTCTCCGCCTGCGTCAGGGCAGAGCGGCGTTCTTTCGGTCGTGTCCCTCTGCGTGCCATGCCTCCGGCCTTCCCATTCAGCAGTTCGCTGGCTGACGCCTTGACCTCTTCAACGCCAGGCCAGACCCTCACCGAGGATCCGTGGTCCAATCCTTTCGAATGCTTCACATACTCGTTCAGGTCCTGGCCGCCGCAGACCTTCGTCGTACCATCCTGCTGGGGCAACGACTCACAAGCACGAGAGACCAAGTAAGGCTTAGGGCTTAGGCTGCTAAGCGCATTGACGGTCCTTGGTGTAGACGGTGTTGTCATGGCTAGTGAAGCCCTTCGAGTTGTGGCCGCAGTCCGATTGATATCTGCCACCAACTTTCAGAAGACAGCGATTGTTGGTGAAGGCATCATTATTGCCCGTTCCATCGGGTAATAACCCTGTTCCAGCAAACCAGGCATTCGCAATAAAAAGGTACATGTTGTTGACTTGGTGATTGTCGTGGCCGCCAAAATCATTTTTCAGTCCATTCATACCATATGCGAAGACATTGAAGTCTTGCAAGAGGTACGAGGAGCCATCGTCTGTGTCCACACCCTCCTGCGTGCTGTAGGTGCCAAGCCACAGATTCCTGGTGATGTGTCTCTGTTTCGGTATGATGGACGGCTGTCCGTTTCGAAGTGTCGTAATGTAGGGGACGCGATCCCAGCTGTTGTATGGCCCATGATCGCCAGATTCACGCACACAGTTGCCAATCACGTTTCCTTCGATTAAATCACCTCCACCAAATCCGTCGTTGAAGTTGATCCCGGCGCGCGGGCCATTGAAGTGCACGTTGCCGATAAGCTGGGTCTCCGCAGTCACCTGGGGCGGAGTGCAGAAGTGCAACTAGTATGCTCATTGAGCCGACGACACCGAAAGAAAGGACGGGTTCGTCTGGAAGGGGTCTCACCCGAAGCTGCGAAGCTTTGGCACGAGTGTGTCAGGACGTGACACACTCCTGTCACGGGTGGCGCAACCTGCCCCCCCGAACCGGAACCTTGTTTGCATCCGGGCTCATTGCTGGCGGGGTACCACTTCATGCGGAACCCGAAACCCCAAAACCTAATCCCCAAACCCTTGCCCAAACCCCAATGCTTGAAAGGGAATGAAGAAACGTTCAACTATAGTGAATAATTTCTCGCGCGTGGTTTGGGGATGGTCATTCTGCCGGAGCGTTGGATTTGTCACACCGCACCGTCGGACATGTTCACTTGCAAGTGTTTGCCAATGCGTGAAAGCTGGTACCAACAGCACACTCTTATTCTGTTTTACACCTGAACTACGCCTATGCCAGGAACCCACACTCTTATTCCTAAACCCTAGGCCTAGGCCCTAGACCCTGCACCGTTATCCCTGAAGCCAGAACTGAATGAGCCCTGGGCAGTCGAGCTGGGCGAATGCACCGAAGCCGGCGGGGCGATGAACTAGGCCGGGCAGGGGGTACTGCCAGGCAGGCCGCCCTGGGCTCGACGGCCTGGGTTTCTGGCTTTGAAGGAGTCTCAGAGAAAAACCCTGCAGATGCCAGAATCCGGAACTGTCGAGGCCCACCCGCGTCCAATGAAACCAAAGCCCCCGGCGGGGAGGCCACAAGCGGCCACAAGCGCCTTGCCCCTTGCAAGCCATGCGGAACCAAAGCGTGGGCATCTTCTGGAGCACGTGGACGGTCAGAGTACAAAGAACCCCAAAAGATCAGAGTGGAGCTGGTCACGGGTGGGACGCAGAGTTCAGGGCCCAGCGCGCCCCCCTCATTGCTAGCCACCCCTTTGTGTCACGAGCGTTTGCGTTTTAGGCCTGGCTCGCCGTCTCGTGTCAGGCCTGAAACGTCGCAGCTCTCTCAGCTCCCCTGGCGTGACCCCCAGCCCTGACACTGTAAAAAAAGCTGAGACTGGAAATCTGGTTTGAGCCGAGCCGCAGCTTGAAACCACATAGAGGATTGCTTCTGCCAGATCCTTAGCAGGACATGTCCCTGTCAGATCTCCATGCCGCGCGTCGTTACAGTAAAGCCAGGGAGCCCGATCTCACGCACAAGGTTCGACTTCACCTCGGAAGCTGCACGAGAAAAGGCTAGTCTGCAATGCTTGTTGAGCCCTTGATGTTTTTCTTTCGCCTCAATACAGATGTTGAACATGACCATTTTATTTGGTGCTTTGTCGATCATAATCACACAGGCCCTGCTTATCGATCTGCCTTCCCGGGATCTGACGTGGGCACAAATACTGTCAGCTAAGACGCCAGAGTCCCATGTGGAACTCGCATGGCGCGCCCGTCCGGCCCCATCAAAGTGCCCTTCGGCAGTGTCCTGAGCCGCTTTGAAACTCTCGGAGAGCGCCGAGCTGTGAACTCCGGAGAGCAATACTCCACAGAGCTCTCCAGAAAGAAAGTCTGAGCTTGAAAAGCTTTTATTTTTGCAGCAACGCCGAGACGCAGAGAGCAGTTCTCATTCAGGCAATCTCCTGTGTATCCCCAAGCAGCCATAGCTGAACTTCCGATATAAGAAAACTCGTTGCCCGTCAAGCTGGCATTTTTCACGGCACCATCCAGGAAGATACCGTTCCTTGGATGTCTCATCCTCCAGAGCCTACGTGCAAGCGACTTCAAGTTCAACTTTCTGTGTTTTCAACTTCCAGGCCCAAAGCGCCCATCCAACTTGGTGAGCAAACTGTCCGCCACCGTCACGTTCGATGCATCGCGGATGACGATGGCGGCCAAGCGCTCCAAGGCCCAGTCGCCGCCTTTGCGGTGTTTCTGGACACTTCTAGCCACACACTACACACGACGTCGTTTAATGCACCTGGCGCTCAGGCTTATCATGTTCTCCTCCCTACGTCCTCATGTCAGGCATTCAATATGATGCACTTGTTCTTGGCACGCTGCAGGCTGGCTTCAGCATGAAGCCTTGTGCAATATTTCGCCCCTCCCTGTCTTCACCTTCTGTCTCTTGCAGAAGAGGAGACACCCAGTTCTTAATGCTCTGTGGGTCATCTGACATGGCTATCCAGTTGACTGGCACTCTACGATGCAAACTGCGTACATCAGTGTATGCGGTGTTCTGGAGCAAAATCAAGCCAATATGCAGATTCCTTCTAAACACAACAATGCCACTGCTTCTATATACCACGTTACCACAGATGCTCACGACATGGCCTAAACCCAACAGCCGGCCTGATGGCAGGCCGTGCGGTTCCAGGTAGGTCAGCATGGAATCCCGAACTTCGACACCGCCTTGCTGGGGCAAGAACAGGTCGTGTGATGATAGTCAAGCAACGCAAACTCTACTCACAGGGTTGGTTCCATTCTCGGGCTGCACATGAACCATTGCTGTCTGGTAGCGTAGGCTGCTGTCAGAGCTGGTGATGTTGAGAAGTACTTGCGTGACCGGCAAGACCCACTGCTCGGTGCCGTCAGGCTCCGTGTTTGTGCCGTTGAAGGAGAAGTAGAGCATTCGGCTTTGATGGTCATAGAAGAACTCGTTGGGAGCATCGCACTCCTTTGGCGCAGCTGGGGTGCAGTTATATGTTATATGGTAGAAATAAATCTAAAGGCACAGGACAGACGGAGGAGACATAAACCAAGTCCTCAAGCACGTTCTCGATCCACCACTGCCCTCCAGTTTTCACTCCCTCACCACCTTGATTGCCACCACGATGAGCGGAGAAGACCTCGGTTAACAGGAGTCTAAAGCCGCCAGACTTGTGCCGCCGTGACCGCCCTGACCTTACGTGTACATGGCTTCAGCTGTGGGGCCATGGACTCTCCACGGATTTCATCCACCAAAAACTGCCAGGAGAACCACCGCCCGCCGCCCCGCCATGCGTTGATCACGGGCTTGGTGCTCAAGCTTGTGTAGTTCTGGAAGTGCGGCAGGACCTTCGATGCCTCCACGCAGTTTCAAGAAGCCACACGGCCGACTCAACAGATCCGCGCTGAATGCATCGTCTGCAGATGACCCTGTACCCAGCAGTCGCGCCTCGTCGATTCCAGAAGGCGAGTTGTGCGTAATGATGCCTCTGGGTGGGTGGGCCCCGCACCAGTACCCGGCAGAGGGCTCGACGTCGTCGCATGTTCCCCCCACTCCAATGTAGAACCTTCTGCAAATTACAAGAAGATTCAAGGGGCCTGGATATGATTACCTGTTGAATTTGGGGCAGCACAGAGTAGAAGGCTTTGCGAACAGATCTGGACAGACCGCCAACACGGAAACTGTTCTTTGCCTTTTGAGGTTGGATTTTACAACTAATCCCTCCAGCACAGAATTCACGGGATGAGTGGCTTTCCGAAGTCGCCCTCGCCCGTCCAAACTTTGGACCCATCAGGAGAAGTCATGGGCCACTCCACCCCGGGCCAGTCGCTTCTGCTGACGAACATGTCCCTTGACGGCGGGCGCTGCCGTGGAGGGGTCCAGGATGTGAAGCCATCACCTTGGAGGCGTGTTGTTGACTTAGACTTAGGCCTTGGCTGGCCTTCTGCGCAGGCGAAGAAACATCATACAAGGCCAATACAAGGCACGGATGAATGCATTGACATAGTCTCCACCGCCCATTGACTGGCCAGCACCATACAGCCATTGCCCCGTACGCTCCGGAGCTCCGTCCGGATACTTAGCACGGATTGCTCGCTCTCCGTTCAAGCGGAGCCCAGGAAAACCCTCCGGACCAATATCCAGGTTCAATGCAGAAAGGTCCGCTCGCCAAAGGTTCGTCATCATGCGACGGCCTGTGATAGTCCCGTTCTGCGAGACTGGATGGAATCCAAACGGTGCTTTCATACCATAACATGTGTGAAGCCAAGCAGGGTCGGCGGATTCATGCCATACATAACTTGAATGATCGGCGGCAGCGTTTTCACAGTCTTGTAAGGATTGGAAAGTACCGAGGAAGAGGCAACAATCAGCGCTCTGTTTTGGCTTGGGCACCAGCCCAAAAATATTGTTCCAACCAGTATAACGCCTCCAGCCTGTTTCTTTCCGAACATTGCTCCAGGCAGCCTTCGGGATGTTTAGCGGGCGTCCCCCACTTAGCACTGCATGTTCGCCCGGGTAGTTCTGGATCTGCAGCCCCTGCAGCCGTCATAGCACAGTACGAGTACGACGGAACAGGAGTCCCTCTTGTCCGACTCCGTGCCTGGATGAACTTCTCCTTGGAGATCTGCAGTGTGGCATTCACGTAGTAAGTGCCCTCTCGCAGCACGATCACCGGCTTCGAAGACAGACCAGCAGCAATCTCTAGGGCGGCTTGCAGGGACCTTCAGAACATATCAGAACTGAAGGCTTATCAGTGGAAACGTGCAACAGCGTGCAAAGGCCTTGCCTCACCGGCAGTTGCAAAGTCCCGGGGTAGTGGTCCTGTCCCCTGCCGTCTATGTAGATGGCATCCGAAGGCGCGGGATACCTGCTTGAGAGGGTATAAGCCAGATATACATGCAAGATCACAGCTTTCGTGCCTGCCTTGGAGGCTGCCAGTGGTCCTCGTCGCTTGGCGTGGTCCGATTGCAGTTCTGTAACTGCATCGCCTGCCGAGCTGCGTTGACGGTGTCGAAACATGTGCCTTCCGACTTCTGGCCTCGAAAAGGCTGCGGAAGGACCCTCGCGCTGGCAGAAGCTTCTGGCCCTGCTGCCAGACAAGTTCGCGGATGGCACAATCATACTCCTCTGGAACTCCTGGAAAGGGGGAGACAACACTTCAACAGCGAAGCATGGGGACGGCAATTGTCGCGCTCCTTCCGGCGTCCCGCTGTTGATCCACCCAGTTGCCCCGGCTCTCGCTGGAACCGACACCAAAGCGCCAAACGTGCTGAAGGCACCGAACACGCGGAGCGTCCGCGGCAACATGGCTTGCGCAAGGAGTGAAAGAACGCTGGCGACGCCGCTGCGACGCCGCTACGCGAGCCGTAAATGCCTGCAGCAGATCTCCTCTGAACAGTGGCGACATACCCTCGAGCACCCACGAGCTCCGGCACGTGAAGCGAATCGAATTCATGCTCTTCCCAAAGTTGCCATGAGCTCCGGCGGAAGGGCTTCGCATCAAAGACCACCCTCCTTTTCAGCCTCGCAAGAGCCGAGTCTACCTCGCCCTGATCAAGCGCGAGGGGCTGCCTTGGCCAAGGCAAAAGGGAAAGAAACAGACCGCACCGGAGAGCATGGCTTCGGCCCCCCGAAGTACCCAAAACGAGAGCCTTGGATGGCTGCGATGCTCGCCGCAGCTCCTGCAAAGATATGATTTCGGTGTATTTCGGCACCTCACAGCAGAGCCTCGTTCAGAATCTTATTCAACTTCTCGTCAACCATCGCCTCAATCTTCTTCTCCATCCTTTGCATTGTCTGCGCATGCTTTCATCCCTCTTATGGGTTTGCTGGAGAGGGCATTGAGGACACTGCACATCAGAGAGTTCTTTGCTCTCCCGGCGCGGGTACAGCTCCGATATCACCTTTTTGCAGATGAACTCCAAGTGTGTTGTCACCAGGCGAAACAGGCGAGCCCAAAGGGACACTTGCTCAGAATCCACTTGCGACTTTTTGCCCTGTTCTTGGACCTGGGACCTCTGCTCAGCAAACAGGCAGAGCCCCACACCTGAAGCCTGAACTCCAGGCATCACAGCTGGCAACAGTTTACTCTTGGGGGACTCTGCCTGTGCGAGCTTTTTGATGGGCTTGGACCCGATGGCCTGAGGCTCTGCGGGAACGTACAACGCAGCTCGGTTAAGGCATGCTGAGCTGCGCGCTTGTTCACGGAGAAAGGCCATCAACTTCTGGTCCTCACGCTTCTGAGCGAGAAGGACCACGCGCTGCGCCATCCTGGCAGCTGAAGCCGTGAAAGGAAGCGCACGCCGCAGCCATTCATTGCAAACACGGGTGCCTGGCAGACGCCCATGCGTCCGACATAACGAAGGTGTCTTCTGAAATGGTTCCGGTACCTGAGTACTCGTACAACTGTACAGGTCCGCAGAAATGCTGCCAGAATAGCTCCGAACGGTATCTGATGACGGGAAAGTCAGGCACCTACAGCAAGAATTTGCGCGAGACGCTGGACTCTGGTTGGGGAAATGCCATGGCAAGGCCCACCTCTTTGGATGCAATGTCAAACAATTCCTTCCTGTTGCAGTTGAGCGAGAGATTTGTGTCATTCAAGTGCCAAGTGTCAGCAGCCCCTGCCTGGCTTCCTCGTTGGGGCCGCCCCGGACCCCCACATGCAAGCGACTCCTCCAAAGCTGGCACCCCGGTCCTGTGTTCTTTTGCGCGCTCTGTCCGTCCTTCTGGGGTTGATCACTTGCGGCGCAGACTTGAATACCCTCTTGCAGTCCTTCGAGATGCATCGCAGAACTTTGTCAATAAGTCGTCTGCCACCCAAACCAGGCCGGGCACACAGCAATTACCAGGCCCTGCAACATCGACACGACTCGTTGAGCGTGGCTTTCCCGAACCTTGGAAAGGCAGGATCAACCTGCTTGCCCGCGCCGCATGCTCCGATAAAAGCTTGGGACTGTCTTCGGCGTGCCGCGATCGATGGTGGAGTCGTCCATGGCGACAACCCATTTCCATTGCCTCACTCACGTGAGAATCATCCACGCAGTGCTGCACAAGAAGCGGCCTTTGCCGAAATTCTTCCTCCAAGACATCAGAATCCTGCAAAGTCAACAACTGGGAATGGACGAGTGCCCTCATGACCGAAAAGCATCCTCATTCTCGATCCTCGCTCTCACCGACGAGCTGCAGCAGCTTCTGTGGTGCGATCTGTTCGGCAAAAACTTGCAACTTCTCCAGGCCTCCATCCTGAAATGATAGCCGTGCCTGTCGCAAATCTCGCAACACCGCCAACACCTCCAATCCCTTCTGCTGTGCCTCACACGTCACGTGGTATGTCTGGTAAGCTGGGCAAAGCAGAGACGGAAAGATGCGGACGTCATCGGCACCATGCTTGGCATAGTCCACCAGGCCAAACCTCAGCGCCGTTCAAGCGCCAATTTGCTCCGTTTGTCATCAGAGAACGACAGCCAACACAAAGTTCACCAAGTCATCTCACATGTGACACATGTGGAAAAGCGTGCGCACTATGATTAGGAATCTTAATGTCAATTCATGTTTGGTTCTGGGTCAAAGGATTTTTGCACCATGCCAGTATGACACCTCTACACAAGAAACCTCTTTTGCAGAACAAGCTGCTGCAAGGGCAATAAATCTCGGAAACGAAGCAAGGCGTAACCGGTCATCTGTCGGCGGACGGCAAGGGAAAGGATGAAGTCACCTGAGCATTGCATCGCTCATGGCATGCCCAATCTTGGAAACGTATTGGCTGACTGTACTAAAGCCAGCACCCAGTTCATCCGGCGCGTACTTCACGACCGACTGCTTCGTTGCGCCGGGACGGGAAACCTTGTCAATCTTGCGAGAATGTGCGGCGGCGCTGACCCCACAGGTGCCACGAAGTCATCGCCTCTTCCTCACGCCACCCTTGTTTCAGTGATGGCCTGGCAGCATACATGCCAAAGTTGAAGCCGATGTGTGGGACACAACGTTGTGAGCGCCTGCCCAAAGCGTCCAACTCCTTTTCCAAACCTTCATCGAAGTCCTTGAAGGCAACATGGTGCCGACGAGTCTTGGCAAGCGTCCGCAAGACATGTACGCGGCAATACATAAGTTTGCACCAACACTGGTCCGGGAAAGGGCTCTCCGCAATGCGATCGGACGCAGAAGTCCTTCAGGGGTTGGGGATTGCTAACAGGCTTCTCAAAGTGAAAGACCCGCCAACCGTGCCGTGCATGTGGTCCTGGCATAGCGCAATGGAACGAGCCTCCGACATGCGCAACAGTGCATATGGTTCACATGGCAAAAATTGCGGCACCTTGCGCCCAGCACGTTGACCCGACCTTCAAAAACAAAACAGGCGATTCGAATGCCCCATGTGACGCGAGCTTTCCTCACCTTGCCAAAGACGATGCCCGATCTGTCGACAACCAACTCCCATGAGACATGCGCAATTCCGGGTGTTGTTGCTGCATGTCGCTGTCATAGACGCATAGAATATAACAGAATATCTGCCCGGTCGAATTCAATAGAACCTGTTGACGCTGATGTTCCTTGCTGGCCTGGACTTCTCGACTTCATGTCTTGGGTCTTGTCTTCAAAATTACAAGGCCAGGGATAAAAACACCGAGCACAAAAAGCAAATGCATCCAACGGCAAGCATTCTCAAATGAGACGTGCCCACAAGCAACACAACGTTGCAGACGAATTCGCACGAATATATGACCCGGACTCCGGCTCGACCGCATCGCCTCAGCCGAAGACCCACAAGCGGTGTCGCTTCCTCGAGGAAGGTGCGCCGAGGACATGCACTGGGCAGCAACAGCCAGCATACGACCGCTGTACCTAGGCAGCCAGCGCTGCGCACGATGCTGGGACAGTTTTTTGTAACTGCAGAAAATGGATCCTGTCGATGTAGCAGTGCTTCCCAGACCTCGCCGCCTCGGAGCCCCGCAATCCAGCAACAAGCTGCCCTTAAGCCTCCTATGTACCGCAGGCTCCAGCACTCTGAAGGGACCCCTGCCACATGCCAGGCAAAGACAGGGGACGAACACGGGCAGCCTAGGGTAACCGGGGAAGGGTAGGGAAAACGGAAAACCTACAACCGCAACAGAATGAACCCACACTCGCCATGAAGGTCTCGAAGCCAGGTGACCTGAGACGCGGCTGGGGTCTAGTTGGATATGATAGAGCAATGTCTCTTTCACTCCAAGCTCCAAGCCTCGATTTGCGAGGCCAACTCTATGAGCCCGCCCCACAAAATCAAACCGTCCAAAAAACTGCCACACACAATTCTCGTCAAATAAAAAGACGTGATATGCAGCAGGTGAAACGTACTATGTGCCGTAGCAATGTATGAGTCTCATGCATCTCCGGCATGTTGAACCTACATGCACATTCTCAAACCGATGTGAAAAGTCATGCGTGGCTAATTGCTTCGCAGTCAAAATACCAAGGTCTCCGTTGGACCGTTGGCCATTGCGACAAAGGTGATTGTCGAGCAGTCCGAGATGTTCCCCCGCAGCGCCTCCAGAAGGAAAAGGGGGGCTCCAAGTTCCTCTGCGAGGTGGAGGGCCGTGCGGCCGCGAGAATTCTTGATGTCCAGCTGCGCACGCAACGTGATGAGAGCTGCTGCCGCCTCATACTGCTGAGAGATCACGGCCAGCATGAGGGGCGTGGCACCGAGCAACTGAAAACCAAGGTAGCATCCCAAGGTGCGCTTGCCAAGTCTGTACTGGATGGATTGGAGCATGGCCAGCATTCTGACCGGATGGCTTAAGGATACGCTGAACTGCTTGTTCACATCAGCTTTATGGTCCACCAACATCATCACCAAATCCACGGTGCCTGATTCAGAGCTGAAGCGAAGCCCATGGGAGAAAGAACGTACCAGAACAACACAAACCCACCCTGTCACACTGAATGTCACTTTGCCTCCTGCTGTGGCCCGCATGTGCTAACAGAGATTCATGCAGGGGCCAATCTGCACAAAATTCTTGCGAGAGACAATGCGCGAACAAACAACACATTGCGTTTGGCCAAACAAGAATACGCACATAGCTTCTATGCCTTGCAAGCGTGCCGGAAACGCGGAGGGAAGAAGTGAACTTCAGGACCCGTGCCATGGTAAAGCAAGTATGAAAAACACGCAGCGACAAGTGGCTTCTTGCATATCATGGTCATAGGACCCAGTCGTTGCGGGTCCACTGCACTTCTCTCACGAATCATGGAAACTGGACAAGCTATCAATCCGATAACAACTTCTCGCATGGTTAACACGGGGTGGTTAATAGCAACATAATAGGACCAGCCGCTGCATCAAATGACCAATCGGAACTGTGATCGCACTGCAGAAGGCAGTGGGGACGTGTGGTACCTTGTGGTGCCAGTGTGGTATGGGGCATTGGCCATTCTGCTGCCTTTTTTTGGCGTTGGCTGATTGTCAGGCCCCTTCAATGCGGTGGCTGACTGCGAATCTAGACATAGAGGTAGGGGTTGTCGTAATAGTCGCCGTAGACATTGCAGTAGTATGCAGCAGGAGTTTCAAAAGCACAAAGCAGCGCCTCCACGACAGTACGTCGCGTAGTGCAAGCAGTTGGACACGTCCATACCGAAACCGGGGTCGGAACTCGCCTGAGCATGCACCAAGGAGTGTTTCTGGAGTAATGGGCTTTGGGGTTTGGCCCTTGACCGCTTTTTGATTGTTCGGGCTTCGGCTTATCATGTTGGGCCTGGGCCAAGATCTCATACGTTGCGTCCACCGATCCGGCCAGGCACGCTTCTTCCAGTGGCGTGAGCCCGAAGAGGTCTCTGATGTGTAAGCTTGCACGCATGGCTTGGAGAAGACGAACGCCTTCTGAATTGTTGCCATAGGCCTCACATCTCAAACTTCACAACACAACAACTCATCTTCAGAGACATACTCGCCTCTGTGATCAACACATGGAAAAACGGTGCTTACTGGCATCCCGGAGGCAGCAGCGATCATTGCTTGTGTCGGCCCTTGGCAAGTTCGAGCACCGAAAGCGGTGAGAACGGGCATCGCCTCGTGATTTCTCATGTAAACGCAAACACCCAAGACCGTAACGCCTGGTCCAACACCAGCTTTCAAACTTCCTTTGCGGGTTGTGTCATTGGGATTGGCGCGCTGCTTCAGCAAGCCCTCGATGAGCAGCGGATCCCCGCTCAACGCCGCGTACAGCAGTGGGGACCACCCGCTGCTATCATAGCCTCGGACCTTCCTGAATCCGTTTTGGTACATGAAACGCGAGGCACGTTGAGATGAGGGTTCGAGCTCGCATTGCAAGTCATTGCTTGCACCAATGCCATGGGCGGCATCTAGAGGAAGGATGTCTTCCACAGGATCCACTTGGAAGCCTCGAAGCAGTACGGTTTGCATGTTCATAGTGAAGCGGTATGACACAAGATCCTGCCGATTCAAGGCCTCCAATGCCGCCTCACGAATGCGTGACTTGACCACAGGACCCAGCAAATCGCGATCGCTTGGGTTGGCAAACATGCCTTCACCCGGTGCAACCCCATGGGACATCACGGGATACTTGGGCACCAGCTGCATGTTGCGGGCACCATTAATCAAGATGCAGGGAGGGCCATTCGACAAGTCTCGGATCACTTTCTCTATGAGGCACCAGCCCCTCTCACCCCACGTCGAAGGCGTGAACACTGCAGATTGGGTCGGACTCGCAATGACGGGGCTGAGGATAACGAAGAAATCGCTGCGGTCGACATATTGGGGTATGGATGAGATGCCCGGTGACTTGTCCACATCGCATGCTTGTGGGATGCAGAAGTAGTCATACCACAGAAACAAGGAACTGGTCCGAAAAACGTGGCAGTCCAGATCTTTGGCATCCGGATTAATTACTTCTGTGATTGCGTCCGTAGATATCTTCTGCAAGTCAGATAACATGTGCAGCAATGCCTGTTGCAGAACACGGGCTTGGCGAAACTCAGGATCTGGATGTTTGCGGCCTACCCACTGGTGTGAGACAAACATGGCTTTGCCCGCGGATCTGTCAAACTCAACCAACACGCCGTCGAACAAGAGGTCCTCATGCGGCTGCATCTCCGACATCTGAAGAAAAACTTCCGCTGGCAAGGCGTACATGGGGAATGCCGTCTGCTTGGGCTCTGCCTTGGTGACTGTACGCAGGGTACAACGAAAACAAGGGTTGCAATCAACAAACAAAAAAAAATTACCGTCGCAAAGACTGTGAATGCACCAACGTGGCTGTCCACCTTCCCACAAGTAAAACTCATGTTGTTGACGGGTCCCTGAAAGCCACCGGTAACTCCCATACCCATAACTCATTGTCTCTGCTAATGCCATGTTGTGAAACCCGCCCACCTTCTCGCGAAGGTTTGCCTTCGACAACGCTTTTGCGAAACTGAGCAGAGCCGTCTTCTTTTCGTCTCGCGGCGAGCAGCATGTGAACATGGCAGACATGCTTCAGGCGGTGTTAACGAGTGTTGCTGACTCTCTGCCTGGGTTGGCACATCATGCTGGAAGTGCATGGCTGTAACTGACTCTAACGTTTTGCTGCGTTCATCCTTGTTTGTGTAACTGCACTAAGAGCCATCTCTACGGACTCTCACCGGAGTGCTGGTCGGCTTTCCTTTGCGGCGTGTTAACCTCATGCTGTTCTGCTTCTGGTAGTATGGCCAATTCGCCTGGAGCCCGCGCATTGGGACTGTTTTATTGACAACGCCTTTCTGCTCCTGCCCAGTTCCTGTCCGATCAGCAGGACCTACGGGAGCCCAAGGACTACACCCTACTACTACACTTAGGGTCGCAACGGCAGCCGGCTCGGCCATTCGGCCTCGGCGAGGTCGAGTACGCGGTCCAGCGGAGGGCCCTCGACGCCGGTGGCATGTGGTGGCTGGGGCCACGGTTGGCCGAGGGCAGTGCTGGCAACCGCTTGCTGCACTGCGACAAACAGCATGCCCCACCAGCGACGCGCCCAGCCTGAAGACATCCGCCGCGCATGGCTGTGGTTGTCCCGTGCGTGTCGGTGGCGATACCAGTGTCGCATCGCAGCACCGCGCGGAGCCATTGGACGTCGCTCCGTAGATGACCAAATAAGCGGCGTCGGTCTTCCGCGCATACTCCGGGTGCTGCAGGAGTGTGGACAAGCCATTGTTGCGGCACCGTGCAACTGCCCCTCGGCGCCGACAGCTTCGTGCGCGACGTGGACCCACGCTCGCCCGACTACCTTGGCGCGTCGAGCGAGCGCGTGGTCACCGAGTCGGTGGACTTGTGCCCCACTGCCGTGTGTCGGTCCGCATCTGCTGCGGCAGATCGGAAGCGGCATGCGTAGGCGGCGGCGGAGGGCCAGCTGCATGGCCTGGGGCGCAAGCGTCGTTGCTGGCTGCGGGTATGGATGCAAGCCCCGACCCTGCGTGGGCCCCCGATTGCGATCGCACCAGCGCCCGGGCATCCGGCGTCATAGCGGCAGCGTCAGACTGTCGCGGAAATATTGGTTTCGAGTACGCGACGCATGAAACTGCCAGCCAAGCGGCCAATGTCGCCGAGGCCAGTGTGCGTTGGCCTGGCCGGGCGAGCTCCTTGGAGGATCTCTCGCCAGCTTGGGCAGGCTTCCCAACCTTCTGTGAGCGGCGCGCAAACTGGGGCTTCGCACCACCACGCTCCAGCGCATCCCGATAATAAACCCGAGCAGGGGGCTTGGATAACCGGCAAATCATTTGCTAGACCTGCCCAGTGCCGGGCTGGTGCGTTCCGCCGATTGCAGTCCCAGACCGCCCAAGAGTTGCCAGTTTTCGTGCATGCAGGGCTTCGGGTTGGGCTGCGCCCCCGAAGCATTGCTTGAGCGTCTGCCACACACACGGCTTGGCCATGGGCCCGAGCGTAGGCTAGGATCTCCTGCGGTGGCACCGTGCGAAGGCAACATCCAAGGACGTCCTGGCCCTGGAGGGCGCGTCGCCCAGACCTGGTGCTTGCAACCTACTTGAAGGATCGTGTTGTTTAGTATCCGAATGGGCGGGTTGCGGTGGTTAGTAAAGCCTGCAAGTGAACTTATAATCGGGCTATCTTGACTTATAAGTGTACCATGTTGGGTAAGTGTGTTTTTGAACTTAGTAAGTGAGCGAGGGTGGTTATAAGTAGTTGTTTGAGTTAATAAGCACTTAGCACATTTATAACTGACTTGGGACAAATGCTGTAAGTGGAAGATAAGTACTTGGACACGGTTATATCGGTTATCTAAGTCATTTATAAGTACTTATATAAGTACCCTAACTTCATCGGGGCAAAGCATTTGCAGGTCGGTGCAGCTGGTGGTTGCCGACGTCGACGGCATCGAAAGGTGCTTCCGCCCCCCGCTTCTTTGCAAGTGGTGAGTTCAGTGTTCCGAGCATGTTTGGCCATGTCGAGACTCCCATCATGAGAGACATGCAGTGATGCTTGCAGCTTTCATGCAGTGTTTGCATGTATGTGTATACACTTGCAGTCTTTGCATCACGTGTACATGCAGTGGTATACGATGCCCTGCATGTGTATATAGGAAGTCGTCGTGCAGGGCAATTTGCTCGCCGGCAGGCTGTCACGACATTCTTGTATGACTTTCAAACTGACAGTTCATATCTGCATGCAGCATCTTGGCTGTGACAGCACTCACTGCACACACACACCGACCGCTTCCGAAACACAGCATGGCTTTGTCTGCTGATCTCGTTGCGGACATCTCGTTGAAGCTGGCACAGGTGCAAGAAGGCGATCGACTTGTAAAGACGGTGCATGCGGCTATCAGCCAGCTTGAGTCGCAGGGCCACGTCTACACGATGCAGCTTCAACCGACCATGGTCGGGATCAGTTCCCAGAACCGCGACGGGAGCGGGATTAATCCCGTAGATGTCCACGATCTTCTGGGCGACATAGTTCAAGCCGGCTGGCTTGATGCCAGGGTCCAGGCCATCGCCCATGAGCCAACTGGGCAAGAGGACATCGATTGGAATGTCCGTCTCTTCCAAAGCATGCATGATCGCTGTGGGCCCCTGGAGCCCACGATGATCAAAGCACTCTCCCTGGCAGGGTCACACACAAACTCGGTCTTGCGGTGCTTCCACTATGAGGTCATGCATGAAGGAGACGAGACCGTGTGTCATGATGGAAGACTCAGCATGGAGTTGCTTCGCAAGCACGATCCGGACTTCGCGAGGGCGGTTCGCGAAGGAGTCGTTTGGAAGATCTTGTCAAAGCACGTCGCTGCCCAGCTGCCGCAGCTGTTGGGACTTGTCCAAAGGATGGGAAACGCCACACTTCACCGTGGCGAACACGAGCTCCAACTGATGAGACGGCTGCATCAGACTTGGGTCCAGATGAGCTCTCAGGGTTCTGTGGACTTCCTGGCACTGAAGAGCAAAGTCACCACGGGGAAGTCCGTGCATGGCAAGTCCATGCCGCATCTTTACAGTTTCGTGTTGAAGACTGCGGGTGGCACAGATCCGTTCTTGCTCAACGAGACTGAAACCTTCGTTAGGTTGCATTCCCCCAGCACACGTTCATTGGGACCTGGTTTCTGGGAGAAGGTCAGTGCCGATGTCAAAGGTTCCAACCAATTCCCACGGTTCCGGCATGCCATGGCCACTTGATTCATAAGCATGCATGCATGTACAGGTCACATATTATGGGATTGCAAGGCCGAGGTTGCTAGTTGTTGTTGTTGTTGCTGCTGCTCTTAGGTGAAGCTTGCATACTGCAAAGAAGCTGTGGGGTCTGCCGAGTGCAAGAAGATGTTGAACAAGGATTCAACGGCCTCTGTCAAGGAGGCAGACACCATCATGAGCACGTGGCGAAAGCTTGTGACGGCCCTGCCGGATGGTGCAGAGCTTCTCATGAAACCCGAAGTGCAGACCTGCTTGTCCTATGGGGACATGTCCTTGGCTGCCTTCACCCTGAATGTGATGTTGCCCGGTGAAGACTTGAAGAAGTATAAGACAAGCCAATCCCTCGCCCATGACCTCGTCCTGATTTTGGAAGGCATCCTCAAAACAGACCTGAATGGGCCCTGGGCGGCACACAAGGTCGTAGATTCGGGTGAGGCATCGGGTTCCAAACAGGTGGCAGCACCCAAGGTTATCATGAGGGAGCTGAGCTCCGACGGCTCGGTGAAGGATTCAGCGCAGATGCTGGCCGAGTCCGGCTTTTCAGTCGGCCAACATGTCCGTCGCAAGGCGGATCAGGAAACTGGCCAGGTCATGGCGATGGAGCTTGGCCGTGTCAAGCTGAAGCAGCCCTCGGGCTCCGTAGTGCGGGTGTCGATCGACAGCTTTCTCGCAGGGGACTGGCAGGTCTTCACACCGAAGCCGGAGCCCCAGACGGTGAATGACTTGTCGGTGTATTCGCCTTTGAACTTCCCCGAATACGAGCGACAGATGCTGTTGGCATGCTTGCACATGGACATGCATGAGCTCATGCAAAAGCACAGCACGAATCCCATGCTGCAGAAGCTCATGGTCACTTTGAAGCCTCGTAAGTCAGTCCAAGCCACGGCATTCATCCCGAAAAACAAGCTCATCATGGTCCCCATGGGTTTGACGATCAAGCACGGTCAGAAGAAGCCCGAGGATGCGATTTTCGATATCATCACCCCCATGAGTGACTACTTCTTCTGGATTGTTTCGTTCATTCAGATTCCGAAAGCCGAAGGGGATGCTGGCTTCATCAATCCTGCATTCCTTGTGCAGCCGCTTCTTTTGAGTGACACTTGGAATTGCGAGGTTTCGCATGTCAAGTCCAATCGAGACAAGAAGGTTCAACTCCCCATCCTGAAGAACACCCTGGACCTGCAGCAGGACGATGTGCTCTATATGCCAAAGGCCGAGAAGACGGTGCACGTCGAGGCATTGCAGGCTGAGACCCCGCCAAGGAAGCGAATCGGCTCCAAGAAGCCGGGAGACTCCTGAAGCCCATGTGATGCATGTCATGCCGTTTGAGCTCACGGGCACTTCCTTCATTGCTTTGCAGCTGTGCTGCTCATGAAAGAACATGCACTTGCAGCCTGCAGGAAAGATGCCCGAGCCCGTGTATGTGTGCAAGTGTGCATGACTGCGAGCACGATTGCATGTAAAAGCGCCAAAAGCCATGGCATTCATGATTGCATGTCATTCACGAAGTTTTGCAGCTCCAGCTTCATCCGTGATTTCGTAGCTTTGCCAGCATGGAGCCGGAGCATGAAGATGAGGAGATGACCGCACCCACGATGGTGACAAAACAGATCGTCACATACGGGTCAGGGCTCACTTGGATCCCGGAACAAAAGACGGCCGAGGGAGTCACATGGTTCAAAGTGAGCAAGTGGGATCGAGGATTGTTTCGGTTCGTGTACGGCAAGGGCTTGGATCTGAGGAAGAATACGGACAATCAAAACTTGTCACTCGACACACCTTTCTTCGAGAACATGTTGGCCCGTCGCCAAGAAGCATTCAACGAGGCTATCTCCGAAAGACTCAAGGATGAAGAGAATGACGAAGCCCCACAGCCGGAGAAGGCCCAGAAGAAGACCAAGAAAACCAAGGAGTTCAAAGCTACACCGAAGCATGAGATTTATGCACCCCACAGCATTCAGATTCACTTGCCCGGCGAGACCGAGGATGGCAACAAGGTCCAATGCCGAACTTTGTTCGAGGGGGTGGGCACTCGGACTATGTGGCTGGAACTGAAGGACGATGTCGTGAAGCACATCCAGACCAGCTTCAAGCATTCTGAGGCCAAGCCACGAAAGACGATCAAGCCTAGAAAGGCCAAGGCCTACAGGAAGTAGGTTTTCGTCAGCAGGGCAATTTGCTCGTTGGCAGGAACATATATCATGTATGCACATGTCGCATAATTTTCTCTCGCTGGCATGCAGGAACTTCATGTGCCAAATATGCCGGTTGCTGCAAGTGCTTGCTTCCTCGTGGTGCTCGGTTGTGTGCATGTGCAAAGCTCTTCTCATGTATATCGGTTGCAACATGTGGCTCAGGCTTTTAGCTTTGTGGGTGTGCAGCTGTAGCCCGTTTTGACCATGTCGTGCACGGGCTTTAGCTGCATGATCGGCCCTGATGTGGAGGAGGCCTGGTTCCTGTCTCCCATGCAACCAAAAAGATGTGTGTGCTGGTCAGGACTCACCGCAATGGTGGGCCTTTGAACGGTGCGGGCTCCTGGAGGTGTTGCTGCCGAACGAGGACAGTTCCCTTATAAGGCCCTTTAAACCAAAAAAGGGCATCCTTTTTTATTCCATGCAGGACGCCACATGGAGCAACAGCTCAGCCATCCTCGGTTGGCACAAGCAGAAGAAGAAGTGGAGAATCCTGGACATGTTAGGCCGGCGATGTGCCATTGTCCCACATTTTCATCGTCTCTTCTCTGCAGGCAACCTCCTCTACAAGCACGACAGCCGCGAGGAGACACCACCCCACGAAGGCATGCAGGTTTTTACAGGGTTGTGTTTTCAAGGGTTTCGGGTTTAGGGTATATATGGGTTCATGGTGTATGGTTTATATAATATATGGTGTTAGACGGAAAATCAATATATGCACGTATATATATATATATGTGTATGTATATATTATATCTATATAGTGTAGGTGTGCAGCATGTGTACACACAAAAGGCGCTCAGGTTCCTCACTTTTGCATGTGTTTATACATACATACATATCATACACACACACACATCTGTATACACATGTATGTGTGTATGTATGTATGTATGTATGTATATATGTATGTATGTATGAATGTGCGACATATATATATACATATATATATATGTATATAGATTTATATACATATATATATATATATATATATGTATGTTTCGTATACATATATATATATATATATATATATGCCCATACATATATCTATATATATATATATACATACATACATATATGTTATATACTGTATATACACACTATATACAGTACAACCACAAAGGCCAAAAGCCTTCTATCAAACATGAAAACCCCCAACCCCGAGCCTATATATGCTATCTCAGTCTCGGCAGGTTGGATGTGCCAGGATTGGGATGGCCAGTGGGTCCCGGCTTCGCTTCTGCTCCAGGCCCATAGAGCAAAGAAGTGAACTTCATGTGTGTTTCGGTGTGTTTCGATCTGGTGTGAGGAGATCGATGCTACGGGGCTGGCAAAGGACTGCCACTTTACACACAAGTATGTGCAACATTGCTCTTCCGAATCTGCAGGAGGAAAATTCGGCCAAGGAGGGCACCAAGGACTGCTATATAGTTCACAGATGTAAATATGTGCAGCAGAGGGCATTCGAATCTGCAGGAGGAGGATGAGCCGGCTCAGGAGACCAAGGACTGCCATGTCGCAGCTTTAATTTTGTGCAATATTATGCATTCGAATCTGCAGGACGAGGAGCCGGCTGAGACAGCCAAGGACTGCCATGTAGCAGGTTTAATGTTGTGCAACATCATGCATTCGATTCTGCAGGATGATACGATGGTGGAGGTCACATGCGAGCCCCTTCCCACCAAGGCGGCGGTCGTCTCTTGCATAATGGGCTTCCTTGCATGCTTTTAAGAGAATCAGGACTTCATGAAGCCGAAGCCCAAGTCCAAGAAGCGACCGGAGATGAAGGCAAAGGCCAGCATTACTCCGTTGTTGTCCTGTTCCTTTCATAAACCAAATCATGCATGGGCACACAAATGGAGGGGCACATGAAGCCATCGGAGCCGGCGATGCCGCCGCCCCTGAAGAAGGCGCTTTTTTTCACGTGTGTGCATGGGGGCTTGCCACATTGATGCCAGGCCAAGACATCCGGAATGCCGTGGACACCGCCCCCGCCACCGGCACCGGTGCCGAAGGAGGCATGCACTGTGGCAGAGGTGTTCAGCGGAAGTGTCATTGCATGTCGCATGCATATACAGGCTTCAAAGGCATCCTCGTCGGCGGCGACACCGCCGCCGCCGCCAGCTGCCATGGTGCAGAAGGACAAGGACGGCCGTGGGTACCGGGCCGGTGGATGGTACTACTGTACCGAGACCGAGACCTGGCTCCCTCCAGGCTGGAGCCTCACCCAGGCCTTTGTTTGCTCCCAAAGAAAACGTGCACGTGGCAGGTGGCGGCCGCACTCGTGCACGAAGCCGGGGACAAGGGCCCACGAACTTGGCATGGCAAACAGCAACTTTGCTGCGATTATATCACAGTGTGCACCAAACCATACAATGTAAACCCCGATTCTGCACATGAGGTCTCGAGATCCACGGAGACCCTGTCGAAGTTGGTGGATCATTTCTTGAAGGACACATGAGCATGCACTAGCAGCGAGCATTGCATGCCCTGCTGCTGTGTTTGTATCAGGACTCCTGATGATCCCTGAGTCGGCCACGTGGCCGCTGAAATTGGGTTGGCTGGGCATGGGCAGCGGATGCAGTCCCAAGGGCTCTTTGAACCCCTGTGCACACAGCCTCAAGGCCCCGCCAGAAGAGCCACAAACCTACTGATGCCATCCGTTGCCTGGGCCAGCCGGCCTCTACCAGTTGACTTTGCTGGGTAGTTCCGTCCCTCGCGAGCGAAGCCTGCCTGAAGCCCGGGAACCAGGTTTTTATAGATTGATAAACTTCAGTGGTTCAACCCCAGATTTATCGATTGATAAAAATTGTTGCGGGGATGGAAGCCCAGATTTATTGATTGATAAAAATGGTTGTGCTTTCTAGCTAGAATTGGGTCCAGATTTATTGATCTACAAATCTGGGGTCGGTTTTGCCTACCAACTTTTATCGATCTATAAATCTGGGGTCCGTGGGGTCGAGCCGGATTTATCAATTGATAAAAATGCGATTTTCTAGTACACAAGCCTTGCCTGGTTGTCCTGCCTTCACCCTTTAGCACCTGGCACCTTCAAACCTGTTCCCAGCTTCTCCGGCAAAAGGGTTTCAAGGCCTTGCAGGGTCTGAGTGCAGCTGTGCCGGCCGGTGCACGTGCAGCTTCGGCCCGGGCCGACGGGTTGGATGGGCAACAAAAGTCCAGCTGATCCCTTCGGGTGTGTGTGTGTGTGTATATGGTGTATCTCTATGGACTATTAGGTATATCATGGTGTTTGTGCGATTCTATAAAGGCATCTCAGGTTCATGCATAGGGCAGGGTCTGGTTTCGCATAGGACATATATATAGGAAATATTGCACTGCAGGCATGGATCTATCCGTGTAAAGTGTTGCATGTATATATATATATATATATATATATATGTGTGTCATGTATATATACATATACATGTATACATGTGTCCTATATGTGTTTATAAATACATGTAAATAAACATCTTTTCTTTCTTTATAAGTATGTATACATACATACACATCGGGGCTTCACGGCTTTGGGGACTCATGTGGATGTGTCACACCATCATGGACCATCATCATGCATGCCATCATCCTCATGAATCATCAGGAGCATTCTGTACATGCAGACATGCATATACCCTCTAGATGTATTCTACACCCAAACCCAGAAACCTGCAGCCCTGTGTAGACTTTCATCTTCATGATTATAGGTCACTTTCGGCACAGGGTTTTTGGGGGTTTACTGTGTGTGGGCTCGTATCTTATAAGTTACAGCCCACAAAGTCAGGTTGCAGAGGGCGACGAATCGGGCCGGGCCTTTTTGCATCTGAGCCGACACAGGCTTTGCTGTGCAAAGTCCATGACACTGGGAGCTGCTGCAGGGATATGTGTGTATAAATATATATGTGTGTCTGTGGTTTGCGACCTGTATATGTATGTATGTATATGTATATATATATATATATATATGAAGTGTGTATATACATCTATATATATATATATATATATTATATATAGATGTGTCACACAGGGGTCTATTGGGGCTACTATATATAGTTGATTATATATATATATATATATATATATATATATATATATATATCTATCTATCTTTCTATGTACAGAGCCCCTTATGGCCTCAATTGCAAACTGCGAGCTCCCAGTGCAACCTTCTCGAAGTTCCTTGGCTCTTATACACTTTGACTGCAGCTGTGTGAACGGATAAGTTGCCCAATGCTACGGTCGGAGGGATATACAGGATCTTTCCAGTGAGTGCACATGTACTTGCCTGGCATGCAGTCAGTGTACACGTGTGGAGCTATGGACTTTGTCTTGACAGAAAGACGTGGCTGGAGTTTCAAGGAAAATGCTGGCGACCGCAGAAGTCGATATGGACGGTCGAGTGCATGTCGCAGGCAATAAGAAGCTTTCTTGGTGTTGCTATAGGTTCGGCAGCCTGAAGCTTTCTTTGTGTTGCTATGTTCGGTGGATTCCACAGTCTGCCTTGACATGGTGCTTGTGTATATGTAGCATGCTACACACTATATACTTTAATTGGCACTATGTACCGACAGGGGGCATTCGTTTTGATCCAGCCGGTTGGCACTCTGGAGTGCTCGCATGTGTGCTTCTTTGAAACTGCAGATGACATGGCATGTATAGATCACACATTCACTATTCGTCTCGCAGGGCTGTAGAAGCTCGCAGGCAGGAACCTGCATTGCATGGGTGTTTCAAGAGGGAGCACATGCATGCATGCATGGCATTGTATACATCCATGATGCATGGCCTCCTTCATGGCTGCACGTGCATGCATGGAGTGCTCGAACACTTTTGTGGTATTCCACACTCAGATTTCCGGCATGGCGACTTCGAAAGCCTTGGGCGACCAACTGCTCACCATCTCCTCACTCGCAGAGACCATGACAGACCAGACAACGAAAAACCGGATGATCGAGTCCTGTATGGAGTCTGCCAAGAAGCAGATTTCGGGTCTCCGGCTCACGGATTCAGCAGAAGTCCAGACACTGTTCGCTACGGTGCAGTCCTTGAACTTCAGCGACAGTCAGAAGGACGAGCTGATGCGGCAGATCGGTGATCGTTTCGTGGCATGCAGCACACCCAAATCACAGGGCACCAAGAAGTCCATGCAGACCATGGACGACCCGGGAAGTTTCCTCCGGGCCTCGGATGTGACCTTCATCTCGAACCCAGACCACACCATTAAGGCCAAGGCAAGTCGGATGGCCATGATGTTTTGCAGCATCAACTGCAGCTGCCCGACGGAGCCTACTTCGGGCCGAGCTGTGGGAGTGCTCAAGAACGACTTTGGCCTCAAGGAACTCGACGACCCTCAAGTGTTTTACAACACAGTTCAGGATTTCAAAGCAGCCTTGAAGTCGCACTTCAAGTCCAATCCCAGTGGGTCGACGAGCCATGTGCACAACTTCACGACACCGGCAGATCTACCCTCCGATGTGTATGCGAGAGCATATGGTGAGGAAGGGCCGTCCGGACATGCCGGCCTGGGTGGCTCCATCGGTCCAGTTCGAAAGTCTTCTGCGATATTGAAGAGCCAGAACAACCAGAAGGTTCCTACTCTAGACCTTCAGGTGCCTTCGCAGAACAACATGGCCAATATGATGATGCAAGGGTTCCAGAGCATGCAGCACATGTTCAATGCCTTCGCAGGTGCACAGCAGGCTGGCATGTCCGGCCAGCAGAACATCTTCATGAACAACACCAAGACGAACCCGCCGAAGCAAACCCTCGCACTCACGAATGGACCCGATGCAGCATCGAGTCCAGCACGTGCAGAGCCGGAGCAAGCTCAAAAGCCTATGACTCCGGAAGAGCAGGTGAACACCATGCTCTCCAGCTGGAAGAATCGTCAAGAGGAGAACAAGAAGAAAGCCGAGGAGGGCAAGGCTGGTGATCCGGAGGGTGGCAGCGAGAAGGCCGAGGCGAAGGGCAAGGCAAAGCCAAAGAGCAAAGCCAAGGCAAAGGCGAAGGGCATGTGCAAGGCGAAAGCCAAAGCCAAAGCCAAGGCGACGACGAAGCCGATGGTTAAGGCTAAGGCGAAGGCGAAGACCAAGGCCAAGGCTGCCCCCAAGTCCAAGGGTGCCAAGAAGGTTCCGGATTGGGATGAACGAGTTCGAATGAGGCCATCAGGATGTGCAAAGTGCCGATGGAAGCGAGGCTGCTGCCCTAGTTGCTTTTTGAAGTAGAGACTCCTGTTTCACATCGTGTCTCAGGCACTCTCACTCATGCATTATGAAGTCCGGCTGCACACGGGCTGCAGCAAGAGCATCTCAAAATGTGGCCGATGCATGTGTGCCCTGACATGTGACATGGAATGGAAGCTGGAGCTCCTGTGCATTGTTATAGAGGATGTGTGTCATGAAAGGGTACAGGTTCGGGGTTTCCGATTTGTATATATTTATATGTAGAGTTTAAACTATACATATAGTGGGTCTGTATATCATATAATGTATATACATATAGGAAATGTATTGTATATATAGTCTGTTGGTGTTTTAAAGCTGAAGGTTCCTGGGGTTCGATCATAATACATTCGGAGTATTGTGCTGCAAACTTTACATGTAAAGCTACACGAAAAGAGTCCGTGCTGCAGGGCCCTTGGCTCGTGGCCAGGACCAATTCCCGCACAGCTTGGGCATTGCATGCCCGAGTCATGACATCCAGCTCCAGCTCCAAACCTTTGGCAAGCCTGGGGAGGAAGGTGTTTGTATCACAACGAGGTCTGGAATCCGTGCTCAGCGATTTGAAGAAGACCGGTTTCCTCGCCGACGATTTTGCTACCACCTCGCGAGCCTCGATTAAGCGAGCGAGGGATGGTGAAGAGAAGTCGTGGGAGAATGCCTTTGGGCAGATGATCATTAACATGGACATCCCACATGAGAGCGATGACACGAAATTTGTTAGGGTTCCCTTCGTGCCACCTGTTGTGCTGCTGCAGCACTGCATCGCCAACGAGCATTACCATCGACTGCTCGAAAAGTGTGGCCAGTCCAGCCCTGCAGACAAGCTGGGCATCGCTATATATGCTGACGAAGTTAGTCCCGGCAATCAGCTAAAAGCGCTGAATGCCAGGAAACTACAAGTCATCTACTGGTCCATCGTCCAGCACGGGCAAGATCTGGCCTCGGAGTGGCTTTGGTTCCCTTTGTGTATACTGAGAAGCACTCTTTGCAATCGGATCGGCGGCCTCACTGTGCTTTGGAAACATGCCATCCAGCACATGTTCATGGATCATGACATGAGGCATGGTGTTGTGCTGCAGACATCCACCACAGCATTTCCCGTCTTTGCCGACCTCTCTGTTCTTATAGCGGACGAGGCAGCCCTGAAACAAACAGCTGAAAGCAAAGGTGCCTCGGGCACAGTGTTTTGTATGAGATGTGCGAATGTCGTTGCCCACCGAAGCGGGCTACAGGACCATGGCGATGTTCTCTCGTCGACATGCACTGACTTCACGAAGTTTCGCTTGCACACGAACCGGTCGGTCGGTGAAATCATGAGGTACCTCTCTTCCCAACATGGCACGGTTTCCCAGAAGGACTTCCAAACAATGGAAAAAGCTTTGGGCTACAACTACATGCCGGGAGGCCTCTTGATGTCGAATGTAGGACACAACATTCCGGAGATGATCATGTTCGATTGGTTCCACATTTACTTGGTCCACGGTGTGGCCGGTAACGAGGTTGGGGTGTTGCTAGGCCGCCTCCGAGACAGTGGCTTTCCCGAGCAACAGATACACGACTTCGTGCAATCCTTCCATTGGCCGGTGCAATTCGCTGGTGCGGATGCCAAGTCAGTTCTCGCCAAAAAGCGAGAGGACAAGACTGCCCCGGTGAAAGCAGAAGCCTCCGAGCTCCTTAATTTCCTGCCGGTCCTGCAGTTGTTCCTTATCCTCTTCGTCTGGAGGGATGCTGACGACTCCCTGAAGAGTTGCTGTCACGGATTCTTCACCTTGTGCAAAATCCTTCGCATGCTGAGGAAAGCCACTCAGGGTGGCTTGGACCCTGCTGCCCTCAGGGGTGCCATTAAGGAGCATTGCGAACTATACCTCGCCAACTACGGGGCAGAGCACTGGGTTCCGAAGAACCATATGACCATGCACCTACCCGAATTCTTGTCTCGTCACGGGCTGCTCCTTTCGTGCTTCGTGCACGAAAGGAAACACAAGCTGGTCAAGAGGTTCGCAAACAACATGAAGGACACGTCCAGATCATACGAAGCTACCGTCCTTCGCGAGACCCTTGCAGCTCAGTTCCTTGCGATGCAGGACGAACTCCCTCAAGGGGATGTGCGACTCATCGGCAAGAGACGGTGCACAAAGGCAATGGCCAGCCTGATCCGGGATGTGTTCGGCAACTCCGACGGTGTGTTTCAAGCACAGGCAGCATTGCATGGCGGAGGATTCCGGTGCTCCCATGGAGATGTCGTCAGAGCCAAGCATGCACAGGAACACGTTGTCGGCATGATTCACTTTCATGTTGAGGTTGACGGCCTGCCTCTCACATGCATGAGTCCATGGAGCCATGTGGCCGATCACATGTACCGTGTGAAGCACGAAAGTTTCTTCATCAACACGGCATGCATTTTTTCGGCTTGCATCTGGTCTCGCAAGGGCGACGATGCCATCGTGTTGTTGGAGTGAGCTGCAAAAGTGCATGATCCTGCATGCGAGCCCACGGCCCTGCATTCGAACTCGTGCTGTGCTTCATGTTTGTGTTCACATAAAGCCCTCCCTCGCAGGTGCTGTTGACGTCGGCAACCACCAGATGCTTGGGAATGCAGGGTTTGGGGGGCTGATATAATAATATTGGCTTAGGTTTACTTGTGTTTATGCTCATATGATGTCGGTTTCGGTGTCTATTATTCATAACTGGTATGTAGCTTGATTTCGATGTTTATGTAATGGTTTGCGAACATGGGCAACTTCGAAGGGCTTCCCCGCATAATATGATGGAGCCGGTGATGTGTTGTAAGATGGTATCGGCTTTAGATCTTTCTTTCAAGAAATTTTTCAGCTTGAGGCTGGTGTCGGCTTTCGGTGTTGATGCAGGTTTTTAGCTTTCAATCTTTTCATGTGCTGGTGCATCTTTGCTTTAGCCCGAGGGCCTCAATTGCATGCTGTGCGATGCTTTCACGGTGAGCTTCTTCGGTATATGTGTGCATATGTATGTATATAATAGATACAAAATACCATGGCTATATTTATCGTCTTAACTGGGCTAACTGACTTAGTCAGCTTACCTAACTGCTCCATCTGGACTTACCTAAGTCCCTTATCTCTCACTTACTAAGTCCATTAATTGGACTTGGCTAACCGCTCTAAGTTTGGCACTAACTTGTATAAGTCCACTATCTACATAGTAACCCCCATGATCCTTCAAGTAGCATGCCCGATATGCCCGCGTGCTTCTTGCGGAAGCGTTGCTGTCGCCCGCTGCGTCGGCGCGCGGGCGCGTTTGTATGGCACGGGGCCGCAGCGACAGAAGCGCTGTCGTTTGAGGAAGTTGGCTATCAGCGCTGCGGGTGTGCGGTTCGCCGCTTGTGACCACTCGCGCACCGCTGCTTCGCCCCCTTGCAGCAAGTAGTGTAACACCTAGTGACATTAGTGACCTAGTGCCTGTGCGTGCGAAGGCTCGCGTAGCAGTGCCTCCCGGCGGTGCGGGGGCACCGTTCGCAGGGCATCCACCCGCTAAGGCGACCATCGCCGCCGCAGCGCGGCGAAACAGCAAACCGAGGAGAATGCCCAACAGCAGCCACCCCCAAGCAAGCGCCAGCGGCCCGAAGCCCGGGGTGAAATACCGGGGCATGGCACCGCTTCCTTGCACGCCGGCGGCAAGGAAGCGGCCCACCACACAGCCGACGATGCAGCCGAGCATGCTCCGGCACATGTCGACAGGAGCTGTCCGATCACCGCGCCGACATGGCATGAAAGCACAAAGAAATCCCGGCTTCAAAACCACGCCACCATGGAATGTCAAAACGCGAACTATTGTGCAGGTGGTCACTGGTCACGTCTCACTCTGACAATTACCGTGCGCATTATGCCACTATTACTACTGAGAAACGGTTACTGGCAAAGCAGTATTCGGAGTAATGACAACATACATAGCTGTGGAGCTGGTTGCCAAATCGGAGGCTCGCGGGCACACTGTAACCACAGCTTGGAAGTAACGTGGTAGCAATAGATAGAGAAAGTACCCAAACCATCGCAGAAAGGCCATCGTTATAGCAGCAGACATCGAAGCACAAACACAAATAAGGTTCATAAGCACACGGACCTTACAAGCAACGACGCTGGCATAGCAATGGCTTGATGGTTTTTTTCTATTTTTGTCTGCGCACCTTTTGCGCTGCGAGTTAAGGCGGGTCCAGGTCCCGGTGCCAACTGCCGTCTACGGCAGGGAGGCGGCTGGGCTCAGGAGCTTCTGCCAGCGAGCGTGTGCAAGGAGCTCGTGCAAGGAGCTGGTGGCGGGCCAGCAGCACCGAGCTCCGACAAAAGGGGGAGCTCCACGAAGGTGGCAGCGAGCGCACACTGCGCTGCAACGGAGATGAGGCTGTGCCACTGCAGCGCAGAAGCCAGGCAGCTTGGGCCGAGCTGCGAACCGCAGCAGGGGCACTGGCGGCACGCGCCCGGGCAAGGAGGCGGAGAAAAGTGGCAGCTTCCTCAGCCCAGCGTCCGCCCACCTCGAGTCCGAAAACAACGAGGCGACAGCGTTGTTTACGGTCGATCTCGGGGTACGTTTGCCGGCGTTGACGCCGCGCAGCATTGCGGACTGCCCAACCCGGGCGTGGTCGGCTCCGTCGTGCGGGCGGCCATCTCGAGTCACTGGGCTGACGAGCGTCGCGTCAACGGCAAGTTGTGCGCCGTGCCACAGCGGCAAGCCGTTGCAGAGGACCTCGATGCGCCGCGCATCGTGGACCGGCACGTCAAGATTCATGGCGGCCAGCGCAACGTTGCGCCCGACACGCGCCCCGGCTCCCTGCTGTGACGCCACACGGCTTGCCAATGAAGCGAAGTTGCTACGAGGACGACGTCTGGTCGCGAAGAAATGAGACGGTCCTCTTACGTGATTACAAAAACCTTAAGAACGGGTCAACGTTCAGGGGTCAGGGTTCGTGGTAGCTGGACTCAGCGTATAGACACATCGAGACTGCTACTGGCTCTGACGGCAGAGGTTGGTATGCAAAAAATTGCAAACTTCTTTTGCGGAGCGCCAGTACTCAGGCTACAAGCAGCATTCGAGATTCGGAAAACACACGGAGCGATACACGTCAGCATTGGCCTGATAGGAACAGGGTTTTGGGGTATACGGTTGTCTTTGCAATAAGGCTGTAACAATGAACCTTACGCAACAACATTTCCGGCTTTCATATCAGGGCCAGCATGGTGGTGAGCAAGCCCATCATATGCCGTACGAATACATTCCGGAGGCTACTGCGGGCACGCAGGTGGCCAAGATTGGCTCCTAATTATAAAGGTTGCCATACGAGTTCACTGGAGGACCTGGAAGGGGCGCAGGGGAGTCGAGGGTTCGGGGTTCTATGCATTCGGACTTGGAGCCTCGACCGTGGGGCAGACATTCTGGACGATCCTGACCTGCTGGAGGGGCTGCGCAGCTTACGCTGTAACCAACCCCGCCATCAGCCGGCCGAGTGGAAAAGGGACCTGCCACGGCTCCTTTGCACCTTACATAGGCCAGTAGAAAACCGACATGTGCCCTCCATCTTCGTTCACAGGCAGATGTTCTTGGAATGGGTGGGTGTTGCTGCAGGATGCGGCACGAAAGACCCTGCGGTTGCTTTGGCTCAGCGCAGGAGCACTCTCCTCTCGCCGGCAGGATCCGGGACACTTCTGCCCTGCCGATGTCGTTGCGCACTGGTGTGGATGGCTTTGGGAGTGGGGTGGTCGACTTCGCGGATCATGCCATGCGTCTGCGCTGCTGTGATGGCACTGACGCCTGGCGAATCTGTCTCCCACCCATGATCGTAGCCGCAACCGGCAATATTTCGAGCCTTTGCCAATGGCTTCCCCATCGGGCTTGCGCTAAAGTCGCAATGGATGCCACCATCGTGAGCCCAGTCCACCGGGACGGCTAGTCACCACGGGCTGACCAGCGACCGGGCCTCGCCTCAGACCAAGCCAACAAACATCGAACTTACCCGGCACTGCGTCAAGCTCGGCGCTGCCACTTGGTCGTATTCGGCGTGGAGGTGAGGCGACGGGTTAGCCGCGGCACCTTCACGTTCTTGCGACTGCTCGTGCGGGCGTAGGCGGCAACGGGCACTGTGGTTGGAGGTGTAACTTGTGTAGTGCTCCAACTTTTCTTTTTGTTCCGGACCATTTTGCAAACATCCGAACGCGGTCCCAGTGCAGCAGACTACCGGGCGCAAATCAGGAGAGGCGGCTCGCCGTCAATGTTGGCAGTGTTGGAGATGGGAAGGGACAGCAAGCTGGTTGCGAAGGAACGCGCAGCTGCGACAGAGAGAAACCCAGACCACCTTGCGACAACCTAATGGTGTGATTCCGGTGGCTTTAGGTCGCTCGGAACTTGTTGGGGGTTGCAGTTGAGGAGCCTGCATGCAGGCGTCATCACTGCGATCCTCTGTCCGTCCCTGCGTCTCATCATAGCACGCATTGACCATGTTGGCCGCCAGCGTGCCGTGCACATTAATGACGAGGCGCGGTGCACCCGGAATGGCGCCCGAAATGAATCGCGGCGCAGCTGTCTTTACAGGCCACCATCATGTCACGTGTGGTATGATCCGTACTGATGTGGAAAAAATGAAGGTTGCCCGGGAGCGTGGCGGCCACGAGGTGGAGGCCTTTGTAAAACCCATTGACGTCCCGCCCGCCCAAATCAGCGACGCAGCCGCACGTGACCGTGCGCGCATATGCATGTTCGAACGCACTGGGAGGGCGGCCTCTGCTGCCGGCAAAATGCTTCAATCCATGGACACAAATCTCGGGTGTATCTACGAGGTCGAGGGTCGCGAAGATTGGGCATTGGGGCCACGAGGCGCCGAAAGACCTCGCTCATGACCATCTGCCGCGTCGCGTGGGGCCTTCGTCGTGTGGGACCTTCCCCCCACCGATTTGTTTTCGGCATGCTCCCAAACATTATCGGCGGTTTCCTCATCCATAAGAACCGTGAAGTTTCCCTTGGTGCCCCCGGATGCGGGCCCGCTGCTGCTCTTTTTGCTCCTTTCACGGACTTGAGCGTGAACAGCCGACCAGGGGACGAAGTTCGGGTGCAGCGGCACTTGCGCATCCGGCGGTCGCCGTACAACGGCCTTATAGCTGCTACGGTCATTTCGCCGAAGCGTGCGAGCGCGGAGGTTCGGTCAGCCCGCCGCTGCATGTCACCCTCAGAGCGCCTCCAGGGCGCCCTCCGACTCCCGCCCAGGACGAGCTGCACTCTCGCGGAGCAAATGTGTCGAACGGCCGTTGTAAAACAAACGCTCGCGGCGCTTTCGTTGGCGGGAGATGTGCAACGCTGGGCGCGCGGAAAAGCAACATGCGCGGGGCCAATGGGAAGAGTTTCCACGCGTGGCCAATATGCACTGCCCTGTCCTTTTCTCTGGGTCGCTTTCAGAATCGTTCTGCGTTGGTGCTGCTGGGTCACTCGGACGCTATTGAAGTCGCCCACGTCCGTAAATTCCGAAATGTGGCTACCCCACTCGAAGTCCGCACTGCACCCCTTCTCTTGCCAAACACACGAGCAATGTTTCTTGCGAGCTCGCGGCTTGGAGGGTTTTCGTCGCGGGCATTCACTCCTTAGGGCCTTAGGGTTTTCGTCCTGTGCTAAATGTTCCGGATTCAGTCCTTGGTGTTCGCTTTCGGTCAAAGGGTCCTGTTGAATTCACTCCTTAGGGTTTTCGTCCTCAGCTAGGCCAGCACGACGCCTTGCACCGCGCTGCCGCGGGCCCTCATCCCGACCACAGCTCCTACTCGTAGTAGTTTCTCTCGACGACTCATCACCACGACGCCCTCTCGAGTAAGAACACCGACGTCGACGGTGCCGCCCTCCGGACAGCAGAGCGATGCAAACAACCTATCCGGAACTCCGGAACGACAGGCTCGTCGTGCTCGGCAGCGGGGTTTGCGGACGCTTCACTGGCGACGCGCACGGCTTGCTCCAGGACCTGGTCCGGGTGCGGGCGCACACCGCCGCCCCCCAACCTCAATGCCCTTTGGGAAAAAATTGGAGCGAATGAATCGGAACTTGAAGATTGTGGACCCGAGCGAGCGGAGCGAACGGAGCGAACGGAGCGAACGGAGCGAACGGAGCGAACGGAGCGAACGGAGCGAGCGGAGCGAGTGAAGCGAGCGAAGTGAGCGAAGTGAGTGGAGTGAGCGAGTGAAGGAAGCGAGAGAGTCCACAATCTTCGAGTTCCGATTGCGAGCAAAATTTTCGCCCAAAGGGCCGATGATCGTTGCGTTCGATCGACTGCGAAAACCTGAATCCGGGTTCTCTGTGATGAAAAGATCCAACCCGGGGTTGAGTCTGACAGACCAAGCCAAGTCGAACCCAGTCTGCACCGAAGACAATCGATGCCGCCTTCGGGGTAAATCCGGGACTTCGCGCATTCGGCTTTGCGGACGACACCAGGGCTGTGTCGACGGCAAGTTGCACGCCGCCCCACGAAGGCAGGCCGTGAGCAATGACTTCGATGCGCCGCCGTTCGTCCTGCCGGTAGGGGACAACATTGAGGTCATGCATTAAGACATGAATTGCAACAGTCGCCCCGGATTCTGCAAACACGGTTTTTTCCCACGCAAACCTTTTTGCGTCTGCCGAAACGAATGGACCGTCGTCTCCTTCGACAGCTACCTTCTCACCTGCTACTTCGGCCCGCAAGCGGACCGCTCAACGTCGAAGTGCTGGGCCCCGCCGCGTCGGCGAGGTCCAACACGAGCTCGAGGGCTGGAGCGTCTGCCGAGGCGCGAGGCGCAGCTGGCCATGCCCGACCGACCGCCCACAGCGCTGTCGCACGCTGAACAGCGACCGACAGTTGACTCCACCAACGCCGAGCCCAAGCGGTAGCCGCGGATTGCGCAGAGCGGGAGGTTCGCGCAACCGGCGGAGGCGAATGAGGTCGCGAACGGAGAGCCCTCCCGAGTACAACGAGGCGCTGGGAACCGTTGCGCGGGAGCTCCGGGTACGTCGCCTTTTGCGGCGTGTTGCCGTGGCGAGCGCTGCCCCGTTTTCATGCGCTGAACGCCGTTGCGGCTGGCCATCTTGCGACACGGGAGAGACCAATGTCGCGTCACAGCACAGTGCCCCTCCCCAAGGAGTGACGCCGTAGATGACCATGTCAAGTCGGCAGCGGTCATCCGACCCCACTCCCGGTGTGGTCGCGTGCGTGAGCCACTGCTGGGACGACTTCGGGCCCATGGCTTCGCGCGCCACACGGACCCAAGCATGCTCGACGATCTTGGCCCCGGCCACACTGAGGAAGTCAGCATGCAGGCACGTGGCTTCCCGCGCATCAGACATCTTACTTCGTCGGGGCCACACGGACGAGGAAGTCCATGCGCAGGCAAGTGGCTTGGTTTGCACCAAAGGTCCCCAATCACGAGGCCAAGAGTCGTAATTCAGTCACTTCGTCCAGGGCGCTTGCTTTGCACGAAGTCTCCAAGGCGCAGAGCTGGCGACAGCTCACTGCAGAGCGACCACCAACACGCTCCACCAGCGGCGCGCCCACCGTGGCTGCAGAGGCTCGCATGAGGCGTGGGGTGGGGCGCGCCGCACCTGGAGCCGGAACAAGGTATGTACACAACTATAGCCGTTGTGGCTTGCGCGGATGCTATAGCGCGCGACTATACTTTTGCGCGCTGCCACATGCAAGTATAGCCCGCGCAAGCGGCGTGAAGACGAGTACGTGCAAGCCATTGTTGCGGCACGACCCGAATCTCCGAACCAACCACTCGCGAGCGCCACGACGCATCCGCGCGGGGGCAGCAAGCACGCAAACGCGTGCCGTGGCGGGCGAGGTGGTGGTCCCAGTGTGCATCGACCTCGGCCCCATAACCGCGTTGGCTTGCCTCACCACAGCGCACAGCGCAGGTAGGCGCGTGAATGGGTTGCAATCTGTTCTGGCCGCGGCTTATGGGGCTACAGGGCTCATTGCTCAGCCAGCTACGGATTACCACCGTTTCGCGGGAGCCAACTGCATCGGTCTTGTGTTAGGGCTACAACCACAGACGGCTTTGGTCGCTGGGAGCAGCAAGGATGAATCAGGTCATTATTTAGCGGGGGGGGCATCGTTGGCCTCGCACTGCAGTTGAAGCAACCAAAGGCCCTTGCAAGCGGTGTTGGCGACTGCTTACTCCACCACAGCTTCACTGAACTCCGCCAACGCCTCAAGCGATCCGCGGAAGCATTTGCACGGATGATGGGGGGAGCCCGGTAAGATATCAGCCGCCGCACCAGGTCCTACACGATTCTGCGCACTTGTTCGCTTCGCCGTCCGCCCCCCGCCTCCTGCTGGGGTGTCTGAGAAGTGCTGCAAGCCATCCGCTGCACACATGCCATGATTGCAAATGTCTCCTGTCGAGGGACAAAAGCGCGGCGACCGCGTAATGCCATTCTCTTGATCATCAATCGTCCGTGCCGAACGCTCGGGCGGCGGGCCAACCGTTGCTGCGGAACGACTTGGCCGTCCCAGCGCCTCTCTATTCTTGCAGATGCAGCGGCTGTGCCCGGCCTGTTCCATGATGCGGAGGTCGGGCGCTCCCCCGCGGTTTTCAAGAGATGGCGCGGCATCAGCTGGCTGATCACAAGCAGCACTTCCGCCTACAACGCCGCACAGCTGTGCGCTTCGCAGACTCCATGCACGGATGACTGTGTGACGACTGGCTAGTTGTGATGCGAGTCTGAGTCTTCGTCGCAGCCATATTGCATTCCGCGGTACAGCAAGCTTGCTACGAAAGTCGTTCGGGCTCGCGAGCCCGCATCAACGCCGCGATCCACTGATCCAACTCCTGACTGATATCTCAAGGTCGAGCGAAGTTTCGCTGCTCTTTGTAGCGGGGCAGCCGCAAAGTCTACAATCCACCACTCCATAGGTTCAGCGAACAAAGAGCCATGATTACAGTCACCAATGAATACAAGTTCGCAAACCACGGACGACGTGAGGGAAGCGTTGCACCCTGGTCCCCGAACCGGAGCCTGCATGCACTCTTATCTGCTAACAGCCAGCGCTGCCCGCGGGCGAGGCCGCACCCACACAGTCGGGCGAAGCGACGCCCCTGCAGTCCCCGTGGCACAGGGCTCAGAGATCGAAGCCGAGATTTTGGCATTCGCCTGCTTGATCGTTCTAGCCAAACGCCAGCACGAAGCACACTTCTTGCTCCGGGCGATGCGTTCTCCTGCCTTCAAGCACACGCCTTGCGCAAGCCAATGTGAATGCGGATATCGTCGCTTGCCTAGCCATGGCACGGCTGACGGCATTGTGCTACATTAATCGGATGGGGGCGGCATAGCCACGATTAGCCATAGGCGACGTGTTTCACCGTCGCAACGTGTTTCACCGTCCACAGTCGAGGACTCTTGCCGAAGCTCACATTCATGACACCACGGCTGTTGTCCCGGCTGTTGATCTTCACCAGCACTTCGTGTGAAAAGTTACGGTCAAATCAAACCGTTGACCTTAGCATGGTGGTCAATCGGACCACAGATAATGCCGACACAAGCACTCTTCATGCCGCTCTAGTGTCGGATACCTCTTATGCTAATGCAATGCACACGAGCCCGACATTTTGGCGCTGCTTGCAGAAACACTGGAACTGTGTCGGTCCAAAGTGCCCGCAGAGCGACTCAGCGCAACTTGGGATTCTTTTCTTACCCATACTCTTACCCATACTGTCGATACCTCATTCCGACTGATTTTGCGGATGCCAGTCTGATCTGCGCCCGTCGACTGTATCGCTTGCATAGACACAAGCATCAAGCGAACCTTGCACGTGTCAACCAGGAACAGCATGGCTGTACCCGTGCTAAGGACAATGTGATTGAAACGTTGACTCTGATGTGCAGCAACAAGGCAATAAGCTGCTGAAGCCTTATCGTCGTACATCATTCTGTATGACTTCTTCGACCATATTTGTGGCTACAATTCTGCATCTGCGAGCTTGTCCTTGAAAAATTGGAGACTTCTGAAACTGTGCCTTTGCGCAGCCAAGGTTTTTCAGAGCTTGACACAGAATCGCAAGTACAACAAGTACAGGACTGGCGTGACTTGCAACATTCCGCAAGCTCTGTGCAAAGCGTAAGCTCTGGGTGCAACGTGGCTGACCTTTGGCCACATTTGTACATGGCACAACCCGTTGAATCCGCGAGATCTGCCAAATTGTGCAAGGCGTGGGGGGTAGCCAACACGGCATCATCCTTTCGGGAGGGATCGCAAGGCTTCCTTGGCCTTCTTGAGGTGCCTCCTGCGCACCCGCAGCGCCGAGTCGTTGAAGCGCAGCGGGAGGGCCTCGGACCGGAGCCGAGCGGAGCCGAGCGCAGCACTCGTCTCTCGCGGCCGAGCTGCCGCAGCGAGGTCGCTCCAGGCCGCAAGGGCCTCGACGGCGGAGGGCTCGGAGTCCGACAAGTCGCAAAGCCTCGGAGTCAGGCTTACAACGTACGAATTTCTGTGAGGTTTCCCCCACTGCTTCCTCAAGCTTCTTCTGAGCAGCTGCACTTTCACCTCCAAGGGCGAGCCTCCAGCGCTGCTGGAGGAGCCAGCTTGGTTTGTTTGTGGAAGGGCCACCTTCAATTCCAGCGTGGTCTGGACTCGCCCGGAAAGGTTGTATGACCTCTCACCGTACTGGTAGCCGATCGCCAAGCCTACGGCACCCGCTTGGCCTTGGCCTCGTTGGCCATTCGCAGTAACGCCCACAGCCACCGAGGTAAAGATCTCTCGAAGGATGCTGTCTGTCTGCGTTGTGGAACCTGCCGGAGACATCAGCGACGGCGCAGGAAGTCGTTTCAAGACCTGCATGATGTCGCTCCGTGTCGCGAAGAGCTTGCGAACAGCTTTGGAGGTGTCGCCCATGCGATCACAAGACGTGCTCGAGATCTTGGACTGAGATGCGGTGGATGCACAAAAAGAGAACGTGTCCTGCCGACGTTCAGCAAAGCCAGCTATCTAAAGCTCAAAGGGCCGGCTTCCAGGTCCTCGCTCTCCGCAGTTTGGTCCTCGCTTTCGACGCTTCGAGCACCTGGCAATGCGAGCCCAGCACCAACGGAGGAGCAAAGGCCGTCGTCCAAGCGAGCCGGCGCGCGCTCGACACACTTGCGCCTTTCACGGATCCATGCCGCTGAGCATCCTGTCCGAACGCTATTTGACCCTGGACGGTCGGTAAAGCCTAGGGCATGGTTTGCAAATCACAGTCTTCCGAACACCAGCTGGCAACTGACTGCATCGTAGGCCTCGCCCAAGTCCTCGCCTGCTCACAACCGGATCGTGCAGGCTGATGAAAGCTAGGGCAGCTAGGGACGAGTTCAAATTACAGCAGGTCACCTTCCCGCTTGCTGTCTTCCAACATGGCCTCAGTTCGATCGTGAATGGCACAAACCGGCAGCTCGTCGTCTCCGGTGAGGCTTAGGCCCGGGCATGTGAGCTGTTCGAAGGGTTCCCGAGGACTTGGCAATAGCCTGTGGGAACACGGCGCTCGACCTCGGGAGCCAGGCGAGAGCACGTTGCAAAGCAGTGGTTGATTCAACACTGATACACTAGCATTGGCTCACTCAGTCTGCAGCCAGCACTGGTCGCAAATAGCTGTCAACAAGGGCTGTCAGCTTGCCCTGTACCTGAGGTTCAGCGCAGGCCCCAGGCCACGAGAAACGCGCCCCTTGCCGCGTTCGAACCACCTCTGTCGGGATGGCGGAGCTGAGGTGAACCATCCTGAAGAGCCTCGTTGAATCCACAGAGATTTTTCCACACCGGACCGAAACACATCCAAAGCTCTTGGCTCTTGGAGATCCGAGCCGCAACCAGAGCCGCTTGCGAGATTCCATGTATCCACTGGACAGGACTTCCGAAGCCACGAGCGGAGCTAGTCCTCGTTTTCTCTTCCCAAACAGAAAAAGCTCAAGCTCTGTGTGAACTCGTCTGGGGGTCCTCTCCGACGAGCGTAAAGCAGCGAGGCCAACTCTGCACAGTTCTCACCTGGAGTATCACAGGCGATGAATCCTTCCTTCCCTCTTGAGATCTGCAGCCTCCAAGGGCTTCCTGCTGCCACTGCGGTGGACTGTGTGGGAGCAAAGCCAACCTCGCGGCCACACCGGCGGAAGCAATCAGGCATGTCCATCACAAGCCGCAGTCTGGCATCATTCAGGCCCATGCAGCAGCTGCATTCCACTTGAAGCTAGCCTCGGAACGACACTGAACGGCGCAAACATGCGCAAACGACCCATGGAGGCTTTTCGGAATTCGGAAAACAACCTCAAAACAACTTTTCTCACACACACACACACACCCACGCACGCACACGCTCACGCACGCACGCACGCACGCACAATTCCATCCTGCCAAGTCATTGCTGTCTCTGCGTTTTGTGATAATATTGTACCCCTCTCCCAGACCGTATCACAGTCGCGTGTTGCACAGGCGGCTCGGTCTCTCTTCGGCCGGGTGTTGATGTGGCTCTAAGTAGACAGAAACAAAGGGGCAGGGGGGTTTCATGTCCATCGGGCTCATCACTTGACAACACACCTTTGATGGCCAGTGATCCTAACTTCACAAACTACCCGTAGCCCGCCCCTTTCTCAGTCCAGCCACCGGCGTCGCAACTGAGCCTTGCGAGGGTTGCGGTCCGAAGCTAGGCGCTGAACCTGACGAAGGCAAGTACAGGCCATTCGTGCACCTCACCTTACTAACCTTCTTGACACCCTTGTCGCTTCTGTTGCTCCTGTCATTCCTCTTGCAGCAAGTGCTTCGGATGAGAGCTTTTCTCGTGCTGCTGCACCCCTTTCCGTTCCTAATTCGTCCAAGTTTTCGAGCCAATGCAACATTACTACAAATTGGCCACACATGCACGTGTATGCGCCTCCGTCTTGATGCAGCGAGTCAAATAATCGATGTTGCGAATCACGTTGACGCTCTGCAAGAATATGTGGGCCCGCACCTGCACCTTCAGCTTTGCTGCTTGAGAGGTTGCTCCGATTTACCCACGCCAAGGGCCAAGGTCCCAGCCATCCCGGTCTTGCGAGAAGCGTGCTGGACCTCTCAGTCTCAGGGTCAATGGCTTGCCTGGGAGTTGTACCGCGGCGACTCCCTGCCTGTTGGACATCTCTTATCAGGGAATCCTTCTGCTGCGACCTGGGTTTTATCAGGCGCCAGTTCTTCCATGTTTGTCAGCGCCCTTTCTGAGAGCTTCGCAGCTCTTTGAGTCGATGCTCCAGGCGGCGTCGGATGTGCGGAAGGTGCAAACGCGAGTAGTTCCGCAGGAGCACCTGGGAGCCGGCAACCGCGGGGCCGTGGGAGCCGGGAAGGGAGCAGAGATCTCTCGCTTTCTCTCGTGCCCGCCGCCATGGCCCGGCACCGAGTTGGCGGCGCCGAAAGCGAAGAGCCCAGCGGCCTCAGACGGTGGCGCAGACATCAGAAAGGATCTTCGGAGCTGTCGGCGTCGGCTTTTCATGCCAAGCGCAAGGCCCAGCCGTAGTTGTGCCACAGGGCAGCAGCGCAGAATCCTCGAGGCGCCATGTGTCCGCACCTCTTTCCGCCTTCCGCACTCGAGTCGCCACGAACACTACTTGGGGCTCCACCCAGGAGACCAATTACAGCAGCCAGGAAGAGCCCGCAAATGGTTGTAAACCTCAGTGGGCACTTAGCAAGAGGGGCAACAGGTCTCAAGAGGGCAGCGCGGTGCAGCTACAGTGACGACCATGCGGTTGAGCTGCTGCGCGAGTCACATGAGTTACGTGTTCACAGCTCTCAGTATGCAGCTCAGCGATGTTGTCTGAAAAGTCCTCAGCACAACAGCTCCGACGCGAAGACCAGAGGTAAGTTACTAGGTTGCAAGCGTGATCTTGGTTTTCGAGTATTCCAAGTTCAAGCCTCGTGCCGTTCCCTTCCATCTGGGTCTCCAACCACTTCCGAAAATCGCCGCGTCAGCGCCATGCCATTTCTTGTCGCTGCTGCGGCAGGCACCACCGCAAGGGCGCGCTGGGCCTGCAACAAAAGGATAAGTCGGGCAAGCCACTCCGATCCGACTGGGCGCTTGGCCGCTGGCCTTCGACGGCAAACGCAGAGCCTCCCGGAAGCGCGAGGCCACCGCGACGACGTCGGCCCAGCGCCACAGCAAACCCGAGTTGCGCGAGGCATCCTGCCGAGCTCAGAGCTGTCTTAAGGGCTTTGCGGCTTGGCTTCGCAAACCGTGACTTGCCAAGCCTGCCTGGTAGGGAGCTAACTTGGATCGGAGGTCCTCGCGTACTCTTCTTGAATGGTTGCAGCGGTGATGCAACAGGCACACAGCAAAGCACTTTTGTGCCTGCAGAGCTTCAAGGTTCTGCTGCAAAGCCTGTCATTCTGGTGGCTCAGCTGCGAGCTTTGACAAAACACTCCGGCCTGCTGCAGCCGCTCGAACTCGGCACCTGGTTGACTCGCCTTCCCAGCTCTGCCAGAGAACACAAGACGGTGTTGCACCTAACTCCCGGACCTCGGATGGAGTGCCTCCGACCGCGTAGTCGTCTCTACCTCGCGCAATGGTTTCCGCTGCACGTGCTTAGAGCACTTCAGCTCTCGCTGCGGTCTGGGGCAAGGGCCATAAAAGGATGTGTAAGGAAACCTAGGTCGGGGTGTCGCAGTGTAGCAGTGCCAGGTGGTGCAGCGTCTCTTGCTGTCCTGAGACCCCCAACCGTCGGTGAAGACGCTCCGAGAAGAGTAGGGCTCCCAGAGTCTCCTCGCCCTGAGACATCCGCTGTTCGACATGAGTCCGCGGGGTTTGGGAGCTCTGCCTCTTCCCTGGCCGAGTCTTCCTGCAACAAGCCTTAGATGATCTGAGGATGTCTCTGCGGCTTGTCTCCGCAAGTTCATGCTGTGTCTCGGACGAGCAGTGGCCATGCCACCAGAAGAAGCCTGGGCTACAGGTTTGTCAAGCACACCGGCACGCTTCTATAGCAAAAGCTGTCTCTCCCCTCTTGGAGCCACACAGCGCTGGCATCTCTCGCCATCCACCAGGTCATCATGGCCTGACCAGCCGCCGACACTCTGAGAGGTTACACATTACAGTTTCGAGGTCACCACATGCAAAAACGCAACAACCTCTCCACCCAGACAACCTCGCTTGTTGGAGCGGGATATCAGATCCGTGGAGCTACGCCGCCGCTCGGATCAGCTGTTCAAGCGGGCTTGTGGGATTAGGTTTCATGGGCGGCTCTGCGGATGGTTTCCGAAAAAAGACTCCAGGAGTGGTCGCAGAAAAGCCCCCAGTCCTGAAAGGAGTAGATGCTCACAAGGAGTGTCTCGCTATCATTGTCACAAAAACCGAACATAAAGCGTAAAAAATGTGATTGATGGTGACCAAGAACCTAAACCCTAAATGAGTGAGTGGCTGCGAAAACACCCAAGCCTGATACAACTGGTTCCCAAGAACCCCTTTCCCAAAGTCATGTGGGTGGTCGCGAAAGCGTCTAATAAGCCTAGCCCCTCAAAGGAGCAAGTGCCTCACAAGACCCAAAGTCCTATTTCATCCCGACCATTATATGTGCGATGCAAGATTATCCATGCCACGAGGTCTCATCTCTCTATCGCAAGAGATCGCCTGCCTTCCAAGCCAATTCTCGCCATTTCTCGCCCGCCCCCCACCCCGGATGCAGTGATGCCGAATGTGAACCCGTTCGCTCCACACGATCCGATTTGCAGAACTGATTCCGGAACGCGTGTCGAACCTTGCAGAAGCTGATACCTGCAGCTACCAACGACACATAATTCACGGACTGCTACAGATTGCGGGTGGTGACGACATTCCAGTCAAGCCTGTGTTTTTGCATAGTTTTCGTCGGGAGCTGGGCCATGCCCCTTTGCACGCCCTCTGCCGGCATCAGATCAAGCAGCCATGGCGAGGCATTGGAGGTGCAACTGCATAATTCAAGCAGCAAGTATGCCTCCCTCCAGTGTTGCCCCAGGCACATCGTCAAACGAGAACGCAACTCAACGTGGAGTGTGGTTAGCATTCTTAACTTCAGAGTTGTGAGCCGTCCTGAACTCTTGAAGTAGCACACCTCGTGAAAACCCTGGAGCATCATGGTGCGATGTCTTTTCAAGGTTGCTTTTGCAGGACTCGTTCTTTGACCGGACATTTCACAAGAGGCTCTGGGAGGCAGCCCAAAATCAGTAGGTTCACAGTTTGCGAGGTCTTTACACGCTGTACGAATTGAAGCCCCACAGCAGAGAGCGGTCTCATACTTCCACGATCCCACAGTGCCTGGAGCTGGTCGGGGTCTGAAACCTCCAGCGCCGTCCTGCTTCGGCACCATTACAGTACCTCTTTGTCGTCGCTTGGCATTCATCTGCCTGGCCTCATGCGGCCCAACTCGATGCGCGCCGCCCGCTGGACTGCTCTGTCCACCTTGCATGCTGAAAAGGTCTTCCTGCAGAGGAGCCCAGCCTCTCCTGAGGAGCGGGCCTTCAGCCAGAGCCTGAGTAACGGAGGGAGTAGCATCAACACAGAGGAAGAAGAGATCGGATCGGAGGGTTCCGCCGGGGCAGCGACGGCTGCCTCGCCGTGGGCCTTCCGACGGCGGCCTCCATCCGCCCAGCCCAGGCCGCCTCGGAGCGCGGCAGCGTTGCAAACTTTTAAGCAATTCAGTGACAACCAACGGCGGTTCGTCTCTGCTCCTTTTACTGGTGCTCGCACATGAGCTCTGACAACGAGAGATGTGACCCATGGAGAGTCATTCTCTGTCCAATGCCTCTAGAAGTGTGGATGAATCACGTCATGATCTCCACAGGTGACCACGCTAGGGCGACAATGGCAGGAAGTAGCCTGGTGCAACTTGCTGCTGCTCAGCTTTCGCTGCCGACGAGTCCAAATTTCGCTGCATCCCCCGCCCCATGTACACAGGCGCAGCCAAGTCTCAACAGGGAAAATGATTCCGTGCTAAAGGCAGGCGCCCTCATTGGTATGCACAAGTCGTCTGAGACAAGATCATGCAGCAGAAGCTACAAGATAAAACACAAAACGACAAACAGCCCCGACCCCGTCTTGATTCCTTCCGTTGATATCTGTGCTTTGCGACGCTCCAATACTCTCTGCACGATCGCAGCGCTCTGTCTCAGAACCAGAAAAATGAGAAGAGCGCTACGACACTTGACAGGGGCGCAGCCAGTGTCGCCAGAGTTGCACCGCTTCTTTGGTTCAACCCTGTGATGGTGCTTTCAAGAACCGCAGCTCCAGTCTCCTCGAAGCAGCACAAGACTTGATGGCACGCAACAAAATCCCAGAACTCCCAGTAGTTTCGGCCTTGTTCTCGACGAAGAGGTCTAAACCAGACACCTGGACCTCCGGCAAAATTGGGACATGCCCATGCTCCATGGAGCAGGCATGACATTGGGACAATCTGGGGACTCTGCTGCATAAGGGAGGTTCTTGGATGCGAAGACCTTCTCGTGCACTTTGGAAGCTGTTTGTCCATCCTCATATCTTCCAGCATCTTGCCGCAGCTTTCGGTTGCGAACGCAAAAGTCAACACAGTGAACATACGCGAAAGTGCCCGGCCAGCGCGGCGACAGCCTTGACGACGTCTTCGTCGCTTTTACCACTGATACCTCAGACCGACATGGAGGAAGGCGGCTCTTGTCTTCACTGCTTTACAGAGCACACATTGGATGATGGGGCTACGACTTGGCACGACCTCGTAAGTGATGTTCACCTCTCCTTTTGCAGGAGCTTGTCGCCTGGCGCTTAGCGACTGGATGCACCCAAACAAAGGGTCCGACTCTACCGTGACTGCTTCTGTGCGAGCTCTCCTGTGATTGCTTCTATGGGAGCCTGTGGCAGCTGAGGCCTTCATGGTGTAAGGGTAGGTTAGTAAAGCTTGCAAGGTGAGTGTTTCGTTTTGTCATTGAGATTCTGCCTGGCCATCGCTGAAGACTTTCGGCCCATCTCCAGCATTGATGGCGAGTTTGCAGAGACCTTAGCACCAGCTGCGTACAAGCGCTCGGCCCAAAACACATCGAAGATCGGAGGCCGGCTGATGCGGCCTCCGCACCCTTGATGATGATGGCATCCTCGGATGCGCAGACGTGATCCCAATCGCGCTTCTCTGGCATGGAGGCTCCGACCGGGTCGACACCAAGCTCTTCAGCCAAGGCATCCTCAGCAGAGCACAAGGAATTGCGGTTCTCTTGCTTTGCAAGACGAGCGACCTCTTCAGAACCTCAGGCTCAGCACCGCACGCGAACGGCCTCGAGAGCTGCCGCATCGTGCATGAAGGTCTCAGGGTCGCTCACCTCCGTCTCGGGTGAAACGGAAACCCAAACAACTTCGCCACACCTGAGAGGAAGACCTTCCAAAATCGGACATCCTGAAACTTGAAGAAACACCCACCAGGCTCGGGTGCCTCCAGCACTTCACTGCCCTCCACAGCCTCGGGTTCCTGCTGCTCGGGGGTATAGGGAAGGTTTTTAGCCTCAACGTTAGAAGGAAGGAGATGGAAGGCCAGGTCGGAGGTCCGAAACCCTGCCCAAGCGGACGCAAAATTGACTCGCGCCTCTCGGCTCGGCTCGAGACTGATGCCGGTTGTTAGACCCTTCTCGAAGATGCAGCCGGGGAAGGCAAAGAATCAAGTCCAGTCTTGAGGCTTTACTTCTGCAACGTGTGTTCGGCGGCTCTTTCACCACTCGCAAGCACACGATGTATATGCCGAAACCGAACTGGAGGGCATGGGATGAGGCCACGGACGCAGCACAGAAAAGAATACCAGGGCGGCCGCGATGATCGGCTCTAGAGCGATGGCATCCAAATTTGTTAGAGAAAGCAGAACGGAAAAACTCGAACTCAGGGCGGGTGAGGGTGAGATCGGATCGGCTGACATTCCACTTTCGCATCGGATGCGACACGTCCACGGCGGTCCTTCTCGGCGATCTCTTCGGCTTCCTTCTCGGAGACGACCCTCGGCAAGAGGACCCCTTCTCTTTCTGAAGAGAATCCCTCCGGCCTCCGGACCAGGACCAGGCTCCCAACGGTCGGTGCACAGCGGGTGGCAAACCGAAGCTTCCGGTATCCTGACACCCAGCGCGAGCGCGGAAGGTTTGTAGAAGCTGCCCGCTGTTGGGGCCAGGATGGAGAAGCCCTACACCAACTGTGGGGGAGGCCAGCTACAAATGGACTGTCGCAGGGTCCAGCGTGTCGTTGCCACCAGCGCGGGTGTAGGCCACGGAGGCGGCAGAAGCTTGTTCCTGCTGCAAGTGATGGGACAAGGGCCCCGGGTCTGCCGATGCATTGGCTCTCTCTGTGCATCTGTCGTAGATACTGAACTGCAAACTGAGCGAGGAGCATCCACCATGGTAGATAGACCCGCGAGTAAAGAGCAGGTAACTCAGTCCTGCGGCGTGGCTCCAGCGGCTTTGGCCTCGGATACGCTGATTGGACTCAGAGCCCTGCAACATGCACGGCAGTCTGACATGGCCGATTGCTGCCGCGATTCTGCAGCAATGGCGACTTCGGCAGCCTGCGTTGCATTGGCGCCCTGCTTCTTCGCCGCATCCGATGCGGCAACAGCTGCGGCTGCCGCTTGCTCTTCGGGTGTTGCACCCTCTGCCTTCGCCGATGCAGCAGCTGCTTTGCCCACGGATTCCACATCCGCGCCCGACTCTGAGGCAGACTCCCGCGCAGCGCTTGCAACGATTACGGCTTCCTCGGCTTTTGTGAGATTTGATGCGGCCGCCACCTTCGTGGCTGCTTTGGCAGCTGCTGTGCTCGCCTTGGTGGCATTGCCTCCACTGGAACGAGCAGCGGCGCTGGCCGCTGCCTGAACTGCCATCTCGACCTGCTTCGTGGGGCTCTCGCCTGCTGCCTCGGCAGCTTTTTGTGCTGCCTCAGCTGCCACGGTCGGGTTGCCCCCGGGCGCTGCAGCTGCCGCCTGCCCTGCTGCGGCCGCCTGACTCTGTCACGCAACGCGCATCACCTCCGACATTTGCGATTGCGAAAGCGCCTGCTCGTCAGGCGTGGCGTTCTGCTGCGCCGCTTCCTTCGCGGCGACGGCTGCTGCCTCCAGAGGAGGCTTCGGCGGATTCACCTGGAAGGGCCCGCGGTCACTTCTGCCAGAGAACGTCAGAGACTTGAACTGCTGATCCCCACGGCGCCTCCGCCGATCCGGCAGGTGGGTTCGTCACCTACAGTACTGGTGGCGTGCCGAAGCTCCGGAGCCACGTCTCTTGTTTGCTGTACTGACATGTACATAAATGTACCAAGGAGCCGTGGATTCGTCTCCCTCCGGCTCCGAGGTTTGGTTGTTTTCCTCAGAGCACGAAATGAAACAGCGCAAAAGATCCCGTCCGGCCACATCTTGCTGCAAAAGTTCGGGAGAGAAGGGGACGGTCACATTGCAGGGAGGCACAGGCGGCGCTCCGGGGATCTCGCAGTCCTGCTGGAGATTACGAAATGGAATGCAACATTACACCCACACGTGCCAAGCATGTCCCGATCCCAATCCTCCACCTCGCTGAGATTGCCTTTGCATGGTGCGCCACCTCAGACTAAGAAGATCAGGTGGGTCTTCAGGAAGAGATTTGAGGCCGGAGCCGAACTGCGCCGAGCCCTTCTCGCGGCTGCGCAGGCGCTGGGCCTAGGCCAGGGCCAGTGCCATCTCGTCTCGTCAGAGGTGACGGTGGGATTTGGGAGGCTAAGCCTGGCGCGGGGCCACAGGGCTGGAGCTGGCATTTGCCCCAGTCGCTCCAGTCCTCGAACTGGCAATCCTCGGTTTCTGGGATTTCTTGCTCTCTGCATCTCTAGCTCCAGTGCCCCAAAGCTGCGATTGGGCAAGGCAGCTCTGTGTCGCAAAGTTCCTGGCGGAATGCAAGTCCAGACAACCCCCCTTACAACCCAACCAGTTTCTGAAAGGCTGACGAGTTTGTTTTTGCAATTCAAAGTTTTACGTGAGTCGATGGCCCGCTGTTCTCATGAGAGCTTTCACGTGTTGTGAGCAAACCCTAGCTGGAGTACTTCGTCAGAACACAACTGGCAAGACTTATGGTGAGTCAGGACTACGGACCGAAGATAAACCAAAGCACTGGCTCGACAGAAGCATGAGGTCGGGCGGAGGTCCTCTTCCGATGGCTCCCCGGTGCAATTGAGACCCAAGGGGCCATAGGCCTGACCAGGGCTTCTGGGCTCCATCCACCAGGTGATCACAGTCGCACATGCTGTCTCTCACAGGAGGATAGAAACCAGTGCAGCATCTTGGCAACAGGACGCAGCGCAGCTTACTTTTTCGGCCACCCAGTCTTTCGCCCAGAAGATTCGTGCACGGATGGTAGCCTTGCTCCATGGGCAGATGTGTTCTCAACCAAAGACATAGCTTCTGGAACCACTGCGAGCCAAGCAGCTGAAGCTCCCATCGCCCGCCCTGTTTCAAGCTGGACGTTTTGGCAAACAGGCTGCAGTCTGCATACAGACAGCATAGCTAGTGGTGCCCAAGCACCCAGTGCTGGAAGCAACTCCCGCAGGTGCTCGACCGCGCGCTCGGGAGGGTTCTGGATGAGAAAACCTCCCGCAAACGACAGCAGCCGGAGCTCTCAGTTCTCTCGTCGCAGCCACGGCGGATCAAGGAGCCATAAGTCGGACGTGAAATGCCGGGCCTGAATTTTGGAGCGAGTCGGCCGCTGAGTCTCGGAACCTTCGTCTCATCTCTGTGCGAGGGAAGTGCAAGAACAAGAGACGGAATCGGGAAAGGCACCCAAACTCCACCACCAGGACGTGGCGCATCCCGAGACCATTGAGGCCCTGGTAGAGGTTTCGAAGCTGCGGTCCGTCGAGGCAGGGATACCACACGGCCACCTGACCAGGTGCTTCCGGGCAAGGCGGCAAGGCATGGCATTGGCATGGCATTGCGAGTTTGCGTGGTCACTGGGCATGTGACACAGGCACTGGGCCACTTGGATTCCAAGAACTGCAGCACGTGGAGGTTCCATGCCATGAAGGACTGGTACGGCTCGTACGGTGGATCCATCAGGACCAACCCCCTTTGGCTGAAAGTCTCGGGCCCGGCAGCCCGCAGCAACCTTGCCAGCTTTGACCAGGGGATCGTGCTGCGAAAACCGTTTGTGATAAGAAAAAACGCATCCTCAGGAAGGAGCCACCAGTAGGAGTTGGCTCGGAGGACTTCGGCATTTGACACGCCGGTGGGATCAAGCATCTTCTGGTGCTGAAGAAGCTTAGCATGCACGTTGGGAGCCATCTCCAAAACGATGGCTCGATCCTGGAAGGGGAGCGGGAGCCTGGGAGCCTCGAGCCTCTCGGTGGCCGACCCGGCCTGGGGGCGCAACCACTGCTGCGCCAGCAAGGGCGAGCCCAGGTAGAGCCTGAAAGGCCGCAACGGCTCCCCAAGTGCGAGGCTCGAGTCCACTGTTCGTCGGACCAGAATGGAAACCAAGCAACTGGGAGCCTATGCCCGCGCTGCGGAGCCTGTGCGAATTCTCGAGATAAGCCTGCAGGAGGGCACCGCGAGTACCCCATGGACTGCATCAGCTTGCACCCCGACACCAGCCCAAAGCCCGGTTTCTTCCACCTGGATTGTCGGATGGAGCTGCTCAGCTGTATCCAGCCTGAAGTGAGGCAACCGAGACGTGAGGATAGCCCACCATTCCGTCTGCTGCGGTTAAGCATGGTTTGTGGGCTGTGTACAAGACAACAGTTCCCCCCAAAACAATGGCAGGAGTTTGCTGTTCATGCATGCTCTTGTAACAGCCTTCCGACGTCACTGCAACATCGAACTCCAGCTGCCATGACAAAGATGACGAAGGCTGGGACAGTGACTGACGATTGAACAACAGCACTACGACACCAATCGAACCACACTGCTCACACAGCATCAGCGACGCTGCTCACACAGCTTCGACAAGTAGCTGCGCAACACCAAACTGAGAGTTGTGGTACGTGTCAGAACCGTGGGTCAAGTTGTACAAGCCCCATCCTCCATGTGTATCCTCAGCTGCCACAAACATCCACAAACTGCCCGTTCCGTCCGGACAACATATGTCCCGGCATGAAAAATCTACATTCGTTGCTGCTGGGCAGCAACATAGGTGAACGGCGCTTCAACTGAAGACAAACTTTGAAGCAGCATCGTCAAGACGGAGTGCTTGAAGCAGTCGACAGAACTTCCAGCCTGTCGTGCAGGTAATGGTTTTTGACCGTCGGGTTTCTTCGGGAATATCATCAGGATCGCCTGAAAGGTGTGATCATAATCAGCACCATGGAAACCATCAATGCCTGCCATTCGACGCATTTTTGTCTGGTGTATATGCAACGATCACACGCAAGTGCCTGCGTCTAGCATCGCATCAATGATGTCCATGCTCCTCCTCCACTGGCCAGCAGCCTCAGGTTGCCACCGAAACATGCAATGCAAAAGGAACGGCCACACTGCCTGCCAAAACATCTCTCAGGCTGCAAAAAGTGCTTGGGAGTTTTGCAGTCCCATGGCCTTGCAAAGCCCCATGTAAAATCTTCCTGAAACGCTGTGACGATTCGGCCTAAGACAGCATCCTACAACCGATTGAAAACCTTCTTGGCCTTTTGAAGCCGCTGGATCATGTCTTCATTGAAGCCTTGTTTGAAGATTTGGATGACCATCCAACCCGCTCTCACGTGGAAACATGTTGGAAACCCGTTTAGACATTTCAAGACCTTCTACCAAGTCCCAATAAGGCGACGTTCTGGTGTCGCCATGCATCGGAGCATCTCCAGCATCCAGTCAACTCATTCTACTCAACATTGTAAGATGGCACATGCCACATGCCTCTCGCCCACCAGTCCTTTGGAAGCCACCCTCAGAACACTCCGGAAAACTCTTCCCGGCTTCAAGCTTGAAAGCCGTTGCAGCTGCGAAGCCTTGCACGGCCTTGCAAGGCCCTGTCGAACAGCCATGAAGCCAAAGAATCCGTGAAGCCAAGAAGCCATGGAAGCCCTGAAAAAAACACAAAGCCGAGAGGACCTGAAGCCCCGCGCAAGGAAAACGAATCCCAGAACCCTAAACATAAAACATCAAACACAAAACGAAACTCAGATACAATCAACTTTCATCCGCAAAAATCAACCAAAAAATATGCCAAGCTGCTGCGCAAGCTGTCATCGCAGCACAAAAGCAAATCTCGTTGGCTTGCAGCTTGACCTCCCCAATGCGACCGAGGAGGGCCAGGGCAGCATCCCATTGCGACCCCTTCTGGCAGGCGCTGATGGCCTCGGAGCCGTGCCGGCTTTCTTCCGACGAATCACGGCACGTCAGCGAAAGGCCGAGAGACTGCGCCAAAGCTGATCACCGTTGACTCCATCAGCCTTTGCTGCCTGCGACGGAGCGGAAGGGACCCCCGGGATTGGAGCTTTCACTCGCTGGGCCCCCGGCATCTCCTGGAGCAAAGCCAAGGCGAGCTGCCACTCGCCGCTCTTCTCGCATGCGGTTGTGGCTGCATTGCAACCTCAGCTCGACGCTTTTATGGAGTCATGTGGTGACGCTGCTGTATGCTGTGCTAATCCATTTTATGACAGGTCACTGACCACTGTGCATTGGAGTTGCAGGGCATACACGGAGCGCAAGAGAGACAGAGCTTCCTCCCATCGTGCACCTGGTTCCCGATTACGTGGGCAACACGACCACGAAGGCCCAAAAAGCTTGAGTGCATTCTAGCAGCTGCGCGCACAGGCGCTGATAGCTGCATTGACACCAATGATGTCGATCCTGGGTGGATTGAGAAGACCTCTCTGCGGCACTTATCCAATAAACTGCGGCTGTCGTTCACGCTGCTGATCTTCCCTGTTCCCGGTGCCCAGGTTTCGTAGTCGAAGTCAGCAGAATAACCGCCGAAACAGCGGCTGCAAATTACAAGCTGTTCCAGCCAAGCAGCTGCATCCTTTTCTTACACATGTCTTGCAGCACCGCTACGGCATGCTGCCATTGATGACCTGATGGCAACTAAGCTCTTGACTGATCGCATGCTACCCGCTGCTACCCGGACACAATCGCTTCAAGATGGAACTGCAGATGCTCCCGCAGTATGCAGTATGCGAAGGAAGGAATCAAGCAACCCAAGCCCGGTTGGAGGGACAACTTCGACGTCGACAAACAGACGAACCACCAGCTCTGTCGGTAACACTCCCAGGCCTGTGGCACAGACACTGATCGCCGCATTGGAGGGTATCGACTCAAGTAGGCCTCCCAAGAAGAAAGGCTATGTCTACATCGAAGAAGACCGTCCCACACCCTAAGACCATTTAAAACCACTTACAGTAACTTAACCCTCTGCCTTGCAGCTCCATCTGCGCGAGCAAGTGCAGTGCCTTGGATCGATTCACAGCCACCAAGAGGCAGAGGAACATTTCCGTGCTCAAAAAAGGAAGGAGAAAAGCACGACAGTGATGGCCCGACCAGGAGCCAAGGAGCCACCTGCCACTCTCCACTAGCTTCGCAGGCGCTGATGCAGGAACCAAAGGAGTAGGAATCCGGTGCAAGCTGGAGCTGCCGAGCCTGCGGTCGAAAGCTGCCGGTGACGCTCCGCAGATGAACAGCTCGACCCGATCGGAAACCCCAAGAAAGGCAAAGAGGAATCCTTCTGGCCTCTTCCAGCAGCTGCAGCGCCAACTCCCAACTCGCGGCCACTTCAACAGCATTGATCAAGGCATTGTAGCCTGGAAGCTGAGCCGTCGAAGCTCTGAGGTGTCGGCCACAACGAGGACAACACTTATAAGCTTCCCCCTCCCTACTGCAAAAATCTCACGTAAACGAAAGGCCACGGGGCTCCAAAGATCGGCCTGGACAGACCGGCGCTTCATCCATTCCAGAATACCAAAGGCTATCTGCCATTGGCTGCAAACCCCGCACGCCGTCATTGCCTCCACACGTGAAGACACAACACAGAAACTGCAAAGCGTGAATGACGGAAGGACGTATACCAACTGCAGTTGCCAACTTGGTCCCTGGCCGCGTTGTAGCCCACCACATTCGGGGGATGACCTGAAAGCTGGTTGTGCAGGTTGGGGTTTCAACCTCGCAGCCCGGACATGGCCTGTCAGTGCCTGCCAGCAATACCAGCGCCGTTGGCCAGGCACCGCGGCATCCACGCAGAGCTGCGCCGAGGCTGACATCATCCAGACGCTGAGAAGCCTGCCTCAGAGCAACCAGCCAGTGAGCCACTGAGCCAGTGAAGTCGCGCTCTTTCCAAACCGAGACACCGCATCTGCTGGAGTTGCTCCAGACCTCGTCCAATCCAGGGGCCGCGATGGACTCTCTGCGTTTTTTTCCTACTAGTACCACTCGGCCACCACCAGGCTGGTGCTGTTGCGTTCCGAGAATCACCAGGGCCACCGCTGCGCTCGCGCGCAGCTCGAGATGGAGGAGCTGCAGCCTCGGCTCTGTATGAAGGAGCAGCATCTGCAGCGCTGCAGTGCAAGGCGTGCGTTTCGGATTCGGGGTTTCATGCTCGGAGCAAACCCAAACGGAAAGACAAGGCGCTGAAGGCATTGCGGCGCAGTTCATGGAGCGGCATCTCCTGCGCACGCAGTGCCAGACTTGCAAGAAATTGTAGCAGCGCCAAGAAGCCTCCAGCAGCCACAGCGCTTGCTGCCAATCAGAATTCCGTCCGCAGTTGTTGAGAATCGAAGTGCACATACGCAGGCCCTCCTGGCAATGAGTTGCAGCCTGTTGAAGAGGCCTAAAAGCAATGCAAGCAATGCCTCCTCGCGTCGAGCTCGGGAAGCCAGGCCGAACGTACCCGACATGGCTGGTGTGGAGGGGACCATGCAGGGAAAGATCTGAAACTTCGGCTACAACATGCCTTCTGCTAGTCTCAGTCTTGTGGGCCAGGTTCGGTCGGCTGCAGTGAAACTTTGCGAAGCCATACAAAAAGCATCGGACCAAGCTGGCACAAACGCTGTACTCTGTGAACCCGCCCTAGCGGACATGCTGGCTACTGCGCCTCCGTGTCCACGAAGCGGAGTCGAGTTCGTGTGCCCTTGCTGCAGGTCCTGAGAAGGCAGTGCAAGGTGGGCTGTTGGCATGAGGAAGCAACCTGAAGGTCCTGGAGCAAGCCGTCCACTCGTTCCAGTCCTGTGACACTGACTTCCTGTGCACCTACAAGACGGCCCCTCCGCGGCTGAACCCGGCCTCCCAGGTGCAATTGACCGAGCAACCGCCAGGTGCATTGCACGCGGCCGTTTCAGTCGGGAAGCCGACACACTCCTCGTCCAAAAGCATTCGTGGTAGAACTTTCACTTCGCACGGAACACCGCACCAAACACGGCAGCAACTCCCGGCCTGCCCAGCAGTAAATGGCCCTGACTTCGTGCGAAGCCGCGACTTTGTCCTGAGTGGCAAACCGCCGAAGTGTTCAGCAAGCTGGGCATCAACGTGCTCGAGCGAGTGCTCGACGACCTTCCTGAGGCCGCAGCCCCGTGACATCTCCTCCACAGGATTGCGTGCACGACGTCCACTCGCCCCAGTCGTTCCTCCAGACTAGGAGCGGCTAGGAACAAGGAGCACGACTCTTCAAGTTTCTTCAGGGGAGACTACACCATGCATATGCATGCATAAAATGGCTTGGCCGTGTGTACTTCGAGCCCCGGGCCAGGTGCAATCTTCAGGGCAAGGCCTCAGAGTCGTCCGTCGTCCGCATGCGGAGACAGCTTCAGATGAGATGAGATGTTCGAGAAGAGATCCGTGACCGGCTCGTCTCCCTACACTTGGGCACGCACACATCGTTGCAGTATTCTGTCTGCGTAGCACTGCCTACGCAGTTTCCACCATAGGCAGCCTGGCAAGTGCTTCATCAAGTATATCGCTGACCTCACATTCAGGATGTGGGCCGAAATGCCCTTGTGGAACATGCCGCGTGCCACCACCACAAGCTGGATCCTGTTCCGGAATGCGATGCCTGGCATCCCGAATAATGCTGTGCTGCAGCTACTGCACAAGGCTAACATGTCTTCTCAAGGACACCTCCAACAAACGGGACAGGACTCTTGCGTCTTGGTGCGTGAACCCTTGTGCCTTTGCCGCAGCTCTGTGTGCAATTGCTCCAGCCGCCCTGAGCTGTGGACAAACATCGGATGTTCGGCGTGGCCGCGCACAAGCTTTTCTGGCCGAATCATGTTCGGCGTGGTTCCGGCGAGGCCCAGGCCCAATCACCCCAGATGCAGTTGCGAGGGCAACCCTCAAGGCCGCAAGCCTCTCGAAAGAAGCGGTTGGAAGACCAAACACTCTCGGGGCCCGGGGTTCAGAGTTTGGCTGGAAACTGCGGGTCTTGGGATGTCTTGGGCTCGCTTCATCTGCCGCCTCGTACTCCTCGTTCGACTCATTACAAGGCCTGCGGCACGGCACCCACAAGCTCGAATTTGTCAGTTTGGGAAGTTCGTGTTCCACCGGAAAAACCCCGAACTGGTCGCCCGGAATCCAGGCTGGCATGATGTTTTTTGCGCACAAAAACCATGCATGTAACTAAGTGTTTCAACGCTTCGCATTCGCTGATGCTCTGACGAGGGTGTGGTTGCCATCGAAGGTTATCGTCTGCAAATCGCTACCCTGAACGAGTCCCACCAACGGACGAAACTCGTAGCGGTTTGTACGACCTTGGCCAAACCATTCTTGGAGCATGTGGCTTGACTGTGTCACTCTAGTGACACAGTCAAGCCACATGCTCCGAGAACGTCAGAAGGAAGGCGGCCTGCCGCCTTCGATCTCCGACTCGGCATCCCTGACGGCACAGCGGGCACAAGCAAACCCAGCCAGACTCTGACAGACAGACAGATCACAGAATCACAGAGCTTCAGGTCCCGGCCGGATCCGCTTCCGTCTGCCAAGCGGCCCACAGGTGTGGGAGCAGTCGGACCACGGCTCCCAATCCTCGAAGCAACGCCGCGCCACGACGCCATGATCGCCGCAATTCGCACACGCACCCTCACGGCCCTCACCCCTCTACTAAGCCGCTGGCGTGGAGGACACAGTCCCGCGGGCAACCTGCACAGTTACGCTAGCGAGGCCGTGCCTATATTTCCCAGGATGCGAAAAGCGCTGCTGCTTTGCAAGTTCCTGTCAGGTCTCCTGTGGCTCCCAATCCCGGCCTTGTTGAGCGCAGGGCTCTGACTCCTGCGGGTGAGCCGTTTCAGTTGTTGCAGGAGCAGATGCGCTCCTTCCATCAGCTGGTCCTCAGAATGTCCGTCGCAGTCAGCACCTTCTCCCACCTTCTCGACAAGAACGGACCTGACAAAGATAAGGATTTGGTGCACAGATTCGCATCAACCCCAACCCTAACCGCTTTGCTCATTTTGCTTGTGCATCCCAGGCATGTCAAGCCACCGAGGTGACTCTGCATCTGGCCAGAAAAGCACGACTGCGCTTTCGTTGACCGTTGACACTCCGTTCACCCTCGTGTCCGCTTTTGCGACTGCCTTGTTATTGGGAGGACGCCGCCTGAGTCGGCGATGTGCTTTGGTGACCCACGATATCCTCTTTGCATGAATGGTGAATCGTTCAAACTTCGCGACTTCGAAAAGATCGCGGAAGCTGCTTCATCGCAGAAAATACCGCACTAAAAAGTGCTGCGGGGCGGCACCAGCATTGCTAAGGAAAGTTCCAGGTGCTTCGGAATGGTTTGCTCCGTTTGCAACTGTAGAGCTAACCCTTTTGGCCGCATCCCGTATTTACCCGAGTTGTTCCAGCATCTGTGGCGTTTCCATCAGAAAGCTTCAGCCCGCCGTAAGCCCGAATCCTGACCTGTTCCAAGTTCCAAACCCGAAAGCTTGCAACATGCAACGCAGCGACAAGCCAGCGCATTGTGGCGTTTCCATCAGAAAGCTTCAGCCCGCCGTAAGCCCGAATCCTGACCTGTTCCTTCCAAACCCGAAAGCTTGCAACATGTAACGCAGCGACAAGCCTGTTGCGAAACTGGAAGCCGCTGTCGCAGGTGGCGCTGCAGTTGCCCCAGGCACTCCAACTGAGAAGCAGCTGTAAGGTGCAACTTTTCAAAGAGCATGGATTGCGATGTGCGGGTCACGAGCTTCTACATCAGCTAGGCTGCATCTACCTGGATCGAAACGCGAGTTCAGCTGTGACACTCGGTAGCTTCCGACTTATGTGACCCCCAAACCCCCAAAAAGTGAAAGCAAACGACTACGAACAAACGACGCGAAAGCCCCCAGTCTCTAGGCTTTAGTGTCCTTAAGCACCGAAGCTGCAGAGCTCTATAGTAGCCTGGTAGTCATAGTCCCAGCTCCGGCCCCAAACATGATCTGAGAGCGCCACGAGCCCCACTGGCAGTCCTGCGCATCAGTTCGTCTTCTCGAGTCGTCGAAGAAATTACTGCTTGCCGATACTAATCCTGGTACTAGCAGCCGGGTGGTGGCAGTGCTGGTGGTGCTGGCGGTGCTAAGTCGTCGACCACGAACAGCACGACGAAGATCACGACGACGACGAGGACGTCTACCACTACAGCTACACCAACTACGACAACCACGACGACAGCGGCTACGACGACGACCATGACCAGCACTACTGCTACGACTACTGCCACCACAACTCGTCTTCTACTGCTGCGTATACGCTGAGCTCCTGCTCCGATTCCTCTACTCCTCTACTGCTCCTGCAGCTGCTACCACACAGGCTACGATCAGTGACAATGAGTGAGTAGTAGCTGTGGACTTTGTCACGGGACTCTGGAAAGGCTCTAAATCTTTCGAGTCGCAACGAAGCCTCGTAGCTTCCCATAAGATCAACTTGCAAGGCTCCGAAGCACGGCATCGCTTCGAACCTGTCATTACGAATTAATGCAACGTTCCTGCCTCCATCGGTGAGCAGGCACCGCGACAGACATCCTTTAGAGTACAATCGCTGCCCATGCTGGACGCCGCGTCAGATCACCCCGCAGGATGAGCCGATCGCATGCTGTACACGTTCCAGAACGGCTGGCGGCATTATCCTTGAAAGACACTTGAGAGCCAACTGGCCCTATCCCGGCTATGCTCAGTCCTGGAAGGAAAAGACGCAGGAAAGTTGAGGCTCAGGGTCTGGGCGTGAGATGCCGCGACCCGCTACGACCGCTACGTCTCTGCTCGCTTCGCTGCAAGGCACTGGAGCCGCTGCTTGGCCTCAGCACGAAGAACACCACAGCCACAGCGACTGCCATGAGCCGCAGGCCTTCTGCACGGTGCTCCGTCGGAACTGCAGCAGCTTCTGGTCGAGGGCCCTCGACGCACCGCTGGCAGGCGCCTGGAAGCGGGCTTTGAGACCTTGGCGCAACAGCGAAGGCGCAAGGCCGACCGGTCCGGTCTGAGCCTGGTTTGCGGTCTTATGCAAAGCAACGCAAAGCACCAAAGCACCTCCTCTTAGTCTCAGTTCTGAACTGGCCATTCGAGCCATCACAGCATCGGCTTGAGATTGCCAGCTGGCCACGGCGTCCGCTGCCGGGGTCCTGTGGCTTCACGAGGGCTGCTCGTTGACTTCCTGTTCCGATCTGTTACTGCAGCTGTCTCGCTCCCCGCTCCTGACTGGGGATGCTTGAGTGTTGCGGGAGCTTTGGCCCAGAACATCCTGGCCGCTGCCGCGTCTCGACTTCTCTAAGCCAGCCTGGGTCCAAGCCAGCTGCCGCTCACCTCTCCCACTCCCACTCCCACTGAAACGCACTCTGGGCGGCCATGGTTGCCACGACAGCCGTGCTGTTTCGCGCCTGACGGTGCAGCGGGGGGGGACGAGCGCGTGTGTAGCGGCGGTCGTCGGGGCCGGGCCGGGGGCCGGGCCTGGCGGCCCTTGGTCGGGACGCTGCAGAAGCGCTGCGGCGGCGTCTGTTCCGCCCTCTTCTCCTTCGACACCATGGAGGTGCTCCGGCGGGGGGACCCGATCTTCGGGCCGCCGACGAGCCTGACCATGCCAGGGAGGCAATCACAACGGCTGCAACTCGCAAGGGAGAAGCTCCGCCTCTGGATGTCGCGCAGTTCGAAGGCTTTCCTAATCGGTACGACGTGGGAGTATGTGATGAAACCCAGAACTGTGGCTTGATGCATGCTGTCGAGAAGCCCTTCGTCCAGCATATCAGCAATCATTTGCAGAAGTCGCGCTTGCTGCGAGTCTGCAAGCTGCGCGGCACAGCTTCGTAGGGCAATGCGGATGCGTGTTAGGAGAAGCAGCAGCTGCTCCACGATTCTCTCCTGTGCGACGGCAGCACTTTGAGCATGCACGGCCCAAGCCGACATCACTAAGACAAAACCCTCCTCGACGAGCTGTGCTTGCACCGGGGCAAGATCTCCACCAACGGAGAAGACGGCATAGACAGTCGCCCACCATTGCCAGACTGCCTTGAGAGCGACTGGACTTCCGGACTGGGAACGGGGTGCCCTTCTGTTGCACCTCGCGGTAGCAAGTCCAGGCGTGGAAGATCGGAGCCCATGGCTGCAGTGCCTGCTCCTCACATGATTTCACGGACTCTTCAAGGCTCGGGCTGGGGTGAGCAGTCGTCCAGTCAGTCCTCAGCTTCATCAGCCAATGGACAGGCCATCGCCACCGTGCAGAGCAACTCCTGGGCAAGACCAGCCCACGTAAGCTGTGTTTAAAATGGATCCTAACCGGACCTTCAGGTTCCGAGCCCCTTCTGGCTTCCAGGCTTTAGTTTGGTACTCCGGTTCCCGCACCGTAAAGCATCAATCGCCCTTCCAGCACATGCTAGCTGGAGCGGTGAACATGCTGTTCATCACAGCATGAAACGTGGCACTTAAGATCTTGCATGTCGGTCTCCTTCATGACAAATGCCACTTCGCGATGAGCCATGCGCCCGTGCATGCCGATCATGAGATGTAGGAGATGGCAGGAGTAAAATGTCTCCACTTGCACCCGAAAGCACAGAACTTTTCAGGACGGAAAGCTGGCCGCGGCCAAGGCTCCAGGGCCGTGACGCCCAAACCGTGGATGTCCAGACGACGCCTGAGCGGCGACTCGTCCCCGCCGGGCTCCTCCCGGGCGGGGCCTCCCAACTACACGCTTCCAGAAGCCTGTCCGGGCCCCGGGCTGGTATTGATCGCAGAGGTCCGGACGGTGGTCGAAGCCCTCCGGACCCACAAGATGCATGATCCAGGAACTGGGTGGCCAGTATCGACTGTCGCCTCCGATATACTCCGTCCTGCAGAAGGCTTCATTTCATGCTTGATGGTGTGTGTGCGGCTTTACAGCCCATGTTGGCTCCTCCATCTACCCTGCTCCGAGACCCAGCTTTGGGAGTCTACTGCTAAGCCAAAATCGATGAGCCAGAACGAAGCATTGGCCGCGATGTTGGAATCGTCGGCATCGCCGGCAGCATCGATGAGAATGTTGTGAGAATTCACGTCCTTGGCTGTGACAGCGGTCGGGCCAAGGCCTGCAAGGCCTGCAAGGCCTGGGTGTAGGGTTTAGGGTTGATCCGACCGATGCTTCCAAGGCTCGCGGTGCCAAGCAATCGGTCCCAGCATTTGAAGGGCCGGACCGATGTCCCGCAAGAGGCAAGACACCAAGCCTCTCAGCTGGGTTCTAGGCCTTTTTGGCCCTAGAGGCCCCTCCCCTCCCCTTTCTTTGCTCTCGCTTCCCTCCTTCTCTACCCTGATTAGACCGAGAGGCTTAGCGCTCTGCGCAGGCCGGTCGAGACGGTGTAGCCGGGAGGAGGCTTCTGCCTGATCAGGTCTTCTGATTCCGGTGTGAAATGGCTCTTAGACTCTTGGCACTGTTCATGCTCCCACTTCGGCCTCAAAAAGTAGTCCAGAGACTGTCCCGGCACCAGCGTCATCGCAGTCCGCACCTTCCAGCCACCAGAGCAGACGTTCACCTGACACCAGGTCGGGGCGCTTGACCTTCCCGCCTGCCCTGTCTGAGAGCCCCCACATCCCTCAGATCCCGGGCTCCTTGTAGGCGATGCAGCGCGGAACCCGCAGCTTCAGTCGGTGAGGCGACGCCGCCTGCTCCAAGGCCATGAGGACCTGCACCTCGAAGATGGCCTGAACGGACGAGGCCCCTGGACTATCGAAGGCTTCTTTGATCGTGTTCACAGTCGGGGAGAAACTCGGTAAATAATCCAACATCAAATGGTTCCATGAAAGCCAACGAATGGCACATCCAAGCAATGGCAGAGGCTCTCAATTGCTGTTTCACAGGTATTTGCTGTCACGCATGCCAGGAACACGCAGGAGAGTGTGAGGGCACAGCTCTGCAGTACGCTTTCAGCCACCAGGAATAATCAAACCAAGCCAAGAACTTTAAGACGCTGAAAGATGCATCTGGTTTTGTTTCGGGGTCCAGTTCTTTTGGGCCCGGTTCCGGCCCGGAAGCTGGCCTGCCGTAGCTCACTTTGGCTGCGGCACAGGACCTCCTTGAGTGCCACTTCGGAGGGCTCCGAGCGACCCTTGGCGCTGAGCACCTCTGCAACGGAGTCGAAGCGATGTGAGGTTCACGGCACAGCGACCCGGCGACCCGGCCTGTGCTCTCCAGACCTCGCCATAGGAGCCCCGGCCAAGGACGTCAGCGCAGCGGAAGCGGAAGTTGCCAAACTCCACCTTGCCGCCAGCATACCCGCAAAGCAGGCGCTTGTGGGCAAGCAGGCAAACCCAGGAACAAACAGATGCGTGCAAGCGCCCGCATCCGCTCGCACGGAGACTATGCCGAGGTGAGTTTCAGACATTTTCTCGACTGCCGCAGCTTCGCGGCCAAGGGCTGCTAAGCTGCTACACGCGAACCCACTCCGTTGTCGCGGCCATGGGCCATGCAAAACACCGGCACTTTCGAAGCCTTGCCTCGGCACCGGCACTGTAGACATCCTGGCGGCAAAGTAGAGCCCCGCCGCCGCGCATGCAAATCACACCTTTCCATGGCCTCCTCCGCCAGGTACTGGTTCGACATTCCTGCAGTGCGCATGTGAAGCCTTCGACATCTTACAAAAACACTGCTAGAACCATGCCTGGATCTGGCGGCATGGTCGCCACCTGGCGTGGGGACCAGGCCGCCTGACATGGTTGAAGTGCCGCAGTTGCCTCAGCCGCATGGAAGTTGGCTGCTCCGTGGCCCAGGTCTGAAAAGCCCAGATGAGGCCAATGCCACATAGCAGGGAGCCGCAAGAAAGGCATTGCTCACCACAGCCGTGGCACCTGCATGCAAACCTTCCACCTTCCCCATGCATACATAAACATCCGTTTGGCAGATGGCCTGGGGAAGCACTTCGGTGCATCACGGTCACATGGTGGCCAGGCACAAGCATGGCTGAGCTTAGTACTCCAGGTCCTAAATTCTTGCTGGATTGTTTGTGTCTCTCCATCTACGGCATGAGTGTGTCCGAAGTAACTAGTTCTTGTAGCAGCCATAACAGGGCCCTGGCAGGCAGTACAGTTTAGCAGATCTTTACAACCGTGCCATTGGCAAAACACTGTGCCCGAGTTCTGGCCTGACATTGAGGAGTGTCAACTCTGGAATGGATGCAGATGCAATTGGAACGTTCGGATGGCTCGGACAGAATAGTGCGGCGTGCGTTTGACTCATGTGCCAAAAACCCCGCATGCCCGATTCCCGAAAAACAAGCCACCGTCTGTCCACGGGGCAGATCTCCACATCACAGGCACGCCACTCTCGGTTGCTGCCCTCGCACGCAGTACCTCCCAGCACAACAGTGCGGCAAGCTGGCGGCGTTCTGACACAGCACGCCGCTCAGGCCGAGCAGTCGGAAGTCAGCAACCACACGGCTCTCAGCTCGACAGCTCGACTCTCCATGATGGCCAATGGCCCCCCAAGGCCGCGACCTCCGTACTGTGCGGACACGACCTGACAAAACACAACAGACCCCCCATGTAGTCTTCCGCTGACCCAGCCTCCACGCGTGTTCTGTCTTGGGTGCCCCTGAGACGGAGAGCGATCCCAGGGATGGTGAGTTCCGAGTTCCGGAGGCTAAAGCAAACATGCGGGATCTGCTCGCCGCAAGTGGCGCTGCAGCCGTTCCAGGGCAGCCAGTCCTCAGTTCAAGTAGTTTTGGAGCACTCCCCAGCACTCCCCAAAAGGCACAGAGTTAGAGGGCCCGACACCCCAAATGCAATTGACCGGGCAGTCCAGGGGCGCACACATATCCTCCTGAGAGAGAGAGCGCGAGAGAGCGAGAGAGAGAGAGAGAGAGAGAGCATTGAGCGTTGAGCGGATGCTGTAGGCAGATTTCATGCCGGATCGCAAACCCGGATCAGACCATCAGACTGGAGTGTTAAAGGCCTTGGTCTGCTCCAGCTCCTCTGGACAAGGGGTACCCTCGCCCTCTGCCTGGCAAGAGCACTGCAACCCGTGCTCCGACCCAGAGAAATCTGCTCTATGCCAGCCCCACCTGCTTGAGAATGGTACGAGACCTGCTGACAGGACAGGACAGCATTCGCACTGGGTGTCCAAGTGGGCTTTAGGAACTTTCGAACAGGTCTACTGTTCCTTGGCTTAATAACATCAGGAGTTCTTCACAAAACCAGGGCCAGATGCTCTGAAAGAGTGATGCCACGCTTAGGCAGTAGGGCCCTGATCCGGCACACGGCAGAGCGGCCTGTGCTGTGTACCACCAGAGCAAGTCTTCGAGCACTCGGACCAGTCTGTCCAAGACTCAGTCGGCGCATTTGGCGTCTGCACCCAGAGCCAATCACGACATGTAACAGAATACGAGGATGGATGCAAACTTTTCCGGACATCATGTAAGGCGGCGGCCGAAGCTTGGCAATTGATGCACGTGTTGTTGCAGCTTATCTCCTTGCCGGAACAGCTTGCTGAAGACGCTGTTGCCACAGCAACGAGCTGCACAAGAGGCACAAGTCTGCCATTGCTACTGGTCGCCGACAACGACGGAGTACAGTACTGCATAGCATTTGCACTAGTCACTGGTATTTGGTGTTCATTCTGTAAGTAAGTTTTAGTGGTGTCGTCGTCGTAGTTCTTGTCATTGTTGCGGCCAATGCAGCAACACCGAAACTGCTTACGGCCTAAGGGGTCCGACATCGCGTCGCAACCCACCGGGCTCCTCGGCTGTCTCTCCACAGGCAGCTCCACCGGCAAAGGGCTGGGTCAGGATAACCCGGTTCCTGCGAACTCGGCTGGCTGTGCAGATGTCCCGAAGTGAAGCTGCCAATAACAAAGCTTTCGAATCACTTCAAAGGCATGGTCAGCACCTCAGGCCCTCACAAGATCAAAGACAAGCACGCTCACTCCTCTGCTGCTTGCCGCTGCAGTATGGCGTACACGGCGTCCATCCGCCCCACTCTGTCATCACGCAGTCAACCGGGCATGCAATCCTGGTCGGGAGAATGGCTTTTCAACTTTGCATGAAACCTGGTTTAGCTTCCACTGTTGCACTTGAAATGGCTTTGGCACTGAAGCATGACTGCAGATAGTGCGCTCTGCCAGCAGAGACAGACATGACAACCAACGGCTTGACGAAATTAGGCAGGAAGATGCCGTTGTGAGTAAGTTCAACCACGGCACGTGTCGGCGCAGACACCGACCTCTGAATGGGAGTACTGAATGGATTGCATGAGAAAACATGCCACGGGAGGAGTTTGCAAAACTGCCTGCCTCTGTGACATTGCCCTTGCACTGTTTGCCACCACCATCTGCCGGCACCTAGTTTTGCACATAGCATTTGGAACACAGCACCAGCTGACAGTGACATGACGTGGACCAGAGAATGAGGACGGCTCACGGTGATGCGGATACAAAGCTCGCAAATATGATGACAATGATGATGGTGCTACACACGTGATCATGTTGATGATGACGATGATGATCATGGCCATGGTGATGATGACGCAGCATCGAAGATGGTGAGAGTGGTGGCACGCCTCCCATGAACATGGCGATTAGGGTGATGGTGTTGGATGGTGACAATCAGTGTGCCAATGATGGACTTTCGGCTGCTGTGGAAACTCCTCCCCGGATGATGTGCTGAGGGCATGCAAAGGAAATCCGCAACCAGAAATCACAGAATCATTTACATATGTATTTTGAGATCAGCTCCAGCTGCGAGAAAGAAACGGACGCACAAGCAAGACAGGCTCGTGCAGCAATCGAGCCCAGCAAATCGTCAAACTCGATTCCCGTAATACTGCAATGACAACTACAACAAAAAATGATGATGGGAAGAATCAAAAATTGCAAAATTGATGTGAATGCGGCCGAGCACACTTAACTTAGACATGATTTTCGGTGCAAAACCCGTGGCATCAATCTGTTGCGTTTCCTCGGGTTCGAAATCCAGTCTTCCATACTTTTTTTTGACACGAAGAAATTACGAAGCATGGCTTATGGCAAAAACAAAGACTGAGTGAGTTGCGCGGTATCTTCCACTCATCCCTTCACCCATCGTCATGGTTGCAATCAGAACCCAGCACCAGAACCGTCGGAAGCCCGTCGGAACCTGTCGGGACTCGCCGGGACCCCGTCGACCCAAGTCTTAAGCACAGGTTTAAGGGTTGGCCATGGTTGGCCTGACGGGTCGACAGGTCCGAGTCGGCGGCCGCGACAGGTACCCAACACGGTCATGAAAACCTCAAACTACGAGCTCCCTTAAGCCATTGCAGTGCTGCACACTTTTAGCCAACGTCTGGCCCCCTTTTTTGACACCATCAGCCCGACATGAGAACGACCAAAGACCCAACCAAAAATATTCACACAGCAACCTACAACAGGCAAACAGGCAGAATACTCGAATTCTAGCTAGAACTTCCTCTTGGCGCGGGGTGTCAACATGCGGTCAAGATGGGGTGCCCAGTTTGCAGCGAGCCGGCAAACAAAAAGAGTAGCGAGCACCCCGCTGGGCCCGTGTCGGGGTCGGGCAACTGCACATGAACATCTCTGAACTGTCGCAACTGCAGAACGAGCGAGTACCAATCATTGATGATGAATGATGAAAGACTTGCGTTTTCCAGGTTCGTTGCAACTTCTGTTGGAAACTGAGTCAGTCACTGCAACCTCTCGGTTGCGCGTGTGGGTGCCGCCCTGACACGACCTGTGCATCAAAACCACTGCCATCCACTGCGTGCTGGAGACTAACAGTACCTGGAATCTTGGGCTGGAACGCACTGCAATTGCTCCACGGCGCCCAGTCACCCCACTCACAATCCACACCTTGGGCAGTGAACAAAGCGGATCTCTGGGAGCCCTAGCGGACAAAGCATCATCTTCCTCAAAAGGAAAGAAATTCAATGTTTTGGCAAAGCCACACTCGTTGGAGCACTGTCGGATCTGCTTCGTGACTCCGCCCTCGAAGTCGGGCTCTTCGGCCGCCACAGCGTTGCAGGACCTGCCTCCAAAGGAAGCTTCCTGCGTAACATTTCGGTAGCGCATCTGCGTTCCTCCGGGCAAAGCTCGGATTCTCTTCGGTCTGTGACTTGTACCGCTCTCGCCTTCGCAGTAAGGTTCGCAGCCGGTCCAAGCAGTCCAAGTGGAGAGCTCGCAATCCACAGGGCACTCCTGAAAAGACGGAAAGATGCAGCTCCCGGCTCTCCAGCCGTCCTTATCCCCGTCCTCATCGTTGCAGGTCTTTTCCTCCATGCCGGTTCCAGTGCACTGGCCACCTCCTTGCTTCGGCGTCTCGATGGCACGGGTTCGTTGCGCCTGCGAGCTCGAAGACCCTAGTCTCAGCACCTCTCAGCACCGGCCTGCAAAGCCATCGGCCTTCAAAGCACCCTCTGAGGCACGGGCTGTGCCGCCTCCGCAAGACAGGGTACATGTCGACCATGTGCCCCAGTCCGACCAAGTACAGTCGACACAGAAGTTGCTGCAACTCTGGTCCTCGCAATCGGAGGAAGCGCATAACGACTGCACAAACAGTTCCGATGCCGTCCTCCAGGCTTTGACCGCAAGGAACACCGCCGAAGGCTGCATGCGTTGTGACGTTCCTCTCTCTCGTTTGCACCCCGTTGCAAAAGGGATCACACGCCGACCATTCCTGGGAAGGCAGAGAAGACACAAACAAGAGAAGAAAAAACAAATATGTAGTAAAACACAGTGAGATTCATCAAGGGATGTCAGGCGAGCTTCGGCCCAGTCCGTCATCACACAGTCCACAGGACACGTGTGTGCATTGCAAGTGGCCGTCTCACTGATGTTCCCTTTGCATGGTATGCCCTGACCGATCTCCTGCGCAGCAACAAAGTCGGAAAGTGACGCGGAAGGCACAGAGCTGGCACTCGCAAATCCTTCTTCAGATAGGAGCACGAGGCTTCCTCGCTTTCAAGCGTGAAGTCTGCGTCGCAGAGCGTCACCCAGTTGTCGCAGCCCTGGTCATACATGCCTGCACATGGCGGAAGGGGACGAAGGTAGCAAGCGAGTCAGCAGTGGCACATAGTAGTCCGAAGTCAGCAGCTTGTAGGCCAGAGAAGCGGAGGAAACAAGCTGCACAGCTCTGTGTACGATGCCTCCGCAGGTGGGATCAGCGCTGCACAAAGCTTCTGCCTCCTGCCATCGCGACAGCACAGCAGCCAGGAAGCAACATGCACTCACCCATTCCCCCACCCACTTCCTGAGGTGTCGCGGCACCAGCCCGCTGGTGCTTTGGGTCACACCTGCTCACACTCGCCGGCTGAGCCCATCTGGGAAAGCAGACGTGGGGTTCGAGTGGATTCTACAGACCTCAGGGTGTAAAGTAGATGATCTTCACGCTGTATCATCACAGCAACAACGACAGTGCCTCACGCCCATCTTCTTCTGGTAGCCCCAGGCTCCTACCAGAATCACCGCTTTGAGTTTTGGGTGAAACGGCCCGCCATCCAGCGTGCCGGTCCTGTGGAAGAGGCGGCGCCTGCTTGCAGCTCGATGAGGCCTCGGCTCGGAGATCCCCGTGCACTCACAGGCAGTTCGTGGAGGCACTCGAAAGTGCCAGAAGCGGGATGCGTCTCCTACAAACTATGCAGCTAAGCACAAGCAGAGACCCGAAATGCTCCACGCTACTGCCTTGCCGACAAGAACGCCATTGCTGCAGGTTCTGGTCAACCCCGTCAAGACATGCCAGTTCAATGTCTTGCCAAGGAGCTGCTGGCTGAACGCTGCACATACCTTGTAGCTGACACTCCAACATTATGGACTCCAACATGGATTGGACTTTCTCAGTAACCATGCCTCGGCACAAAAAAAACACAATGGAATGCCGAGCCACACTTCATCCCGCAAGCGGTGCTGGCTTCCACCAGCACAGGTCTTGCTGCAGCTAGCCCAGTCATTCCAGTCGGACAGCTGGCAGTCCATGCAAAAATTGGTGCAACCTGCAACTCGTCGGGAATGCCCTCCACCGATGTGCTCCGAAGCTACGAAAATTCTAGCTGTTCTCCGGCAATTGTCGAACACTCGAATTCACAACCAAGCCCGGGCAGCTGTTCGTAACTTGCCCAGCAACCCGCCCTCAAGAGAGTGAAATGCGGTCCCAGCCGCGTTGCGTCTCGGACACTGACCCACACGGCATCCCACCGAACTCTGGCGCCGTGACAACAATGCGGTTCCGGTTCTGACTCCCAACGCCTCCGGACAAGACGCAGCAGTGGGAGAAGAGGCTCCATCACTTGCGCTGCTGACTTTTGTATTTGATTGCAGGGCTCAACATTTCGTGGGCAGCATCAAGGGGAGATTGGAGTCGGTATATCCACGTCAGCTGCCAGAACCCTGGTCTGCGGCCGGGTGTCAATAGGGATCGCAGTCCGACCATCCGCTCCAGTCGGCAAGGACGCAATCGACGGGACAGCTCTTCTCGTTGCAAGCCTGTGTCTCGTTAAAGGGTCCTCGACATCAAAATCAAATACTGCAGTATTATCGTTTTCGCCAACAGACGACAACAACATGGAAAAGACCCCACGTGCAAGATGCACTCTCATGATACCTGTGCTGTTGACATATATCACACATGCGTGAAAACAGCCGGTGTTAGTGGTTTGCTGAACCCTTCGGATAGGTCCAGAAACTGAATCAAATTGTCCACCCTGTCCTGTGCAATCTTCAGCCTCGCCCCTCTTTGGTCGTGCAATGTGGCGGTCGCCTTGAGCCCAACACAGTGCAAGGAGGACAAGGATCTTCGTGGTGCAAAGCTGCATGCACGAGAGCAGTCAAAAGTTTCGATTGCTCACATCATCTCACATCACTGAATCAAACTCAACCCTTCCCACGTTGCTGATTGGTCTCAACCCGTGGCTACACCGGTGCTATGGGCTTTCAAGTCCGCCGAGGCCACAGGCCCAGGCGTCTTGAGGATTACCTCAGGTACCCTCCACCTAATCCTCCTTCTGCAGTCCGAAAGTTTCGATTCCCTTCTTTTTACCTGATTTCCCCTCCCCCCCTCCCCCCCCTCGCCCCCCCTCACCCCCCCTCACCCCCCCTCCCCCCCCCTCACAAGAGCAGTGGGGCGGGAAGATGGCATTCCCGCACTGGACACCCAACCGTTTAAAGTTGGGGTTGAGAGGCCCCCCTAGCATGGTGTATACGACATCCACTGCCCCCTCGCCCTGCCGCTAAAGAGCCGAGGCGGGCGGCGTAGCGTTAAAATTATCTCTAGTTGTTCATATGGTTTCCTCTGAGGACGTTCGAACCCACAGCTCCAGAAGATTTCCGCATCCTCGAGCCAATGTGAGGCCGAATGCCTCCGTTTGACATGTGCATGCTTCATCCGGATTTACTGAAACACTGATTGATGAAGAAGGGCTTCGAAAACAGATTCAAGAAACTAGTTGCTAGTTGGAGGGACCAGACAACGCAAGGCATGTGTATGAAAAGTCGCATGGCGCAGTTCACGAAAGCAGCATGCAGTATGATGTTGGGCGACGGGTGGGATTGATGGACTGGAAACGGTCATTTTTCCATGTGATGGCCTGGCGGCTTCTACGAAAACACAATGCAAACCTCCTGCAAAGCCTCAGCCCCTGCCCAGAAAAAAACACCCTCACAGCCGCAGACATAAATATTTCGGAGGAGAGGCGGGACTGGAGCCCACCGCCACAGGAGGCAGAGCACTCGCCCCACTCCTCAGCTGAAAGCCGAAAGCATCCGAATGCGCATGACTCACTCAGTCGGAGCTTCCTTAAACTTCCACATGAATGGCTTCCAAATTTTCCAAGTGTCGGTCCAATTGGACCAGAGGCAATCCTGTGGACCACACGGATTTGAGCACTGTCGGATTTGCTTCGTCACGCCGCCCGCGAAGTCGGGCTCTTCAGCCGCCAAGGCATTGCAGGATTTGCCTCCGAAGGCGGCCTTTCGTGTGACATTCCGCTGCCGCGTCTGCGAACCTGCTCCGACCGATTCGGATTGGGTTTACAATCGTGCTGTTGCTCCAGCTTTGCAACGCTAAGCCGCTCCTTCGCAGTAAGGTTCGCAGCCGTTCCAAGCAGTCCAACTCCCGAGCTCACAGTCCGCGGGGCACTCCTGGATCAAAGACAACAAAGCTCCAGGTGTTCTTGTCTTTTGTCGATCCCCGTCCTGCTCGTTGCAGGTCTTTGTTTCTTGGTCGCTGCCTGTGCAGTCTTGACCGCCTCCTTGCTTCGGCGTCTCGATGGCACGGGTTCGTTGCGCCTGCGAGCTCGAAGACCCTAGTCTCAGCACCGGCCTGCAAAGCCATCGGCCTTCAAAGCACTCTCTGAGGCGTGGGCTGTGCCGCCTCCGCAAGACACCGTGCACGGTGGCCAAGCGGCCCAGTCCGACCAAGCGCAGTCGACACAGAAGTTGCTGCACCTCTGGTCCTTCCGGAGCTGAGCTTCTCGCACGCGCACAGACAGACAATGTGACTGTGACCCTGTGCGCAAGCCGTCCTCAAGACTTGGACCGCAGGGAACCCCGCCGTAGGCTGCATGCGTGGTGATGTTCCTCTCGCGCTTTTGCGTCCCGTTGCAGAAGGGATCACACGGCGACCAGTCCTAGGTCCAAGGTCGGCACAAAAAAAGTAACGAATGTCTCCAGCGACGGAGGTTGCCGACGTTTGCATTTTGCATCACCACTCTGCCCAGGGGATCAAAAGATGCAAGTAAATACGAAAAGCATCCGAAATTGAGTCAACTGTTCGTTTGGCTGCGGTCGGAGTGCCGAAGCAGTTGGTCTCCACCAGGCTTGTCAATAATGAAGCAGTGCTCTCAGTGCTCTGCGGCTCACGACACACAGTATTGAAGCTGCTTGTCAAGTCTGCATGGACCGGGATTGTGTGGCTCTGCGCCAATTTCCACAGCTGTCCGGTCTGGGAAGGTTGCGAGCGAATGCGGCACGTGAATGCGCGACGGCGTCGCCAGTACCATTAGATGACGACTTCGAGAGCAGTAGACTACAGCCCGAACCAATTCTGACTTTTGTTTCCCAAAGGTGCCCACTATGAAGAAAGGCAGTACAGCAAATGTCGGATGGAAACGAGAAGATGAGAGCGCAGAAGACTAACACGGAAACAGCACCAAAAACACAGAATCAGCCAAGCTTCAGTCCACTCGGTCATTACACAGTCCACTGGACACATCTGCTCGTTGCAAGTCGCAGTCTCGCTGATGTTCCCTTGGCATGGTACGCCTTGACCGATCTCCTGCTACAGTGAAAGGCAATGAAGCAAAAGGATCAGCGGGACATAGACGTGTCAAGGCAGGCGAGAAAAATCCCCGGTCCTTCTTGAGGTAGGAACATGAACCTTCCTCACTTTCAAGAGTGAAGTCTGCATCGCAAAGTGTCACCCAGTTGTCACAGCCCTGGTCATACAAACCTGCGCGTGGCAGAAGCCGGCAAAGGAAGCAAGTGAGCGAGCACGTAGCTGGGCCTCCGCAAGTGGGATCAGCACTACACACAGCTTCTGCCTCCTGCAGTTGCATAAGCATAACGGTCAAACGGCAAGCCACACGGAACAGTCTCGAAGACTTCAGATGTCCTGAGGAGTCCCAGCGTTATTCGCGCTTCTCTGGTGCTTTGGGTCACACCTGCTCACACTCGCCGGCTGAGCCCATCTGGGAAAGCAGACGTGGGGTTCGAGTGGATTCTACAGACCTCAGGGTGTAAAGTAGATGATCTTCACGCTGTATCATCACAGCAACAACGACAGTGCCTCACGCCCATCTTCTTCTGGTAGCCCCAGGCTCCTACCAGAATCACCGCTTTGAGTTTTGGGTGAAACGGCCCGCCATCCAGCGTGCCGGTCCTGTGGAAGAGGCGGCGCCTGCTTGCAGCTCGATGAGGCCTCGGCTCGGAGATCCCCATGCACTCACTGTGACTTGTCGTTGTGATCCTCTTAAGCATGGGCCTCGGATGTGCCCGAAGCGGGATGCGTCTCCCACGAACAATGCACAAGACAAGCCCCGAAATGCTCCGTGCCATGGAACCTCTACTTCCTTGCAGAGAAGCAGAACGCGGTCCTGTTACAGCAAGCTCAGACTACTCAATCTCTTTGCTGAAAAGCTGCTGGCCATCCGTTGCACGTACCTGGCGGCTGGTACTCACCAAGCCCACACTGTGGCCAGGTTTAGTAGCTATGTTTAGCGGAAGCTGAAAGAGATGGTTAGAGTGCCAGAAGACATCAGACCAAGCCACACTTCATCCCGCAAGCGGTGCTGGCTTCCGCCAGCGCAGGTCTTGCTGCAGATAGCCCATTCACTCCAGTCAGACAGCTGGCAGTCCATGCAGAAGTTGGTGCAACCTAATGACAGGGTGCCGCTGCTTGAGCTTTAAGCTTGGACTTCAATTGTTCCAGAGCTCTCCTGCTCAAAGCTTCCGCAACCGTAGTTGCAGCGTGTATCACTGTTGGTCTCTTAGCTTCACGGCCTCGAAGCACAGTACGATAGTGGAAACTTGTGTCAGCCGAGAGTTGATCTCAACTTGAGAACGAGTTTCCCGGCGTTTGGAGCTGTGCAAGGTGACACTGAAGATCATCTCATCTCAGCTCATCCACCAAACCATTCATCCATCCAGCTACCCATCCATCCATCTATTCATCCACTCGCCCATCCACGCAACCCCTCGACCAGAACTACAAACCGTGCAGTAGCCCTTCAAGAAATCTGGGACCTCATATGAACTTCTTTCCTAACCCTTCGACAGACCCATCCATAACCCTGCTACACACATTACATAGACTTATCTATAAACCCTTCTGTAAACCCTTCTACAAACACTACTACAAACCCTTCCATAAACATCTATATACATCCTTTTCTATAGGCCTCCCCAATGCCGAGATTCAGGACCACGAGCGAAATGCTTGCCGAATGTGCGGGCAGGATTCAGAGAGATGACCAAACTGCTTCCCAAAGGTACCAGCTGCTTCCTCCCCTCCCCCCGGCACTGGCTGGATTCACAGACCTGACCAAAATGCTTCCCCCGCGTACTGGCGGGATTCAAAAATTTCGAAGCCGAAATCAACGCAGCACGGCCGGACCCGCCGGGTAATGCGGAGAGGACCGAAACAAATCGTCGAGGCACCATTCAGGAGCTCGGCCAAAATGCAGCTTCTGAGTTCGGCCGCCACGAGGTTGGCGGGTTGTGCTTCAAATCGAGACTGGGTGTAACAACGTCTATTGAGTTGGGCCTTTAACCTTTCGTCTGTGCAACAGTTCCAGTGCCCGAAACGAAACCAGATTTAACACGAAGCCGTGTGGAATCCATGAAAGCCTGCTGGGCTACCAGTTTGAAATTTAGAGCGACCGACGGTGTCTTGGATTTCTTGTGCCCAGACTGCCTGACAATCATCCAATGCAGACCCGGTCACGCTGCGTCTCAGACAGGTTCCCACAAGGAACCCCTCCAAACTCGGGGGCAGTGACCACGGCGCGGTTTCTGCTCTGGGTCCCGATGCCTCAAGTAGCGGCGCTTGCGTCAAGATCAGAGGGGCACAAGTGGCATCTGCTCCTGGAACGCCATCTGCGGCCGCGCGGCAGTAGGGATCGCACTCCGACCATCCGCTCCAGTCGGCCAGGACGCAATCAATCGGACAGCTCTGCTCGTTGCAGGCCTGGGTCTCGTTCAAGGGTCCTCGAGACCGTGCACAAACTTGGCTTGTTTTAATGAGAGGCGGTGCCTGCATCTGCCTCAAAGCGAGCTCCCATGGCACAGCTACATGGCGGACTGACAACAGATGACAAGAGCATTACAGCTCCGAGGGCTCTTGCAGGTTGTGCCTCCTGGGACATCGCGACAGCAACCCTCAGCAGGCCTCATGGCTACCATTTAAACGTCCAGAATATGGGACTTGCAGCATGGGCCCCTTCACTCCGGTTGGCGACTGTCCTTCGCAATCCTCCGCCTCGCCCACTTTTGGGCGTGAAATGTAGCGGCTGCCTCGTGCTGCAACGCTGCATATGAGTCAAAATCCGATCAGAAGTGACTCCCCTAACTCGGCAACAAGCATCAGATTCGTGGCACCGTCTAGCTTCACCGCCAAACCAGCTTCACATCGAAACCAAGTCCCAGATTTCACGACACAAACAAGAAGCTAATTGCGGCGCAGCAGCGCTTAGGCTGTGTGCTCCGTTTTGCTGCGAAGCTTACACAAGCCAACCGACTTATAGAACCTATTCAACATCAACTACCTACGTAGAGTCAGGGATGAAGAAGTATTAAAAACAGTAAAGCGACTGGCGTCCGAGCTCCAAAAATTAAAGGCATGCATCATAACGTCGCAAGACGTCGTGCTTTCATGGGGGCGATTGCGTCCACCAGTGTCACGGCTCTTCACTCGAGAAGCTTGCTGTCCTCACCAAACACCTGGGAACCTTAACCTCGACCAAAACCCGGCAGAAACACCTAGCAGCTCCAGGCGAACGCACGACAGAGCAACTGAAACCGAATGACTGAATGCGGTCGAGAAGCGGGACTGGACTCCGCCGCCACAGGAAGCTGAACACTGACCCCACTCCTCAAAAGCTGATATCTCCGATGGCAACTAGCACGGCGTTCGGGGTAAACTTGCTTCGTAGTGTCGGTCCAATTTGCCCACACGCAGTCCAGGCATGTATTGTTGCACGCGCGGGAATGGAAGAGCGGGCCGCAGGGCATGCCGCCGTTTGCCGCCTGTTGGTTCAATCAAGTCTTCCAACGATCTGCTTTCTAGATACGTAGGACATGAAAAAAGCGGTCGGCTTAGCTCTTCAACTCGGCCCAATGTCCGAAACCTGGCCCTGTTTTGGCAAGTAGCCGCCAGTAGCCGCCTTGATTACTGTTTCTCTCCACACCCTTCTGCAGAGACCCAGAGGCGGCGTTCAGGGGCTCAACCCGAAAAGCGCGAGACATCGCAGATAGCACAAAGCTGTGGCAAAAAGCCTAAAGGCCCCGGCCCTCGAAGCAAGAGTTGCACCAGAAATTCACGATCCCCATGCCCGACAATCAATTGCGAAGCACTTTTGAGCAGCTTCGTTCGTCGATCGTGCTGCAGACAGTACCGATGCAATCAGGGGTATTCGGGCGAGGTATCAATGCTTCTTGCGTAAGCTTGCACTCATCTTTCATGGACATGCAAATTCGACGTGAACGGAAGCATCTCCTGGCAGTACCGAGACCTCGGCAGCTGAACTTGTCAACAGCGCAAACAAACAAACAAAAACCTGCAAGTGATTGCAGGCCGTAAACCCAACAGGACCAGGCTGGAACCCTTTTTATTGGAATCCTTACACCAACTGGTTGCTGTGCTCTCCTGGGTTGGTCGCTGCTGATGTAAGACTGTAAGACAAACTGCCTTCCCGGACGGAACCACTTCCACTTTCGACTTAGAATTCACTCTGCAACGACCAGTCAAATGAACCGGAACACGAAGAAGCAAACCCGAACCTGATTTGACACCGCATAATGCCATGCAACATAATAAGATGGCGGGTAACATGACAAAACCACAAACGAAGACAAACATCGTGGGGTATATAATATGGAGTTGTATCGGGTAGTAGTGAATCAGCGCTGACCCCTCAAAGGCACGATGGCGGGCAATCCATGACACCTGGAAGGGTTACAGTGATGTCAGGCAAAACCCAAAGCGGATGTGATGTCTGGATATCCCCAAGCCCCAGCTCTCGATCGCATGGCCCGACACTCGAAATGTGTGATCCATGACAGGTAACAATTCTTTGGAGCTAAACGATAGCGACTGCTCACACAAGCTGAAGCCCCCAATCGTGACGGCTGCCACACCAAGAACCCAAAAAGAGTGACACTTAGCAAATGCTTGCAGGTCCACGGATACCTGTGAAAGCCAAAAAGCATAGTCGGAGTTCGCGGCAACGCAAACCCGATGCTGACCCTCTTGGGGGTTCAATCTCAACCGATATTCACAAACCCTAAAATCGTTGTCGCTGCCAAGCCAATGGCTCATGAACCTGAACAAAACAGGACACTGCTGACGGATAGCCAACTCGACCGATGCCCGCGTACGACTACCGGCGCTAGGCCACAAAGCTAAGCGAGGACGGACAACACCAAACACCAAGCAAGTGCGATCGCAAAACCGCACACCCTTAAACTAGACCGTCTTTCCAGCACCCACTCGACTACCAAGCATGAGGAAAAACCAAGCTGAGCCCTGGAAGCCTCCAGTGTGATGCTCCGTGTCTGGTTCTGCATGCCCTTGCAGAAGGGCTCGCAGGAGCTCCAGCTACTCCAGTCCTTGTTGGCCGGGGAAAGTCTATTCCCAGGTTCTGCCAGGCCAAACAAAACCTAAATCCACATTCCCGTCAGACCGTAGAATTTGCTCTCGCCTTTTGTTCCAGGATCCCTGAGATGTTGCAGTCTTTGGCCACCTTAGGGATGGAGGATGGGGCTTCCCACGTCTGCCAGGCATCACTCGTTTCGCAGTCCACAGGACAGTCCTCACAGCCAAGCGCTTGAAACCAAGCTTGACTCTGCAACAAGGCCCCTCCTTGAAAGCAGTCTCGAAACACAGGCAGCACTCACATCCACGGAGAGCTATCTGGAGCTGTGCGTACTGGCCGGCCAAACCCAAGCGTCCTGTGTGTTGCATTTTTGCTTCTCCTCTGCGTCCCCGGTGCAGTTCTTCCCATAGCCTTCAACCTCCACCGCGATTCCTCTGCCACGTTCCTTGCACACCCAGGACCACACGAGCATTGCACATTCCCAACTGCCTGCTCGATGCACCTGCATGCCGCCGCCACAAGTCGCAGAGCAGTTCGTCCACGCCGTCCAATCAGACCATTCGCAATCCACACAAACGTTGGTGCACTCCTGGCCGGGACGAAACCGACACGTAAGACGGGGAGCTGGAGATACCACTCGCACTCAAAGGCGACTTGTCAACTTCACGTCAAAAGGTCCGACCTCAGTCTGAGTCTTGTTGTCGCAGGGCTGGCCCCCAAAGGCAGCATACCTCGAACACTGCACGGATCACCCTCCAGCCTTTATTGACTGCAGCTGAATGCCTGGTTTTTGTCAAGCAAGCTTATGCATACACTTAGGAAGCCGGCTTCTTCACCTCTCGAGACCTGCGCCATGCACATCTGGTGGTGCTCCTTCAAAAAACTCCCAGGGATGTACGGGCGCCTCGCCTGCTTCGGGTTCCCTCGCAGAGCGGATTGCAAGATCCCCAGTCAGACCAGTCCTGAACAACGAAGGACCGAAGGACACGAGTCAGAGATGAAAAGCCAGCATCACTGCAGCAAGGCGGCCTTATACTTGCAGTCGATGGGGCATTTCTGGATGTTGCACTTGCTGCCCTGCGTGCCATGTGACTGCAAAAAGGCAGCGTCTCTTCGGCAGCTCACTAAGGCGCCTCCAAGATCTTGCCGTCACAAGGCACCCCTTCACCGATCTGCTTCTTCACGTAGACACAGGACCCCTCTTCCGGCACGAGCTCGAAATCTGCTTGGCAAAACTTAGTCATCATCCAGTCAGGCTCGAAAGATTCCGGGGTTCGGAGGACAAGCATCACAAAATTACAGGCAACACATGTCGGAGGTGATCATTAAGAAACTCTCATGCTGGCGTGAAGCCGAGCTTGAAATCAGTGTCGACTCACGGAAACGAATTGACCCCGGATGAAATGTTACAAGGATGCCAGAGCGGGTGGCATCGAGCTGCACGCTTCGGAAAAAGAAACGCTTGAAAAAAAGAGTAGCAGGGACAGGAGCTTGGGAGTCTTGACAGGAGAACAGCACTCTTCGGGATCTGTTGAGGTGGGATGCTTCAAATGCAGGAGATTTCTGCTGAAGTCCCAGGAGGAGCGGATGCTTGCGGTGAAAGCCTGAACTTCGGAAGATGCTAAACCCCAAAATTGAGGATGGCTGCCGCAGTGAGGGAAGGAAAGACTCGGTGTGCTGAAACATCTGGGCCATCTCCCCAAGATTCTGGAAACCGGAAGCCAAGGGACCCTAAGGCCGCCATCGCAGTCTCTGTCATAGAGCGCGTAGCAGGTGGGATCGTTGCCTGAGTCGACACCGGCTGCTTTTGGTGATCTGCCGCCCGTTCGGCCGAGTCACTGCATTTCCTCTCAGCCCGTGCCGGAAGGAACTCCTTCTTCTTTGGCCCCAGGCTTTCTTCCGTGCACCTCACAGAGTGCCGCTCTGTCCCAGGCTGAGAGCTGAGGGTGCCCGGCCTCACACCCAGCCGCTTCTCGTAGCCGAAGGCCGCCGAAGCAGCTCCGACCTGACCATATCGCAGCAGCTCGCAGCAGCTCGCAGCCGTCCAGCCCCCGGGCCCACCTCCAGCAGACTCGCGGCTGTGAGATTCGGGCGGTTCACGTACCTCGACAGTGATGGAGCTGTGGAGTTCGAGCGCAGACCCGACCCCTTTTGCTAAGGCACGTCTCCGTCCGCGTCCGATTGGTGCGCCCACCGCCGCAAGAGACGCTGCAGGCGTCCCATTCCGTCCAATCCGAAACTTGGCAGTCCATGCAGAAGTTGGCGCAGGCCTGCCCAGGCCCACAAAACAACAGCACCAAAACCTGAAGAGAGCGAAGTGGTTGGCATCCGCACGAAGGAGAGCACACGAGCCTTCTTTTCCTTCAGCTCCTGCACACAAAAAAGCCGAAAGCCAAACACTCCAAGGCCCAAGGCTTAGAAGCCCTTTGATCAAGCGGGTGTCCGATCCTCTTTGGCACAAGCGACGCCGCCATGAGCTGCTTCGGCCACGATGCTGCGACTCCGCGTCTTGTTCCCAGAGCAATAGGGCTCGCAGGCGGACCAGTCAGCCCAATCCTGAAAGCCGACCGACATACAGAAATGAGAAAGCCTTCTCAAACAACACATTGATCTACCTTTCCAGAACTCCGTGCCAAGGGTCGCTGTAGGCACAGTCCACCGGACAGGGACTCGGCAAGTCAGACGTGTGCGAAGAATCCGTTACCGTTGCGACCAGCTAAGCTCGGGACTCGGTGCTGCAATTCTTCTTTTCGATTCCGTCGCCTTCAGAAGACTCAAGCCCCAGCCCTGCCGAAAGCACGAAAAATTCTGACCTACGCCGCACGGCTTAAATCACGAAAAATTCCTGCGCCGTAAATCACCAACCATCCCACATGCAGATAAGAGAGAACTGCAAGAAATGCAGATTTGCCTTTTTGCAGAACAATACCTTTCCGGACGTTGGAACCATGTTCAACGTGCTGGGGTGCACAAGTTATGGTCATCATCCCTTTCGGATTCTTTGCTGCGAAGTCGATCGTCCTGCAAACTAGATTATAGATTCATAGGTGCCGGTGTCGGAGTTTCACTCTTTCGGCTGCGAAAACTCGACAAGAGCGAGAAGCTGCGGAAGCGGCCCGTGATTGCAGGCCGCAGACACGTGTCACGAGTGGCGCGGCAGGTCGTCTGATGCGCCATCAAACCCTAAACCCGAAAATGCAACCAAATCCAAAACCGTTTAATCCCCAAACCCCAAGTAAGTTGAAGAGGGTCGTGAATGGGAACCTTGAAAAATTCGCGAAAATCTGAAAACAAGCCGAGGTACCTGTGCAGGCCTTGCCTCCTCCGATCTCCTGCGGGCAATGCATCCACAAGCTGCACTTGAAGCAGCGTCAAGCCGTCAATCGCACCCGCCTTCTTGTTGTAAGCGCATGTAGAGACGTCCTCCTCCAGCACAAAGCCCGAGTTGCAAAGCACCACCTTCCGGCATCACGCGAGCAGGCTCCCGCTGAACTCCCATCTCGTGGCGCCGCCGGCCTGCTTCCCGTCGCAGCCAAGGTCAGAAAGGCCCTGGCAATCGGCGGAAGCCTTCAGGCTCGGGGCCGACTCGAAGACCATGCCCGGTGCGAAAGGACGGCACATCTGCCCCTGCCCCAGCCTTGCACTTCTCCTGGGCCTCCGCGAGTGGTAAGGCATCACTGGCCTGCGCAAACAAAAGCCGCACACTCGTCGCCGCCTCTATATGCCTGCATCTGCTGGACATCGACTACTCGGTCGCGTCTCACAGCGCTTGTCGTAGCCTCGCCTGGTGACCAGCGTCGCACCTCTTCGACGCCTTCATCTCAAAGCCGAAAACCTGGGAGCCGGCGAGCTGAAGAAGGGCTGCTGCACCTGGCGAGCAAGGCGAGCTTGCAACGCCCAGCCGATTGCAAGCCCGGAAAGCCCTCCAACCTCCTCCGCCGGTGGCCACGAAGGTCTGGTCCCTGCTCCTGTTCAGCGCAACGTCGTCAAAGCAATTTGAGCAAGACTAAGAGGTTGATTCTGCCAAGTCTGAGCCTGTTCATTGTTCCGCCGCCGCAGGACACTGTGCAGTTCGTCCAGGCAGTCCAATCCGACCAGCTGCAATCCATACAGAAGTTGGTGCATTTCTGGGTCTCATTCAATGCACCTGGGCGTCATGCTGAGCCTTTGTCGGGGCTCTGAAAAGTTTCACCTTATCCTTGGAGGCCGTATTGGGACTCCTGGTGTTTGTCAGAGGGTGTTTTCCCGCGTAGCTCATGGCCTTGAAACTGAACAGGCAAACAGTTTGCTTTGTCCGAGTTGCCGCAGGCTACACCGCCGTTCATCGGCAGAGTCTTCACCGTGCGATGCCGCGACATGTTGCCTGACACTCTTCCGAAACAATCGAAGCACATCTCTTTTGGATGCTTGCTGCCCCTGCCTGCACAGTATGGCTCGCAGGCTGTCCAATTCGACCAGTCATTGAGCTCGCAGTCGACAGGGCAGGCGCCATTTCCACAAGCTCGCGTCTCTGTCTTGTTCCTCAGCACGGGTGCATGACCGAGCGAGAGCAAGCGCAGTTATTGAAGATGAGTACAGATCAATTCATGCTGCAACCACGGCACCCGACACATGCCTTGCCGCCGTTGGTTGGCGGCACTGCGACGTCCCGTGTCCGGTTCTGGTTGCCCCCGCCACAGGTCACGGGGCACTCCACCCAAGCGGACCAGTCCTCTTCTAGCGACATCATATGATGATACCCGAAAACATAAGCGGCAAAAGATGGCAAAAGTCTTCTGATCATCTCCTCGTACTCGCAGTCAGTGCAAACGCCATCGCAGGACTCTTCCTCCTTCGTGTCACCGCAAGCCTCCGATCGAAGAGAGACTTTCAAGACTTTGACGCTGTGGCCACTTGTGCCTGGCCTGGCCACCGTGTGATGCAGCCTGGATGATCATCCGGTTTCGCTTGCGATGGCCCTGGCAGTTGGGCGCACAATGGCCCCAGTCCTGCAATCTCCAGCTGATTCGGGGTCCTGCTCCTGTGTCTTGAATAATTAGAGGGGCTATGAGACGCTTCCATTGTCTCGGACGTCTTCAATCAGAATACCACACCGGTGTAAACTATCAAGAACACAACATTGTTCCACTCTGTTTCACATCGTCTTCGCACCCCAAAGCTCCCAAACCACCAGTGCCCCGTGGCACATGGCGTCCTGCCAGTCGCTAATGACGCAATCCACGGGGCACTCTTTGGTGTTGCATTCCTGGGGAACAGGCACAAGTGCACGGAGGCGGGTCATGGCGGGATGTAGCGTCCTCTGTCTGTTTCTTCTCGGCGGCTTCGCAGGCCTTCCCGCCGTTCTGAGCCTGTGCAGAGCGTACAGAGCAAGAAACGGCAACAAGAACCCGGCCGGAGGTCGCTCGACTTCCTGGCTGCACGGGGCTGGCCTTCGTTTTGACGGTCCGAGTCCTGAAACTCACACGGTTTACTACGATTCACTATGCTGGCAGGGCCGGTGTTGGGGGTGAGTCTGAATCAGACACAGCCTGTTCTTCAGAGTGATTGCATGGCATCCGCACCTCTTTCGTGACCCACCGCCACAGGTTTCGCTGCACTGGGTCCATTTTCCCCAATCCTGACACTGGACACTGGACACAGCCGCTATCAATAACAACAGTATCAGGAATCTCTTGGTTCACACATCGCGCAAAAACAAACGAAAATAGTACACTGCTTCATCTGAGACCGAGACATTGTACTCGCAGTCCTCATGCAGGGCAAGAGCAGACCATGAGATCGCAAGAGCGTATCAAAGGAGCAGCTCCTGCACCGCTCCGTCGTCGGCCTCTTCCTCGTCCGAGTCTGTTCCTTCCTCGTCGTCCTCGTCCTCGTCCTCTGCCGTGGCATTGCCAGTCGGGCCGGCGTCCTCTCAAGATCTCTCGCAAGTGACGTAAGCAAAAGCGCAGCTGCGCCAAGGCCCGTTCCCGTGCGCCTCAGTCGCTTCCGTCTCCCTGGCCTCTCGGATGGAATGCATCGAAAGCCTTCGGGCAGAAACGCCTCAGGGCAAGGCAAGGCGACGCGACGGCATGGCACGCGAATGTTCAGGCGACTGCTCATGGGTCCGGCCTCGTGCATGACCTCTGTCCTTGGAGGACCTCAGATGCGAATCTCCAGCAATGAGCCATACAGCTTGTCGTGAAAGCTGATGAACGGGTTCACGCAGCTCTAGGATTTGCAATGACAGAGGGCAGTCTCCAGGGTCCCCTTCAACGACAAATGTGAGCGGCTCTGAGAGCAGTGGCTCTATGTAGCCATGGCCGTGCTGCTGGTCACCGTGGCTATGGACCTGGCACAGCTCTGGATAGAACAACCCAGTTTTGTCGTATCCCCCAAAGACTGTTGCGAAGTACTACACAAAAACTGGTGGCTTTCTGGAACAACACATGCTGAAAAAGATGTCTCTGCAGCTTAGAGCACAGTGTACTGTGTCTGCATGGCTTCGTTTGCTGTGCATACAGTCCTAAATCGACGATAGGGCTGATGTACGTACGCATAAACCGATTGTGATGACTGTTCAGGGATCCCACAATCTTCCACATTCTCTTTTCTAGGTTCTTTTGCAGAGCCACCAGCTCTGCAGCATGATCGTTACATGCCAGGGAGGCATGGCCAGTGTCATCCACAGCAGCGCCTGTCGAAGGTTGTAGCGGCACCCCTGACTCTTTTACCATCAGCACACTGCTCAAGGCCATTTCTGCGTCACAGGATTGCAGCACAGCCTTGTTTTCTATGATGTTGTCGATGATGCCTGTGTGAAGGTCTTTCCTCGTACCTGACAAACAACCCCTATTGCAATATGCAGCACAAGCAGCCCCAGCCGACGACGCTTCACTTCTGCCAACAAACATCGCAGGGCACTGATCATCTGAATCACTATAGTCGTCACTCTTGTCCACAACACCCCTGCTGTCCACAGCGTGCCGACCTGCAGCGACCGCTTCGAACCCGAGCTGTGTTCGGATGGCGCTTTGGAAAGCATCCTCCGGGGCTCCGACGAAGGAGTCGGCTCGAGGGCCTGCAGGATTTCCGAAAGCTGAACAAGGTCAGAGCACCTCGGACCTCGCATATGGCCTGCTGTGGCTCTGGTGCTCAGATGCATGCCGCCCTTAGCAAAGTCAGCTGTTTGACCGAGTGATATTGGGACACAGAAGCCCTCCACTAACTTCTCAGACAACATGTGTCCTACCAACATCCTCCCCGCCAGGAACTCTCCTCTTCTTTCCAAATCTTGGATCGCCTTGTGGCCCCCTCCCGAACTTCCGGGATCGAAAGCTAACGTGTAGACAAGACACCCAACGAAACGATGACAAGTTCTATGGTCAACGCAGTCAGCCGTTCTTTCGCGGAGGGTCGAGAACCGAAACCCTCCTCTAGTCATGTCAGAAAATCTTACAGTAGCCTTTTCACACAGTGTCTTCATGCCTCCTAATCATGGAAGGGCAATGGACTTGAAACTTGTATGCCGGGGGTGTCCGGGCACTTTTGATCTCAGCGCCTATGACTGGGCTTGGTTGGTGATTCGTGACCTCAGATGTTCTTGGAACTTGTGTCCTTGACCGTGTCTGTTCGTACATCTGCGAAATCAACCGAGCTGGAGAAACGTTCCCAGTAAAAGCAGATCACCAAAACGATGGAGCAAACTGTGAAGCAAGAAGATTCCGCGCCTGGAAACTCAACGACGGAGTCTGAGCCCCAAAACCTGCAAATCCGTTAACAGGAGGTCAAAACCCAAAATGCGCCAGCGATCCAAACGAAACAGTAGACCTGACCAGCACAATCTGGCGTTTTGCCAGATGAAACATACATCCAGCTGTAATGCAGCCCACAAGTACTAGTAAGCCCTGCGAGACCCCGAATCGGCGAAGCAGCATACCAAAAAGCGAAAGCTGGCAACCCTAAGGAAGTTAAAATCGATCCCTCAACCTCGAAACGACTTACACCTTGTAGGCACCTGACGAGCAAAGAAGAAACTGTGATCCGCCAAGCTGGCCACATCCCAAGCCCGAAACGCCAACAGCAAAAAAAAAAGCTCCAGACTGTACAGATTCAAGTACGCCGCTGCTTGAACAAGATGTAGCAAACATTAAGCCCAGTTAAACCCTGATTGTCGACGGAACCATGAACCCCCAAACGCTTGTTGTTTAGCACCAAACCCTAAACCCGAAACCCGAGTAGGGTTAGGAAGCTACAAACCCCACAAAACTTGCTTGGCGCAGAACCTAAAGGCACCGGCCCCCAGATGTGCGAAATCGAAAACACTAGAAGGAGGGCTTCCACAACGTCAAAACTGAGTTAAGCTTAAACCCGAAACCAAAGCATGAGCCAGATCCAGAAGCTGCAATCGACATATGCCTAGACATGCGACAAAGCATTAATCGAAAGCCTTCGCAACAGCAACATACCCTAAACTCAGAGCACAGTGTCGACAAGCCGTCACGAAACCGTCGCAAACCCTCAACTGTTGACCTTGAGGCATTCGATCAAATGTCGACGCTTCATGACTGGAACAGGAAAAACCACTGTTTGACACATGGCACATACTGAACCGCGGTGAAGCAGGTTCTGGTCCAGGACTTGGGGAGGAGGGGCTGGGACGAAGGCTAGGCAGGACAACCAGCGAAAAAAGATGGAGGGACCAGATCAGCCAGCACAGAGGCGAGATCCTGGGAGGGGTGACATCAGGAGGCAACGCCTCTACAGGACAGAGACGACAATAGAAAGGGCCAGAATGAAGCACAAGACGCTTAAGGAACATCTTTTACACAAGGACATGATGTGGAACGTTCAGAATGACTGGGGTCGCCGGAGGTCCCGGATATACCGTTGAGAGCTGTGGCTGCGCAATGTGTGGCTTCAACCCATGGATAATCCTCTATGACCTTATGGGGTTCGATCTGAAGGCAGTCCCCTTCATGACTCAGTTCGGGAACGGTACGAGGGAACAGTGGGGCGAGGGACTCCGTCTCCTTGCGATCGTAGTCGTCAACGAGACGCCATGGCCTCTCTCTCACCCCTTTTGCTGCCCGTGCCCACCCTGACGCGGTCAATCACTGTCTGGTCGCACTCAAAGACCGCTTGGAGAGGGTTGTGGGGATCTACATTGAGTCATGCGACTGCACGCTTTCGGCAGAAGTACCAACCATGCTGAGGAGTCCGTCAAGCAGGAAGCAAAGATATCCCGAAGCGGATTGTTAACTATCACGAGTGGCTTGGTGCAACCGGTAGGCGACCATCATGAGTCGTGCTGGGTTCCAATCAGAGCCACTGAGCGAGTATCGTCAGCATCGTCGGGTGCCAATCGGAGCCTGTAGGTGCGTGCATGAGCAGACATGGAGGAACCGGTAACCGAGCATCGTGAGCATCATTGGATGCCCTATCGGCACCTGTCAGGGGGCATCATAAGCATCAGTGGGGGCCCCAAGCGGAAATGGTAAGCGAGCATCGGCCCGTTTCTCCATTTAAAAGCGGTCTGAAACCCCAGCTTTTCACCCAAACACGAGCCAGACAGGCCAACGGTTCCAGCTCCCGGACTACCACTTGTTTGCAACCTTCGCTTATAAGAAACGTTTGACTTTGCCAAAGTTTGAGTTCTTTGACAATCGAAGGCACCATCTGCAAGTGCAACCCCCCACATAACGGTGGGTATCACGAGACCACATTGAAGGGGCTGAGAGGTCGAATGCCTGCCCCTAACATTTAGTTCTGAAGGAACGCCGGGTCCCGAGGCGTTGGACTCTAAACCCGAAAAAAGCAGGAAGCCTAGTAAGCTCTTAAGCCTCGAGACTCTCAAGCTCTACTGCTTCAAACCTGCAAAACCCATGAGCCTAAAGTTTGAATCCCAAACCCTAAACTCTCCGAGTCCTCTCCACCCCAACACACTAATCACGAGACGGTTCACGCTTGACCATGCACCAAACCCGCAAGCCCAACAAGAAGAGGCTCTCGCAAGGACTGGGTGTAGGACAAACTGTTGACTGGGCAAGTTGGGTGGAAGGGCACCGGTTTTCCTGGCTCGGTCTTGCGACTGACCTTCCAGCCGCCCCCCGCTCAACCGCACCACTTGTTCAACGCCTCGCAGTGCCTCGAGCCTTCAAGCTTGCCATGAAAGGCCCTAGGTCCAATAGTTTTTTATCGAACATGGACTGCGGTGTGTCAACGCTTGAGGTCCACTTGCCTTGTTTTTGCAGTGTGAAGAGCCGGGCCCCCGCCTTCAACCAACCGGCTCGGAAAAACACCCTTTCTATCAGCTATCACCAACTCCCCGACGATGAGGGCAAAACCCGGAACCGGCGTTGAGACAGGCGGAAACAACACAAGGAATGGGACACAGTTCGAAACTCCGCAAGCACGAACAAACATCAGAAGCGAAACACGCCCCCACCCGTCTTGACTTTAAAGAGCCATTGCCGGACACAACATCTCAAAAGTTCCCTGCACAATCACTTGCAACGACAAGACGGCTCTTTCAGACCTGAAGAAGTCACAGCCAGCTACCACCACATCAAATGCCTCAAAGCCTGACACGCCTCTACCAGTCGCAACTTGCAGTCTGTCATGTTATGCTCGTTTCAACTTTAAGCCCAGTAACACCAAGAAGAGAAACAGCCATTGGCTGCCTTCTGAGGGCCTTGCCGTTCAGGCGTCGCTCGGGTGCTGCCTTCTCGTGCTCCTGGCATGGTGCACGTTGCAGTGAGGATACGCAAAACTCTGACCTGCGTGCAAGGTACCTCCTGAGCTTCAGCTCCACAGGTGACAATCCGAAGCGTGTTAAGGACCTGAGGCTCCAAGGAGGCGTCTTACTTGCTTCGCTTGTTTGCTCTGCTCGCCAGGCCGAGCTCACCGAGTTTCTGACAAGTATGCATGTGAGGAAGCATCTAGTGGACCTCAGCATCTAGAAAAAACCTCTTGCCACAGTGAAACCGACTGATGACCCTCTCAGCCGGATGCCTCATGTGCGAGACCTAAGCAAAGCCCGCATAGGCTACCTGCAGTGCATGCTTGATGTCAGGAGAGAGCACAACCACCGTCGCTTCTGTTTCAAGGTCTAGACTCTAGACACTGAAGCACCATCAGATCCCACACACCGACTTCCAGCTAGATCAAAGCAAACGGCAAAGAGGCACAAATAGTCAGGCCAAGGCACGTATGGATACCGGTGTTGAGCAGTCTAAGGATTTCTACAAGGCTGAGCCACAGGGCCTCGCAGGCGGCCCTTGGGCCAGCGCTGCGAAGAGAAAACACATGCACACAAACACACCGATAGGAAGGCTCCTCCAAGCCCGAAACATCTCGCTGACCCTGTGGCCTTGAATGTCTCTGCAAAGGCCGGGGTTGGGACGAGCTGCCTGTGTCCTCCCTGATCGTCCTGGCTGCATTACCGTGCGGCTTTACGGGACACGCAGCAGTAATCTTCAAGACGGGGCATTCGTTCGGAAGACTTCGCTTGGCGGGCACTCTTTGCCTCGGCCTCGTCGCTGTGATCGCCATCTTTCAGGGTCTTCTGCACGCCGTTGCCGTTGCCTCACTTCTGTTTCTTGGAGCTAGGAGTGAGTTTGGATGGGAGACGTCGCCCAAAGCAACGGCACGTAACACAAGTATGACAAACAAACTCCAGGTTGCAAGCATCTCACTCACACGTCTCTTGCTGCTGTTGCTACAGCTTCCAAACTTGGATGTAGAAGTGGCCCAACCACCGTGCTCCGAGGAGGCAACGTTTTCTCAACTCTTGAAGTTGCTTCAACAACTGATTGAAATTCTGCTGCCAGGTTTCAAGGCACAGGTACTCGACGTCAGCGAGGGAAACCCCGTTGTCACTGCGTATGGCCGCGTATGCTATGTTTTTCTTCTATGTGCACGTATCACAGGCCACGAATGTGCCAAACCCCGGGTAGGAAGACAACCAACATTATGGCGCACAGCACCGAAAATGGAGCTAAGCTAAGCCAAGCATTACTAAACGTGCCATGCACATCAAATTGCGTCCAATACTTGGGCATGCTCGGACCGAACATTGGCCCCTCCCTAATCCTGTTGAGATCTCCAACTTCGGGTAGATATGTCGATCCAACCATCACTGTTGAACTGGCCAGTGGTTACGCAGACTGACCTACATCACGCATGCTACTAATCTCTGGCTACCGATGCACGAACATCTAATTCTCCATTGTTTGGGCGTGCAGTGCATTCTGAGGCAGCGGGCTGAGAGGAGTGGAATCCTGCGATGCTTTCACACAGACACATAGACTTGAAACGCTGAAGACCGGTGGCTACCGACCTCGAGCTCTTGCCGGAGGTCTGCCAACTTTGACCTCCAAGGGCCGCCGACTTCACCAGGAAAAGAGCATCGCATAGGCTTCTAGATTCTAGACATGAGATGCTGACGCCAGCTCATGAAGGCTCGTCCTCCAGCTGCCACAGAGCTCCTTCCACGCAGTGGCAATGTTCTTCCCCTAAACTCTCTCCAGCATTTCAATAGCATGAAGCCGGCATTTTCTGCTTTGTGAAGCCTTTAGCATGAATTGATTCCAGGGTGCTGTGTCAACCACACTTCTTACGGCTCGGCTGGTTCTTAATCAAAGCATGTCTGCACCTGGTCAAGGGCTGCCAGGGAACGCCGCGCCATCTCCGCCCAATCCCTCGTAAGGAAAGCAATGCCAGTTGCAGCATCTGCTTGATCTACGAGTTGAGCAGCCAACTGGCCGCTCAGAACGGCCCAGCGACGTGCACCGCCCAGGAGGTGGTTCCACCAAATACTTCCGGCAATCAACGAATACAGCAAGAGGGATGTCCACAAGGTGCTGATGGACATGAAGGGAAGCGTGGGAGCCCCAATAAACTGCAAGAGCGGCAGCAGCAGGCCAAAGACTGTGAGACACAGAGTCACCCAGGAGGCCCAGCGGACTGCATCGATTGAAGTCAAGGCGAAAGGAAGCCACAAGATAGACAAAGCCCAGTAGCCCATCCAGGGCTTCCAAAACGCAGATGAAAATGATCCCCAGGGCCGAAGACCCGGGGCCCATGTCTCCCAGCTCGAGGTCTCCCAGCTGTGCTTTCGTCGCATCTCGGCCAAGGCAATGAGACGCTTGGCCTGATCCGTTTGGGACCAGCTCAAGAGCTCCGCCACTCGCACAGCTGGGGGCGGCTCCCTGGGGTTCTGAAACAGCGCCTCTTGCCGATAAGCCCATATCCTCTCGTGAGCCATGTCAGCCACACTGCCAAGCGTTCGCCGCAGATCCTTGAAGTCACGCAAGCCCTGCTACAGCTGCTACGTGCACAAAAAAGGGGCTTTCGCTTGCACCAAGTTTCCGTCTGCTGCGGCGGCAGGAGCCGGTGGACTCTCAGCAGAGCACTGGCCGCAGCCGTTGCATCCCCGGCGGCCAGGGCTGCGGCGCGGTCCTCGGCTCAGTGAGCTCGTGCGAAAGGTGCTAGCAGCCGTAAGTTTACGGTCTTCTACTAGTCAGCGGACTTTTGGGGTTCGTTTGGTTTCACGCGTTCAATGAGAGATGATGCCAAGCATCCAGGGTGAGCACATAAGACCTTCCCCTCGAACCGCTGAAAAGACGAATCAGTGCTAGCACCAATGCATTCCCAGCAAGATCTCGCAAAGGCTGCGGTGCTGGGGATCCCCTGAGCTGCCACTTCGGGGGTTTCCGGTGCTCCAGAGCTTCTGCGATCTCATTGCTGTTGACGGCGAGCCCAGCAAAAATAGGCGGAAGTAGTGGGCCTGGAACGAGTCGACGGAGAATCACGCCCAGGGCTTCGAATTCTGCTGTCGTGCCCGTGTGTGAGTACGGACGCTTCCAGGACCGGGCACGACCCGTCAGCATTCTTCGTATCCAGGGCGGTGCACCGGCTAAGGCTTGGTTCGGCTCCGTAACTTGACAAAGAGCATCATACGCCCGCGCAGCAAAGATTCCGTAAGTAAGAGGCTCACGGAGCTCTTGCGGAATGACAGCTGGCAAGCGTCTCAGAACCAGCTGGCCCACCTCGAAGCCCATAAGCGCTTTGATCTCCTGCGGCCGATACTCTTTGAGCAAGCTCATCTGGACGACCTGTCTTGCAGAGCATGGGAGAAGAGAAATCCAACATGGGACACTCAAAAAGCATCGTGTGGCCAAGCTTCTAGTGCATTTTGCTCCGTGGCCGGCAAGATCCAGATGGGCGCAGAACGTTTGCTTCGCGGAGTGAGCCGGCTCGGTGGCCAAGCCTCGTCGATCCAGAGCTGCGGGCAACGTGACGAAGCTTTTCTCGTTTGCGATAGGCCCAAAACTCTGCAAACTTCCTGCGACACGAGATCTGGAAAGCTCAAGTACCCTAAATGCAAAAAAACAGCTGCCTCCAGCCAGGCACGCAAGTTGCGAAAGGAGTGACCACCTGGAAGCAAAGAGACAACTTCTGCAAAGTTTGCAGCCTAGCGTATTTTGGAAGCACATATGAATTTGCGCCTTCGCTCTTCACCAGCCCGTTTCCTCGCAGCACCTTCTCTGTGCGAAGGAAAGACCAGGGAGAACTTCGAAGTCGTTTCGGCAAGGCGCCAGCAACAGGTCTCAAGAAGTAGTCGCCTGCACGGGGGGTTTCGACGAGTTGGAAGCGGGAGAAGCTGCACCCGCCCGCTTGTCCGCCTATTCTCTGCCACCAGTGAGGCAACTCCTGCTGGAACTCATCCAGGGCAGCATCCGCCAGAACTCCTTCTGCATGTTGCAAGCTCCCTGACAGGCACCCGGAGCTTCACAGCTCCACAAAGAATCCAGGGGCCTAGGAACTGAGGCGACCACATCGAAACCTAGAAAGGCGCCTTGATGCACCGGACCTCCAATCTCCAGGATGGTATCTGAAAACTTCGGCACCGCGAGGTGGCAAAACCATAACACGCCCAACAGCGCCACTGAACATGAAGCACAACGAAAGCGCCGGCTTCCATGGGCGAGCATGTCTGGCATTTTAGTCTGGCATGCAGGATGCTTGGTTTTGTTTTTCGGCCCATGCTCCGACTGGAACCATCATGTACGGTAGGAGACACAATTGTACATGCATCTGTGGGCATTGTCGAATAACATACAGGATCAAGCACTACACGCATGAAGAATCCATTGAAACATGCAAAACTTGCTACGTAAGATGCTGATGCGAAAGTCACAATAGACGTTCCGCGGGCTGACAGGACAGAGTTGCTTAATCGTTCTAAGCCTGACTTCGAAAACTTGATATACGCTGTCACTCCCTTAGGCAAAATGCTAAGCGCCGGCAATTCACACGAATTTGTTGTGACACTTCATTCAATGTGTGGAAGAGCAACCTGCGAACTGTTCATGTCAAGCGTCGTTTCACTTCTGTTGCCGTTGGGTGCACGGGTTGCGAGGTCTTTCGACAGCGACATTACCGAACTCAATGGCCACATCTGCATCCCTCCTTCTGAAACTCGCCACCCGCAACCGTTCGAAGTGCCTCCTGGAGCCCTTCCCTGAAGGGGGGAGAAATTTGAAGACAGAAACATGTGAAGCTGTTGGATGAACAATGCAGGGTCCTAAAGGCTTCCAACCTCGAGCTGCACTCCAAGCTGGTGCGTTTGGGCTTTATGGCGGGCTGGGCTTCCCAAAGCCTGGGGTGACTTACAGAGAACAATCCGAACCTCAGCCTAAGATAATGCTTTAGGGGCGATTTATTCTTAAATGTTTCCTTGCATTAAAAGACAACATTGTCGATCCTCTTCGAAAAGATCCTCATATCCAGCGGATAAATCCATTGACGGAATTGTTTTCATTTCTGCAAAATAGGCTAAAGGATCTGCTCTACCAACAAGAACCTATATGTTATGTATGTATGTTGTCGTTTGCAGAACTTCAGAAAATGCCAACCTCCGGTATAGATTTTTCACGGTAATTGAAAGCCTGGAACAGTTTCCTTGGGATGGGGATAGGCCTTCACTTTTTCTGGAAAGGTTCCTCGGGTGCCACATTTTGCCTAGATCAGTTTTAGGCACGTGCACTGCGCATGGTTGCATCGGCTGGATTTGAAGTCCCACACACGGTTTGCGGCTGATGTTGTTTGCGGTTGGCCATCAGTATTCTTTAGGGTCTAGCTAAACCGTCATCGTGACGGTTTGGGCATCATCATCTTTTCAGGGTTTTTGGGTGGGATTGCAGTCAACATGTTTCAGTTTGAAGTTTGCTTGCTTGACTGTTTACGTGTTGCCAGCCGTCGCACTGGGTGCGAACTTGTTTACGGTTGCGGAGGACGTTGCAGAGTCTCCAGCCATGAAGAAAAAATCGTTGGCTGGCATACAATGCAAAATTGGGTTTGAACCTGGTTCAACCCAGGTCGAACTTTTCTTTTCTTTAAACAGTTGACCTTTTCCGCGGACTTTCACCCATGGAGCGTGTTTCCAGGTCTGATTGCTCCCGCTTCTTCGTTTCTGGAACTTCACGACAAATGACCAACATCCGAACACATGAGACCTCCACTCACACGCACTCCTTCTTTGACCAAAACAACTACGAAGCATGTCTTGCGCTCGGTCCATCAATTGAGCCGTGTCGGCGTGTTCTCAGGTACCTGTTCCGGTTGTCTGCCGTGTCGGCCGATCTGGCTGCGGTGCGGACAGCGATGCTGAAGGGCTGAAACGATCAATGGGGTGGCCTTAAATCTTGCGCTGATTTCACTCATTTCACTTTTCTGCTGCCTCTCTGTTTCACCGCTGTCTTTTTGCACGTTCGGTCATTGATTCGCGGTTTTCGCCAAGGACAGAGCGCAGCAGCCGCTGCCACTGAAGCCCGCCAAAAAAAGTATTTTGAGGCTTTTTGTTTCCTCCATACATAAACATGCTCTCAACGCAAAGGTTCTACATAGGTTTTTGGGGTGGTGTTTGAACCCCAGGTTCGGAACTCTAAATTCCGAAACTGGGTTTCTAGAACTTTGAACTAAGAGTTCGGGCCCCTGAACCCAGGGCACGGACGAAGCCCCAAGGAAAGACCGGGTCGGACAGCGTGCCGAAGCACGGCCGCCACCCTTCGAAGCCCCACGGCTTCCATTCACCGTCTTCCGCGGTGAAGCACACCGCGAGGTACTCCCTCCGCTGGGTGGCCCGGTCCACAACCAGGCGGTAGAGGGAGTGCGGCACGCCTCTGCCCAAGAGGGTGACGGCAAGAAGCTTGGGCCTCAAAAGGTCGATCGCGACGGCCACGGCCGCGATGTGGGTGGCAGCCGCCAACACGCCGTCTCGGCTCAGGTCAACCTTCGTAATGACATCCTTGACCGTGACGGTCTCAATGGCGGGCCTGCTCCCTTCGGAGGAGGTCAGAGAACCGTCCTCCTTCAAGTGCCAAGGACCATTTGATCCTAATGCTAGAGACTTCCGGCAGTAGTGATGCACGCCCACCTGCGCCCTGGCCTGGTCCACCTGAGTAACGCGGCCCAGTCGGCAAGACTTGGCGCCGCCGCGCGCGCCTCGATAGGCCACGCGCTCACCGAGGCGGAGGATAAAGTCCCTCCCAAAGACGATAGGCTCGCGAGGCAAATAATCCATAGGGCCCTTGTGCACACACCACAACGAAAAACGTTTTGGAGGCACGTGCCACATCTAAAGTTGAACACTGGTGAGCTGCGTGCGCTCGAACAACATCCCCATCTCTTGTCCTTGTCCCTGCACATGAAATCCAAAACTAAATATTCTCCATCTTCCGAACAACACACTCTGGTGATGTGATTTCGCTGTGAACTGGACCCACTTTTGGGTCCACCAGGCACACAAACATGCTTCTTGCTTACCGGGCCCAAAACGAGACCGCGTTTCGGACTCTCCGCTTCCAACAAAAACAGCATTCCCGTTCAACACGCACGCTTCGAGAGCTCAGAATCAACGCAGCGATAAAACCAAAGTTCTTTGCTTCGGCGGTTGGCTCGTCCAGTGCAAAGTTTTTTGGATCGCAAGCCGAACTGCCTTTCAAATGCTTTCGGAACCTGGAACGTGGGCGGGCTTGGTAACCCGTACGGACAAGATCTGTGGAGAAGCCAAGCTCAAGTCGAGTCCGGCGGCATTGCTTCTGGCTTGTGATGCACTTTGTTTCTTGTGAACTCATGTCTCATCTCCGCGAGCATCAAAAACGACCAAGACTGCAACGATTGCATTGTCTGCTCCTCACCAACTTTCAGAGTGAAAAAGAGAGAGAGAGAGAGAGAGAGAGAGAGAGAGCAAGTTTTACTGAAGTTTGTGCTGACTTGCGAACAAGCAACAAACAAGACTCCGATGGAAGCGATACCGGCACTATGTATGAGTTCTCGAGGCGTGTGGTTTTGCCTGAACTCATGCGATGCTCGAAAAGATTTCCGGACGGTGCGTCCGTCGTTCCAGCATGGGAAAACCAACCAACAGTGGACGAGCTCACATGAACGGATGCCAGTGGCGTTATGAAGATTGCCAGCAGTCCAGAACGAGAACGCAAAGCACTCACTCTTGCTTCCGCCGTCTTGGATGCAAAGTCACGGCAACTCGGCTGAGTTTTTGGCTTGCAGTTGGATGGAAGGAAGAGCGGGTGATACAGCTGGATTTTTCTGAAGTTGAAAGGTCAAATCCGCACGAGGAGCTGGAAATATTTTTTGTGAAAGTTTTTCTCAAAGATAACACTGAACATTGTCGCTTGGCAAGGTCTTACGGTTCCAAAAATGACACCATTGAAGGGCAAAGCTTTTGAAGAGAAGCAAGTTGTATAGGGTTGAAGATCCTCCAACTGCGTCCATGCAAATCAATCGTTTCGACTGTGGAAGTCACAGTCTTCCTGGAAATTGCATTGCTGGAAAGTGAGAAAAGTTCGCACTACTCGACGATTTTCCTCTTCATTCCAGAGCCCGTTAAGAATCCTTAGGCAATTGGAAACCACGTGTAGAGAACGCCACTGATATTATTTATCTGGAAGTATTGATTCTGCAGAAGATGAACCCTAAACCCTAAACCTGAAACCCTAAACCCTGTCGTGGCAACGCCACAACAGCGACGGTGAAAGAGATTGCACCTCCAGCTGAACCAGTTGTTCGAAGACCCAGGTTTGAACCCAGGTTAGAAACCCAGGTTCTAAAACCCAACCCAGGTTCAAAAACCCAGGTTAAAACCCAGGTTCAAGGCAGGCTAGGATTGGCTTGAAGAAAGGCTTGGAGGCCTGAGGAAGAGACTTGCGAATAAAACAGAAAGCAGAAACACACAAAGGCTTGAAGCTCAATGTGGGGGGGGCTACGCTCCCTCCAACCCTCCCGCTTTTTGTAAATTGCACACTCTCCGCGCCTTTGAAGCAGCCTAAACCGCAAACCTTCAATCAAACAACCGTACAAGCAAAAAAATAACAAAAAGAACAGGGTTCAAAAAATCAAAAGCAAGAATGCCCCACAAAATCGCTTTGGGAGGCTTAAACGCGAATAAAAAAGAAAGCAGAAGACATGAACTTGTGCAGTACTGCCACTTGTAGACTTTCTTGTCTTACTGCATCTCGAGTACCAGCAAGATACCTCAATAAATGCTTGAGTTTGGCCAAGCTCTCAATCGTCGGGGACTTTGCGTCACGCGACAATTCCTTCACCGCGTACGAGCAATCCGGTCTGACGAATGTTAGCCAGCAATTTACCGACAGCGGTCCTGAAGAGTTCAATGTGCTGTTTCGGCAGGAGAACATCAATGGAATCCCCGTTGTCTCAATTTTCTACCGAGAAAAACTGTGCTTGGTGTTGGGTTTCAATTCTCCAGTGATCTTCACAAGAATTTCTTTGCTCAATGCCTCAATGAATTCCTTCTTCAGCTATGGGACACCTACAATGAGGAGATCGTCTACATATGCCAATACTACGTACACAAATTGCTGTCAGATTTACAGCGACGGAAACCTAATTTTGCTGGCGAAATAATTCCACCA